TCACACATTCCCTTGGATGAAACAAACAATCACACATTCCCTTGGATGAAACAAACAATCACACATTCCCTTGGATGAAACAAACAATCACACATTCCCTTGGATGAAACAAACAATCACACATTCCCTTGGATTAAACAAACAATCACATATTCCCTTGGATGAAACAAACAATCACACATTCCCTTGGATGAAACAAACAATCACACATTCCCTTGGATTAAACAAACAATCACACATTCCCTTGGATGAAACAATCACACATTCCCTTGGATGAAACAATCACACATTCCCTTGGATGAAACAATCACACATTCCCTTGGATGAAACAATCACACATTCCCTTGGATGAAACAATCACACATTCCCATGGATGAAACAATCACACATTCCCTTGGATGAAACAAACCTTAAGACATTCCCTTGAATATAATATACATTCAAATATGCAATTGAATGGAAAATAAATAGGAAATTCCATTGAATGAAAGAAACAATCAAACATTCTCAATGAGCACTTAACACAATCATACACTACATCTTAGATCCACCAAAAAAATATCTCTTTAATTAACAGACACGCGCATAGTATACGAGCAAAGCTTATTCATCGACAGAGCACAGCTACAAAATGAACATAGCACAGGTACACTCAAACTGTATGCATCTAAAGACACTTAGCGCAACTAGATGCAACCAGAGTTTCTTCCAGGCAAAGCCCCCCCCCCCCCCCCCGAAAAATTTTTACCGCCCCCCCCCCCCTCCCGAACGAAATGAAATGTATATAATTTATATAGAAAATATATACTTGTAACAGTATCCGCCCCCCCCCCCCAAGAAAGTTTACCGCCCCCCCCCCCCCCGAAAATTTCAAGTGCCCCCCCCCCCGGAGAAAAAAGTCTGAAAGAAACACTGGATGCAACAACTGGCCTACAGTTATAAACTGAGCACATATAAATATTGATAGATGCAACAACTGGCCTACAGTTATAAACTGAGCACATATAAATATTGATAGATGCAACAACTGGCCTACAGTTATAAACTGAGCACATATAAATATTGATAGATGCAACAACTGGCCTACAGCTATAAACTGAGCACATATAATTATTGATAGATGCAACAACTGGCCTACAGTTATAAACTGAGCACATATAAATATTGCTAGATGCAACAACTGGCCTACAGTTATAAACTGAGCACATATTAATATTGATAGATGCAACCACCTTGCTACAGTTATAAACTGAGCACAACGTGACGACGTAACAACGTGACTACGAGACAATGTGACTACGAGACGTGACGACGTAACGACGTAACAACGTGACGACGTAACAACGTGACTACGAGACAACGTGACGACGTAACAACGTGACGACGTAACAACGTGACGACGTAACAACGTGACTACAAGACAACGTGACGACGTAACAACGTGACTACGAGACAACGTGACGACGTAACAACGTGACGACGTAACAACGTGACTACGAGACAACGTGACGACGTAATAACATGACTACGAGACAACGTGACTACGTAACAACGTGACGACGTAACAACGTGACTACGAGACAATGTGACTACGAGACGTGACGACGTAACGACGTAACAACGTGACGACGTAACAACGTGACTACAAGACAACGTGACGACGTAACAACGTGACTACGAGACAACGTGACGACGTAACAACGTGACGACGAGACAACGTGACGACGTAACAACGTGACGACGAGACAACGTGACTACGAGACAACGTGATGACTAGCTGACGAAACGCTGTCAGGCTGGGAAATTCTGATATAAGAAGGAAGCTCGGGGGAAGGCAATACTAAACAGCAATAAACAATCTGGCTTTAGAGACGCTAAAACAGCAATCTTAATCATGACTTTAAGGTAACTAAAGAGCAAATTATAACTTCAACGTCAGTCAAAACCCTGACTTCATGCACTCTTCATTACGTCAGACAGAACAGTGCCACCAGCAAGACACAGATATGGTGTCAGCTAATGACGTCAGATAGAACAGTGCCACCAGCAAGACACAGATATGGTGTCAGCTAATGACGTCAGACAGAACAGTGCCACCAGCAAGACACAGATATGGTGTCAGCTAATGACGTCAGACATACGCTGAGTGTCAAAGAACCTGACGGAGCCACATTTGACATTTAATGATTGTTTGGAGGTTTTTTAATGCCGCGGATTTGACATGTGTCTGTGGGTGTCTATATGTAGTGTATGTGTGTATGTATGTAGGTGTGTGCTGGATGTACTAGATGACATAAATGTATTTCAAACTATTTAGAATGCGATATCAAGTAGCGACTTACACATATACTAGTTTTTATACAAGATACAGATATCTTAGTGAAATCTGACAAGAGCGTGTTCACTTTGGGGTCAGATATTGATGACCCCCACTACTAGGAGACATACACTAACCGATCATTGACTCCCCCCTCTCCCAAGTCAGAGTTATACGTTGCTTACCCTAGGGGGTGGTGGGGGAGTTCACGCGTTGATGAGACCCACAGAGTGAAATAAAGACAAACTATTTTCTTTTTAGTTCTTTAAATAATAGTTCATTGTTATATACTTAAAGAAAATCATCTGTTTTCTCCTTTTTAGAGCATTATTACATAAGCTTGTTATTAAAAGTTTTTAATGCATTTTTACAAGCTTCTATTTAACTTGCTTCCCGTTTTTAGTGCTTTTGTCGTAACGGATTAAAATCTGGCGAGCAAAATTTCGACCACTTCTAACGGACCGACTGGTTTCAAACTTGGTACGTAGGTCAAGACTCGACGACAATGCAAGCTGAGATCAAATTTAACTAAATTAAATGCCTAATTAATTTTTAAAGAATTAATTTATGTTTTCTACACAAAGTGCTATTTTTTTACACTATTAAAAATGATTTGGTGCGCAATTTGTTGAAGTAGTGTAATTTTATTGAATTAATTATTTTTTTTTAACATTGAAGAAAATACATAAAATGTTTTATTATAAGCTTTATAGAATTACTGGCAGAGCGCCCGCAATGTACTACGCGCGGGTGGCGGTAGCATGTCCCTTTTGTATAGGCCCTACGTCGCATTGGTGTGGATATTCCTTCAAGCTATCGTCTCCATGACAATGACGGAATTCCGATTTTACTTTCTCGTATATATAAGTATAGAGAAAGTCTTGTAATCGTGCAAAAAATTTTTTTTTTTAAAATCGAGATTTTTACAAATCTCGACGTTTTACACCTCACTGATACGGAAAAAACATAATTTTGCAATCTTGTCCGTATGTCTGTCTATCTGTGTGTAAACACGATAACTTGAGTACTGTTACATCTAGGTTGATGAAATTTCATATATAAGTATTTTATCAAAATCGTAGATCCGCATCAACTTTTGAGCGATTTCCGATAACCGGAAGTGGTACTTTTTCTATTTTGAATTTTTCAAAAACCTATAATTTGAGTACTATTTCAGATAGATAAATGAAATTTCACATATAAGTAAAATATCTAATTCTCTACCTTCTGTTAAATTTTGAGTAATTTCCGTTGACCGGAAGTAGTAATTTACGCTACTTCCGATTTCTCAAAAAACTAATGTAAATTTTTAAAGTACTAATAAAATTGCGCACTATTATGCACTTTTTTATTTGGCGTTCACTTGGTGTGCAATTCTTTTGTCTACGAGATTTTATTCTATTTTTAAAACTTTAAGTATTTAAAATGGATTAAAATCATGTCTATAGCCCGAGTTCTCATCCCCTGTTGTTTTATATAAGAATATTCGAGAAAGTTTAGGGGAGATCACTCCCGGTTTGTTTTATATGTGTATTATTTCCATTTTTTTTTTTAGTGATTTCTAATTTATGAAGTCAACACGACTGAAAATATTTGCTTTAAAGCATCATCAGTAGCTCGCGATATCTGAAAGACGATTATCTGTCATGTGGTTCATGACCACAATTTATAGATAACATCGAGCTTGCTACCTCCTCTTAGTTTCAAAACATTTAAAAACTCTTTTTATCTTCCCCTCTGAGCCTTCACTAGATTGACCGACCCTTCGATTGCAAACATTCTCGTGAACCACAGTTCACCAGACAGTTAGGGTGATCGCGTCCTCTACTGTTATTGAATATAGTAATCTACTATCTTTTATTTTGTTATCTCCCCTTAGTTTCGAAACCGTTTAATTAATTTTTTCATTTTGTATTCGAAGAGGAAAGTATCTGGAAAGTATGAAAGAAATCGCTGCATTAGAAGTGGGTAAAAATTACTAAACCTGCCACAAACAAAAAGATGTTGTGAACTAAATAAAGCTTGTAAAAAGGAGAAAATAAATGATTTTCTTTAACTTTATAATAATACACCACTATTTAAAATCACTATAAAGAAAAGTGTGAGTAACGGTATTATGCATTTAATAACTTAAACTTTTTAATAGTAGTGTATTATTATATATTTGAAGAAAAAAAAAATATTTTCTCCTTAACTATAAAAGCGTGTTAAAACTTTTATTTTAATTTTCTTTTACTTTTCTCTCTTTGGCTTTTTAAATTTTACATACTTTGTTTTTTGAATTAACAAATACTTTGGTTTTTAAATTAACAAATACTTGACTGCAGCTAGTAAAGCGAACATCCACACACATTACCAGCCCACAATGGAGTACTAGTGGAACGGTAGATAATCGAGAAAAACCAAGACATTAAACTATGAAATAGTTACTTCCCTTTATTAAAAGGATGCATACATCGTTGTTAATTTAATCGAGTTAGTTTTTGTTAATGGACTAATACATTAGAAAGAAAACCAGTTTCTAGCTGTAATAAAGTTTCTTTCGGTTCATATTGTAGTTGTAGCATGAAACCCCTCATCCAAGACATAATGAGGGGCTCCTACCTTACGTCTCTGATGTTTATTTCCTTGGACTAGCATTGGTAATCACACAACAAACAATTGAAGGAATCAGACAAACAAGCAAGTGATAACATGTTTATTTAGAAAATATTCTCATAAAGAGCACCATACAAACAAAAGTAACCATGACAAGAACTAACATGACCCAGATCCACCAGGAGCAAGTCTTGGTGTGGGCTTCAAGGCGCTCACTCTCCACCTTCAACTTGCTCATGTTTACATCAGCTAGCTGTGTGCTTTCTGCTATTTTCTAGAAAACAAACCAGATCAACACATTGATTTATAGCAGCCATCATCAGCATATGACCTACTAACCTTTGTATCTCACTGACCACCCTCCCAGCTATTGATCTACTGACCTTTGTTCCCTAACTGACCACCGTCCCAGCAATTAACCTATTGACCTTTGTATCCTCAAGGACACGCCTCCCAGCTATTGACCTTCTGACCTTTGTATCCTCAAGACTACCCTCCAAGCTATTGACCTACTGACCTTTGTATCCTCAAGGACCACCCCTTCAGCTATTGACCTACTGACCTTTGTATCCTTATGACCAACCTCCCAGCTATTGACCTACTGACCTTTGTATCCTCATGTACCACCCTCCCTGCTATTGACCTACTGACCTTTGTATCCTCATGGACGACCACCATCCCTGCTATTGACCTACTGACCTTTGTATCCTCATGGACGAACACCCTCCCTGTATCGACCTACTGACCTTTGTATCCTCATGGACGACCACCCTCCCAGCTATTGACCTACTGACCTTTGTATAATCACGGACCACCCTCCCAGCTATTGACCTACTGACCTTTGTATCCTCATGGACCACCCTCCCAGCTATTGACCTACTGACCTTTGTATCCTCACGGACCACCCTCCCAGCTATTGACCTACTGACCTTTGTATCCTCATGGACCACCCTCCCAGCTATTGACCTACTGACCTTTGTATCCTCATGGACCACCCTCCCAGCTATTGAACTACTGACCTTTGTATCCTCACGTACCACCCTCCCAGCTATTGACCTACTGACCTTTGTATTCTCATTGACCACCCTCCCAGCTATTGACCTACTGACCTTTGTATCCTCACGGACCACCCTCCCAGCATCTGATATATTCCTCCTGAGAGCTTGAGTGTGGAACAACATTTCCTCTGCCAATTTTTCCTGCAGCCTGTGATGGTGGTGCATGATGGTGTTGATGTCATCCTCCTCTGAGGCAGGTTTGTGGCCGTTCTTCACAACTACTGAGTTATCTGCACATGGAAGTAATCTATTCATTTCACTAAACCTGCTAGGTTCACTCAGCAGATTGGGTTTAAAACCTCTCACCTGTCTGGTTTAAAACCTCTCACCTGTCTGGTTTAAAACCTCTCTACTGTCTGGTTTAAAACCTCTCACCTGTCTGGTTTAAAACCTCTCACCTGTATGGTTTAAAACCTCTCATCTGTCTGGTTTAAAACCTCTCTACTGTCTGGTTTAAAACCTCTCTACTGTCTGGTTTAAAACCTCTCACCTGTCTGGTTTAAAACCTCTCACCTGTCTGGTTTAAAACCTCTCACCTGCCTGGTTTAAAACCTCTCTCGTCTGGTTTAAAACCTCTCACCTGCCTGGTTTAAAACCTCTCTCGTCTGGTTTAAAACCTCTCACCTGTCTGGTTTAAAACCTCTCTCCTGTCTGGTTTAAAACCTCTCACCTGTCTGGTTTAAAACCTCTCACCTGTCTGGTTTAAAACCTCTCACCTGTCTGGTTTAAAACCTCTCACCTGTCTGGTTTAAAACCTCTCTACTGTCTGGTTTAAAACCTCTCACCTGTCTGGTTTAAAACCTCTCACCTGTCTGGTTTAAAACCTCTCACCTGTCTGGTTTAAAACCTCTCACCGGTCTGATTTAAAAACCTCTCACCGGTCTGGTTTAAAACCTCTCTACTGTCTGGTTTAAAACCTCTCACCTGTATGGTTTAAAACCTCTCACCTGTCTGGTTTAAAACCTCTCTACTGTCTGGTTTAAAACCTCTCACCTGTCTGGTTTAAAACCTCTCTACTGTCTGGTTTAAAACCTCTCACCTGTCTGGTTTAAAACCTCTCACTGGTCTGGTTTAAAACCTCTCACCTGTCTGGTTTAAAACCTCTCTACTGTCTGGTTTAAAACCTCTCACCTGTCTGGTTTAAAACCTCTCACCTGTCTGGTTTAAAACCTCTCACCTGTCTGGTTTAAAACCTCTCACCTGTCTGGTTTAAAACCTCTTACCTGTCTGGTTTAAAACCTCTCACCGGTCTGATTTAAAAACCTCTCACCTGTCTGGTTTAAAACCTCTCACCTGTCTGGTTTAAAACCTCTCACCTGTCTGGTTTAAAACCTCTCACCTGTCTGGTTTAAAACCTCTCACCTGTCTGGTTTAAAACCTCTCATCTGTCTGATTTAAAACCTCTCAATTGTCTGGTTTAAAACCTCTTACCTGTCTGGTTTAAAACCTCTCACCGGTCTGATTTAAAAACCTCTCACCTGTCTGGTTTAAAACCTCTCACCTGTCTGGTTTAAAACCTCTCACCTGTCTGGTTTAAAACCTCTCACCTGTCTGGTTTAAAACCTCTCACCTGACCTTGACCTCCCCAGAAGCTCGTCTCTGACATCTTGTTCACATTTAGATTTAGCCTTGACCTGGAGTTGACGAGCTGAGGGACTGTTGATGCTGACAGGCTTGAGCTTGTCTGTGATGAATGATCTCTCTGCTACACACGGCTGGTGACACAAGTCAAGTGGGCTTAAAGGTTACCATAGAGCTTCATAATTGATGGAAACATTAAAGATTACCATAGAGCTTCATAATTGATGGAAACATTAAAGATTACCATAGAGCTTCATAATTGATGGAAACATTAAAGATTACCATAGAGCTTCATAATTGATGGAAACATTAAAGATTACCATAGAGCTTCATAATTGATGGAAACATTAAAGGTTACCATAGAGCTTCATAATTGATGGAAACATTAAAGATTACCATAGAGCTTCATCATTGATGGAAACATTAAAGATTACCATAGAGCTTCATCATTGATGGAAACATTAAAGATTACCATAGAGCTTCATAATTGATGGAAACATTAAAGATTACCATAGAGCTTCATAATTGATGGAAACATTAAAGATTACCATAGAGCTTCATAATTGATGGAAACATTAAAGATTACCATAGAGCTTCATAATTGATGGAAACCTGTTTACATCAATGTTGTTAATTTAAGCATTTGAAGTCTACAATAATTCCATATGGACATTGTACTACATCACATTCCTATACATCTAATTCCATTGACTATTTGATAACATTTTAAAATATTTCAACATTGGACCGACATATGCAACCTACCATCAATACAATTCTTACAAAAGTTTCAGTTCAACCTACCATCAACACAACTGTTACAAAACCTTTTGAAGCTTGAAACTAGCTTTTATTAAATTTACAAAAACTCTAGTGCACATAATGATTAGTAATCTGTATACTTGAAAATATGGTATACTTCAAATTTTACCTGCTTTTCTGCTTCCGCCAGCCCTTTGAGAAGGTCGACCTTTTTCTGGTATTCTAACAAAGTTTCCTGAGAAGGTTTACTGTAGAGAATAAATAGATACAGTCAAGTGTGGCCGCTTGCAATCAAATATTTGCTTTCACATTCTATCTGCCCTCCTCCAGCCTGTTCTCACATTCTATCTGCCCTCCTCCAGCCTGTTCTCACATTCTATCTGCCCTCCTCCAGCCTGTTCTCACATTCTATCTGCCCTCCTCCAGCCTGTTCTTCCATTCTATCTGCCCTTCTCCAGCCTGTTCTCACATTCTATCTGCCCTTCTCCAGCCTGTTCTCACATTCTATCTGCCCTTCTCCAGCCTGTTCTCACATTCTATCTGCCCTCACCCAGCCTGTTCTCACATTCTATCTGCCCTCTGTCCGTTTAATTCTTCTTTACCATCAACAATAAACGACAATTTTAAATTGAGGAACTAAACAAACCTCTGTGACTTCCTGACTTCTGACAGCAGGTTTTGCAGTGCGCCAATATACTGCGGAATCATAATCATGGTGATGCATTAAAAACAAAATCACAGAAAGTACTAATGCAATTTAATTTAATTTTGCAAACCATGTGACCAAACACAAAAGCTGACCTTTAACCCAGTGGGGCATCCTCTAGCAACATTGTACAGCTAGGTATCCAGAGTTCCCTGTGGCTATCTTAGCACATGCGGGTTCATTGATTAGGGAATCAGGGTTGTCAAATTGTACCAGAACAATTTTTTTTTGTGGTACTAGCTGATGCATTTGAATTTGCACACACACTAGAATTGAATTATGTGGTACTAGCTGATGCATTTGTATTTGCACACACACTAGAATTGAATTATGTGGTACTAGCTGATGCATTTGTATTTGCACACACACACTATAATTGAATTATGTGGTACTAGCTGATGCATTTGTATTTGCACACACACTATAATAATTAAATTATGTACACATAGTAAAGGAAGTCTCACTGGTTTAGAGATTTTAAAGATACCGGCAGGAGTGGGAAATAATAAGTTTTATTTATATTGGTTTCTTCTTCTTCTACTAGGCATGCTGCCCAGCTTCGCTTAGGCTTTCGAAAACATTGAGAATTTGCATGCTTAATTAATTCGCCCGAGGGTCGGTCTACGACCTCAAGAGTTATGAAGAGGTTTAATCCGTGGACATTTTTTTTCGATTTATAGCTCATATAAGGTACCGGTCAGTCGAGGTCAGTTTTGACCCCCTCATCGTAGACTTTTCGGCCAACCGGCCCCCGTGTTCTGTCGCCCCAAGGCAAGATCCTGCCAAATTTGAAGCGCCTGCGGTGCCGGGAAGTGCCCTATCGGACACCCGACAATCTAGATCTAGATTCCTAAAAGATTTTTTTTTTAAGTTTAGCCCGAGCATAATAAAAATAAATACATTAACCAAGTTGACTTGGTGTGTCTCGAACCCGCACCACCTGCGTGGTTTAATGTACACTAACATCTTCGCTATTTAGGCAGATGACGTCAATAGTTAATGTATAAGCAATAGTGACGTCACAGTTTTATGCGTTCTTTTTCACATATATTAATGCTTTTCCGGTTGCATAAATAATACTGTTTCTCTACATTCGAATACGCCTTAAATTTTTATTTTTCTTCTTTAAATAAAATTGTGGTTATACATTTAAAACATCTAACATATTATTTTCAACAAAAGTCCGTAAAAAATTCTCGATATATCGCTGCCGATTCTGACGTGATGTCCGGCGAAAATTTTTTGCGGACAGAGAAAGAGAGAGAGAGAGAGAGAGATGTGCGCACATTGGGCTTTTATAAATTAGGATTATTAGATGTTTTTTATTTTTTTAGTTAAGATATTTTTTTCTGGAAACTACAGTTTAATAACATATTAATGTGCCTTTGCTTTTGAATCAGGCTTTTTTATAAAAAAGAAAGTAGTTCCAATGACTACATTAAATATAGGCCTCTTTATTTTAATTTAAAATAAATGTGTACCCGTGTCCAATAATGGAATCTCCCTGAAACCCGCTCCCCTGGTGTTATATGATTCATTGGCTGATGTCAAATATAGCTGAATTTTTTACACTGGTACAACACTTTCATTCATAATTATTATTAATTAATAATTATGGCACAATAGGCCCTAATAGAATCTTCTTTAAACAGGGGTGTTTGGTTGCTAATAGTTAACTAACTATGCATATGACTTTCTTTATATTTTATATGACAAGCAAGTCCTTTGTTCTGGTTTGATTCAGTGCTAGATCTACATCTAGTAATACTTTGATTAGGCTACTTAGTACTTACTTACTTCATTAAACTTCTGACTTCATCATCAAAAATGGTCGTGCTTGAAAAATTTATAGGCCTACTTACTTACTACTAAGGGGCATTTTTAGCCCTGGCACCTATAGCATGTTTTTATAACTTGAAAACCCGACATTTTAGTCGTGGTAAACAATTTTTTAAAGTTATTCTAAGAAGGTCTATGGACCTACTTTAGCAGCCATCTTGTTTAAGTTTTTTTTGTAAACTTATAGTGGGAGATTCATGGGAAGCCACTCTATTTTACAAATGGCTGAAGTGTTTATATAATATATAATTATATAATATATAGCAAACCTTGCTCACAAACACTGCTGTTTAAAGTTAATTTCTGTCTGGGCTATATTGATATATTTATTATTTAGTCATTGATTTTGGTTTATTATTCAATTATCTATAATATTTGACACAAATAGATCGCAATATAGGCCTACTTCTATTAAAGCAACACTACTTAACAGTGAGGCAACTCTGTCGCACATTAAAAGCAATGATGTGACATTACGATATTGTATCGTTTTAGGTATGTAAAATCGCCCGCGACTAGTAATGTGAAAAACAGGTGACTCCTTAAATTTTAATAATTATATCACATTTTGAGGAGGATTTATGTTTTGAAAAATACAAAAATGTGTCCTTGTTTCATTTATATACCTGTTTTTAAACAGTTGGATTAAAACTTTTCAGTAATAAATGAAGACTAGCGATGTTTTCATCAGATGCAACCATGCTCATTTACTATAGTAGCCATCTTGTTCAAGTTTTATTTTGTTAAACTTATAGCTGGAGATTCAGGGGAAGCCACTATTTTATATAGCAAATCTTGCTCGCAAACACTGAAGTTTAAAGTCTTAAAGTTAATGTCTGGCCAATATATATTGATATTTTTAGCCATTGATTTTGGTTTATTATTCATTTATGTATAATATTTGACACAAATATATCACAATATACTTCTATTAAAGCCTTGAAAACTTTTTCGTACAATACTAGAGTAATGTCGCGTCTGCCGACAGACGTAGCAAAAAAATCGGAACTCCCGATTTCCATTGAGTGCCATTCAATAACCGTTTCACATAGAAACAAACCCAAAGTACTGTTACTCCACATTATTTCTAGTTTAATCACATATGATTCATTTTGTATTCATACGCATAGCATTGGATGTATTAACATTTTCAGTGGTGAGACTCTGTGCGGACACTAAGCGCACTTAGTGAGACCCGATCAGTGTTTCTTCCAGGGGGGGGGGACAACAACGGGGGACGACACGAACGGGGGACGGACGGACACTTGATATTTCGGGGAAGAGGGGACACTGGTAAAAGTATGTTTTCTATATGAATTCCATTTTGTACGTGGGGGGGGGGGGGGCTGCTGAAGTGATACCTGAAAGAAACTCAGGATTTTATTTCACTTTTTGCTTAGTAGACACGTTTGATGATCTAAAATATTTTTAAAACCTAAAAACATTACAAAAAACTTAGAGATCTAGATTTAGACTTAAGTTTAAATATAAATCTGGAGTATCAAGATTAGTTCAAAGCTTCTTTTTACTTAAAGTGTAAGAAATATACTCTGATTTTTCGTTAGTGTCCGCCAAAGGTTAACCCTCAAAAAAGGTATATCCCTTATGCGGACACTCCAATTTTTCCTCTAAGATGGCTTCAATAACCTTAACTACGATATTTATAGCTTTTTATATATTTATATAAGCTATTTATAGTTAACCCAGTTTTAACGAAGCTATGATTGGTTTGATTTATTCCTCTAACTCGGGGCCTAGTGCTCTTCATCAGGGTGAGGTTCCCTACACAAAATGTCATACATCGCAACTTTGAAAAATTCCAATTAATCTCTCTATTGAGTGAAATAAAAGAACTTGACCCAGATGTGTTTAAAAATGGACAAGCTTAGTGTTGTTTGCTGTAGTTTCGTATAAAACATACATACAATTATTTAAGCAAAAAACAGCAAGGTGTCCAAACGGGGGAAACTTTACTCCAGCCGCGGCGATTTTGCGTACCTAAAGCATTAGATTACCAACATTATTATTTATTAATAATTTAAATTAGTTAAAATTAGGCCTACTACTCACTATATTACTATAGACTAAATAATAAGGCCGATGCTAGCTGGAATAAGATACGCATGCGCAATGGAGAGAAACTACGACTAGACGCTAAATACTATTTAGTAAATAGTGAATGAGCATGGTTGCAAATCGTAAGTTTGAGGGGGGGGGGGGTCAAATAGAAAGTTTGTCCCGGGCGCCGGAAAGGGTCGCTACACCTCTGTTTTGCAGTCATTCACTGTGTCAGACGTGTCCGCCGGCGCTCGGAAAGGGCGCGATTTGGCGCTACCGGCTAGACTGTGAGCAATATGCCTTTATGATTGCATTTAAATTGTGTTTATGTTATGAGTGTTGCGTTTGTTTTTTCGTTTGTGTTTTTTTTTTTTTGCGTTAGTTTCATAGTTTGTGTTGTGTTTAGTTTTGTTCTGTTCCCAAGTTGGTACATTTAAAAAAGATTTACCGTGGGCCTACAGATCTAAATTTACCCGTATACCTTTTCAAAACGCCAATCTCTATTCTCTTTATCTTCTGCCATTATCTGGCATTGTCCTAATAATCTGTTAAAGTTTATCTCAATACGTGTAGTTGACGCCATTGTTGTTATTGTTTTTAGGGTCTTACTACTTTCCGACAGCTACAAATTCTACTAAAAAGATTTGACCAAAAGCTGACACTAAAATGAAGAAATTAAAGGATTTTCTTAAAATATAAAAAAGAAACCACAAATTAAAAAACTAAAAAGAAAAGAGTGGGTCTTTAATTAAATTTTAATAGGCTAAAGTACACAGACATAATATTAATTTTAGTAGGCCGCTGCTTTTCATTTTAGTCATTAAAATATTGGATCACGAGCCGACCCGCGGCGTATCATATGCCGGTATTTAGTTGTTTTATTTTCTACTTTTCAGTAATTCATAATTTGTGAATTCGACAGTACCAATGCTGCCACTGAAAATATTTGCTTTAAAACACTATCAAAAGGTCGTTAAGAACGATAACACCACCCACACCACCACATCCGTGAAAACAGCTTCCTCTTAGTTACCTCCCCTAAGTTTAAAATCGTTTCAAACTAAATTATCTGCCCCTAATACTAATAGCCGTCACTATTGTTGCGATTGTAAATATTTAGCGTGAACCAAAGCTCACCAGACCATGTGAGGGTGGTAGGGATATGCCTAGAGAGGGGGCTGCTAGGCGCGCTTACAGCTTGGTGTTTTCTAGCGTATCCAAGAAGAGAATTATATATAGGTAGAAGATTATTATTGATGAATATGGTACTATTAACCTATAGAAAATCGTTCATTTTCTTATTTTTAGTGCATAATTAATTGTATTAAAATATAGTTGTATGAAAATGTTTTTATTAAATTATTTTCAATACTTAAAATATTTTCAAACAGTAGAATCTCTTGACTAAAGCGAATAGCACACTGAATAAACTCAAATATTGTAAGTACAAAGTGCAACAAAATTAGTACTTTAGGGAACTTTAATTAATTTAAAAGTTAATTAAGCACCCAATTAAGTCAAATTTGCTTTTACATTGTTGTGGTGGGGGGAATGAATGCGTGATATGTGATGAGAACGGTAACACTCTTATTTCCGACGACACTAACAATCAGTGGCGTAGCCAGGATCGTCTCAAGGGGGGGGTTCCAATTTTTACCCGGGGACAAACTTTCGATTTGCACCCCCCCCCCCCCCCCCTCAAACTTTCGATTTGCACCCCCCCCCCTCAAACTTTCGATTTGCACCCCCCCCCCTCAAACTTTCGATTTGCACCCCCCTCAAACTTTCGATTTGCACCCCCCCTCAAACTTTCGATTTGCACCCCCCCCCCCTCAAACTTTCGATTTGCACCCCCCCTCAAACTTTCGATTTGCACCCCCCCCCTCAAACTTTCGATTTGCACCCCCCCTCAAACTTTCGATTTGCACCCCCCCTCATACTTTTTATATATACCGAGGGGTCTATGGGGGGGGTTATGACCCCCCCTAATCCCCCCCCTGCCTACGCCACTGCTAACAATACCAACAATTCCGATCATGGCATAAAATTAACTTTAATATCAAACACTAATTACTAGATCTACAGCTCAAAAATATACAACCAAGTTTTTTTTCATACTATGGCAAAACCCCCGACTATCTCTTCAGTCTTATGTCCTACGTCATCGCTATCCTTGTAGCTACACATAATCTATTCAACAAATAAAACAAGTGCACATTTTCTTGAACCAAATCGTCTATCATCAATATCAACTAAGTTTACACTATCCTTATTAATCTCTGCTAGTCTTATTTCTATCTGTCTAGTCATCAGGTCTTAATCCATGTGAAAAGTTTGAAAGAAATTAGTCTGTTTAAAATGGTCAAAATTTTGCTTGCTAATATTGACCCATGATGAAGCACTAATCAAACATAACAGACAGACAAAGAAAGCAAGTTAAATTAAAGCTTGTAAAACTAAATTGCACCACTTTATCTTTAATTATAATTAAGTGAAAATATATTAAAATGCAAAGCTGTTTATTAGCATTGTTGAATGTGTAAAGAATAAAGTTGTTCAATCTATTAAAATTAAAAACTAAACAAAACTTCATACTTTTTTAACTTAGCACAGCCCAATGATTGAAATAATGGTTTAAACTAAACTCACACAAAAAGCACAACATAAACAAAAAATAATGAGATGTATTCATTTAAAAAAAATATACTTTATATACTGCAGTGGTGTGTGAATTGAATTCTAGAGCACTGCTTATGCGGCACACATTTATGTTTTTGGAATGCAAGTTAGGTTAGGTTTGCCTGTCGCCCTCCTGGGACATAGGCTGCTGACAAGAGCTTTCCAGGCGTTTCTGTCCTGGGCTAGTCTCTCCAGCTGTCCCCAGGTGCATCAATGGTGGTTGACCTGGTAGTTTCCAATACATATTGGCTTTCACCACCTGGCTTGATAAATTTTCCCTCAGGAGATCCATTCTTCCCCTGGTCCGAGCTGTCTGTATTTCTCTTAGTCTGCGTTTCTGTAGAGAGTTGTTTTTTACTATATAAGGTTGCTGACCTTATGCTAAACCCCCAACCTGGATGACCGGGGTGCTAGCTTTCGTCTGATCCCTACCCCCGCAGACCTCCCCAGCTTGGTTGAACCTGCCAGGAGTTAACACTCCCTCTGATTTAGCTCTGGGGGTACACAAGCTGCCAAGCCACGGCAAGGCCCTAGCACTAGATGACAGGGAATGCAAGTAGCATAACAAATTAATATCATTCATGACAAATGTATTAGCTAAGTGGTCTAAAAGTATGCAGGCTTACATGCTAATCTAAACATTAACCCGCCCCCCCCCCCCCCCCCCCCCTTCAAAAGAAACATTTCTCAATTATTATGTTTAATAGCCAACACACTGTGAAAATATAACAAATACTTTTGAAACCATATTTTTATTTAATAACCATCAATAAACATGTTAGAGTACACCAACAAAGATATACATTAATAAATTACTACTTCCAAAATGCAGTATTGAAGAAATGTTTTAAAAACCAATCTAAACCCTCAATTTTAGAAACAAGAATAAATAATAGTAAATAACATTTTTCTATAAGTATGATAGAAGTAAAGGTAAAGTATTGAATTGAGCCTCCAGGTTTTCAATACAATTAATCATTATTATCTCTCAAAGCCCATTGGTGAACTAGGTATCAACACGCGAGCGTGATTTTGTCCTGTCTCTAGCTATAACCTACCTTTTTTAATGTCAGGCCTCTCTCTTTTACTATTTCTTCATTGTTCTCCATTTTCTATTGGCTGCCCTCATTTTCTCTTGCCCTGCGTCTATCTGAAAGCAGTTCTAGCTCTCATTCTCAGCACAAGGCTCAACCATCTCTATCTAATGTGTCTGATAACTGTCAGTGGTTGAATGAGTGTATCAATACAATTAACAACCTAAACAATAACTTGTTGCATGTGGGGAAAAATAATAAAATTCATTCTTTACCAACATATTAAAAAAACACATTTTTGAATTCTAACATTTATAATGTAAATATTTTGTAAACTAAAAAGGTAACAGCTTACCTTAAGCAAATGGTATTTAATGGTAACTTTATAAATTGCTTGGCACTCATTATCAAAAACATTACACAAAAAAGATATTAAAAACAAAATATTTCTAAGTAAACAAATATTATTAACCCAATGCCATTAAAATTAGCTTTATAAAAAATGACAGACTATAATAGAAAATTCAAAGATCTTTCACTTTACAGACGATTGAAATCCATCTTTTTTCACAGCCATCCAATATTAATTTCATGCAAGTAATATTTTCCTCACCATTCCCTCTCTAATCACAGAAGAGACATCAATATATGATTTTTTAAATAAGTTATTCAAAAACAAAATCCTTTAAAAACTGCTAAGACTAGAAGAAATGATCGAGTTCTATATTTTAAAAATTTATATCTTCAAACTTTTGCCGATAGTTCTCTAGGTCAACCTCAACCATTGAGTAAACTGCACCAAACGGAATTATGTTAAAAATCTACAAAAAGTCATTTTAAAGTTATTTAACAATCTGTAACAACATAGAAATATATATTGACCGTGCAGAGCTACTTCTCATAGACATTACAAGAAACATTAAATTCATCAGATAAACATAAAATACTTTTTATTTGTGTGGCATCAATTTTTCTTCATTATAATTGAATATTACAATGTTTCATTTGCAATATTAAAGAGCAACCTGCATATTTAATATATATATATTTTTGGTTAATTTTGTCCACCATGCCTCTCATTAGAAATATTTGGAATTATTAGATCAAAATAGTATCTATGGTACAAATAGGTCTTAAAATTAAAAGTTTTTAAATACTTAATTATTTTTTTTTACATTTAATTTGATTTTTAGGTTATTTCATTTCTAAGAAATAATTTCAAAATGCTATATATATTGTAAATATATTCTGATATATATTAAGTCACAGAAAAAAAAACCAACTAGATGAGTTACCATGTCTTATTTTTTTTAGCAAGATTATATTGCTTTCTAATATTAATAGGCTGCTATAAAAATTATTTGGCTAAAATAATTTTTGTTAGATTTTTTATTGTCTAGATCAGTTCACAAGACTGTACTTTATAGAAAAATTAAGAAGATTTAAATGATTTTTTTATATATTTAACTATGCCTGTTGCCCTACTTCCTAAAAATAATTTTAACAATGTGTTCTTAGACTTAGTAGCTAAATGTTAAGATGGGGGGGGGGGGTCTGGAGTTTGTATGTGAAGAAGGCATGCAATACAGTTGGTGTTTGCCGTCTGTACAAAATTTAATAAAGTAAGCTATTTAGATAACAAGGTTTAGAATAAGAATTCCACTGAAACAAGTGTACTTAATTTTATCATTCTATACTGTAACCATGCAATTATATCCATAATAACTGACGTAGACAAGTAAAAATCTAACAGCAAATAATTTGGTCTGTTGTCCACCGCAGGTAAAAAACACTTCTTTAATTAAAAGATATCTTAGTAAGAATTCAGCTTAGTTCAATTCTGACATTAACCCAAATAAAGACCATCTTATTATGAAACAAATGATGTGGGTATCTTTTGTTTATACATGTAACATAAGCTTTGGGCTGCTAATAAAAGTGACTGACGACGTGACACTCCTGACAACACCATCTGCCAGTCGGCATGACCAATGTGTGGCTGAGCAGCTTCTATAACTTCACCAATAGTCACAGAGTATCCTGCCCATCTGTCAGAGAAAGGTGGCAGTTAATGTGTAGGTAATGTCAGAGAAAGGTGGCAGTAAATGTGTAGGTAATGTCAGAGAAAGGTGGCAGTTAATGTCTAGGTAATGTCAGGAGAAAGGTGGCAGTAAATGTCTAGGTAATGTCAGAGAAAAGTGGAAGTTAATGTGTAATTAAATTTTTTGAGGGAAGGCAAAAGCTTAACCATTTAGGCATAATCGTAACTTGGCTGATAAATGTGTTTACAAACTATGGCCTATTAAAACAGTGGATTTTTTACATGTAATTTTTAAACTGGATTTTTTTACCAGTTACTTTACCTGAGAGGATAATCTGTAGGTGTTTTTTCCTGGGCAGTTAGGACAAATTCTGTGGGTATTAGAGTTGGTTGAGAGAAAGTCTGAAGTTCAATGCCATGAGAGAAATCTTTTAATAGCAGACAGCTCATTTCAAACCATCTGTAAGTAGTTCAAACATTAACATCTGGTAATAATTTGAGCACAGATTCAATTTTCTAGACAAAGATATTTTGGCTTTTTCTTCTAAAATTGATATCTTCTGTGTGCATCATTAGGTAACAAGTAGACAAGTGCTAATCTAGTTTCACATACTTACTAAGTGTGCTTTATTAAACTGGATTGTCATTATCTGTGTACTAAAAAGGGTTATTATTATAAATGGGTTAAACATACCTTTCAGGTAAAATTTCTACAATAAAACCCTCGATGGCAACAACAGCATGACCTTCTGGTATACTTCCACTTTGGCGCAGGTTTGCTATTCGTTCTTCAGCACCCTTAAGGCCAGCAGTAAAGCCCACAAGCTGAGCAGCTGTATTCACCGGACACTCCTGGTTTAACAAATATTACATGTCTAACTAAATGATACTAGCCTCCCCTAGTATTATGTGTATGTCTAACTAAATGATACTAGCCTCCCCTAGTATCATGTGTAATTTTCTCCTGGTAAAACAAATATTACATGTCTAACTAAATGATACTAGCCTCCCCTAGTATTATGTGTAATTCTCTCCTGGTAAAACAAATATTACATGTCTAACTAAATGATACTAGCCTCCCCTAATATCATGTGTAATTTTCTCCTAGTAAAACATATATTACATGTCTAACTAAATGATACTAGCCATCCCTAATATCATGTGTAATTTTCTCCTGGTAAAACAAATATTACATGTCTAACTAAATGATACTAGCCTCCCCTAATATCATGTGTAATTTTCTCCTGGTAAAACAAATATTACATGTCTAACTAAATGATACTAGCCTCCCCTAATATCATGTGTAATTTTCTCCTGGTTAAACAAATATTACATGTCTAACTAAATGATACTAGCCCCCCTAGTATTATGTGTAATTTTCTCCTGGTAAAACAAATATTACATGTCTAACTAAATGATACTAGCCCCCCTAGTATTATGTGTAATTTTCTCCTGGTTAAACAAATATTACATGTCTAACTAAATGATACTAGCCTCCCCTAGTATTATGTGTAATTTTCTCCTGGTTAAACAAATATGACATGTCTAACTAAATGATACTAGCCCCCCTAGTATTATGTGTAATTTTCTCCTGGTAAAACAAATATTACATGTCTAACTAAATGATACTAACCTCCCCTAGTATTATGTGTAATTTTCTCCTGGTTAAACAAATATGACATGTCTAACTAAATGATACTAGCCCCCCTAGTATTATGTGTAATTTTCTCCTGGTAAAACAAATATTACATGTCTAACTAAATGATACTAACCTCCCCTAGTATTATGTGTAATTTTCTCCTGGTTAAACAAATATGACTAACTCCTGCAAGATAAGGTGAGGAGTGTAGTAATAAAAAAAACTTTCCTATGACTGTGGCTTTACTAGACACTAAATTAAAAATAAAACTTTCCTATGATTTTGGCTTTACTAAACACTTTAAATAAAACAGACCTTTCCTATGACTGTGGCTTTACTAAACACTTTAAATAAAACAGACCTTTCCTATGACTGTGGCTTTACTAAACACTTTAAATAAAACAGACCTTTCCTATGACTGTGGCTTTACCAAAGACCTTCTGAAATGCCTCTCTGACAGGAACAAGTTTGTTATCTTTAGATGATGCAACAATAACACTGACATCACCCCCAGAAACTGTAGACAACAAACAAAACAGGTGAATGACATTAGACACTTCATGTTTTCATTTTTAAGTTATCTTTGAAAAAAAAACTTACATATTAATTCCTTCATTCCTGGATCAAGTGTTGTGATCACAGATTCCATTGAACTCTAGAATAAATGCAAGATGTTTTTTATGTTCTGAGTGATTCACTTCAAGTTTTAATAGCAACTGGTCTGAAAAGTAAACTCTTTGAAAAGGAAAAACAATAGGGCTTGTAAGCAGGTCACTAACTTCTGGTTCTTGCCAGCTAGTAGTTTTCATACCAAATGTGAATTTTATTTTTTAAATCTGTTAAAAAATAGAGTAGTGACTTCAGCTATTGATAAGTTATTTAAAATCGTAAACAATGATAATGATAGACTACAAGATGTAAGCTAGCTTAAAGATTTTTTTTTTAAGAAGTGTAAAGTTTGACATTATTTATTTGAATCCGTAACTATTGTTCTAAAAGTAGTTACAATATTAATGATAATAGCCTAGGCCTACCGATATTTAATTTGATTCTATTCATAGTTTCTTTTAAATTGTATTTTGGGTACTCTTGGTATTTTAAGATCTTGTAGTGAGGCCTAAAAAAAAAAGCCATGTTTTTTATTATCAATAGAAGTCTTGTTCAAAACAATTTAGTTTAGTTAACAAGATTTATCAAATTTTAAACGAGAGGCTGAGACTTACAAGCCCTATTTTTGTGCTACTGATTAAAGCGTTTTTTACACAGAGCTAAAGGGCCAGTGGTGTACCTTTGTTTTTTCCACAACTTTAGAGACCAAACTGTTACTGGAGATCCATCCAAACAGACCCAAGCCTGGACTACCAGATGGGACATTCACATTAGCAGAGACAGCTGAGACTTCTTCCACAGTCTTAGATTTTCCCTCATGAGGAATCTGAGGAAATTCTAATAATTGAAATTGTAAAGTATTTCACCATACAGATATTGAAGAAAACTATGGACTGCATTTTTTCAACAATTTAGTTCCCAAACAATTTAATTTACTCTCATGTTCAAGACAAAATCCTGAAAATGTTTTACTATCTACATATTTTTATTTATTATCTTTATAAAGGGTTCATGGCTGTAAGTTGAAAACAAATTTCAAAAACTTTCTAAGAAACTTTATGGCGGAAAAAGGTAAGTTTGTGACATTTTAAAAGACAGCTAATTAAATATTGCTAATAAAACCTATGCTGTAAACTAACTTCCACTGCTAGTTCACAATAAGTTGCATGATAGCTGTATGCTTTTATTTATGTCATCTGAATAGTTTTTGTATTGTCATTATATTTTATCTATATATTTTCTAAATACTAGATTGTGGAACAATTCTATGCCCTAGTGTGGAGTTTTAAAATACATCTGTTAAAAAAGGGGTGCTTCACTCCCACAGAATTATTTTTGTCACTAAGCCACTATAGCTTTGTATACTCACATAAAGTGTCCCATATTTTTTTTTAATTTGTATAATTCACAACTTTTAAGCTATCATATTGAACTGTCTAGCCATTATTCCTTTTCACAGTGCAATTATTATTTGTAAAAAAAAATGTTTCAAATTGTATATTATATACTAATTATTAAAAAAAAACCTCAAATATTTGTCAGCAGTAATTTTGAATACTATTATTTGTAGCAGACAATTTGTAGCTAAGAAGTCAGATTGCCAGTTGTACCTGGGGCTGTAGTTGATGAGTTTGAAGCTGAGCTGGAAGGGGCTACTTGACTGGAAGATGTGCCTGGTGTGGCCTGAGCACTTGACAACTGCAGATGGGAAAAATCTCATGTACTAAAATAATACACTTTAACATGTTGCACATTTTTTTAAAATACTTAATGATTCATAGGGCAGATAAGTAGAGTTCATATGTTTCTTGACCACATGAAGGAAAGGTGTGGTCAGCACTATGACCAACCCGTTTACCTTCCCTAAAGTTATTCAGGTACTCACTACAGCTGGGTGGACTCGGGGACATCCAATAGACACTCAAGTCCGTGATTAGAAATAATGAATTTCAGGTTAGACTCGCCTCCCGACTACCTCAATATGCAAATGAAATGGGATCTATAATAGTATTGCATTACACCCCAATAGTATTCTAAAGATAGGTCAGAACTTCTAAAATTCAACATTAAAATTAATAGTAAATAGCAAACAAACATAGCCACCGTAATTCACATTTGAGGAAAACGTGAAAAAAACTGTAATCTAGTACCTTGACTGCTGTAGTTTTAGGTGACAGACTAAGAAAAGCTGGTAGTGGTGATGGTGCTGCAAGCGGTGCTGGCGGGAGCATTACATGTGGAGAATTCCCTAGAAAGTAGTTGAACATTTAGTTGAAACCATGCGTAAGGAGAGCCTAATTTAGAGATAACAGGCTAACACACAATCCTTTAAAAAAAAAGGATGTCTTCTTTATCTGAAACCTATTATAACTTTTAAAACACATTTAAAATAAAACTTCTATTTCAACAAGCATACCAGTTGAATAAGAAGCAGATAAATTTTGTGTTGCTTCTTTTTCTGCCAGTACAGCTTCTTCATGAGATACCATCTCTGGCTGCTCATCACTGAGTTCTTCCATCATTTTAAAAATTTACTCTGTATGCACATGTATTGTAAACAAATATATTTTTAATGGGTTAGTTATGGGTAGGGTTAGCTTTGACATTAGTAAGCCATGTGTTTAGTGTATTTTAAGTTTAGTTTATAGGCCCCTAACTAACAGTAACCTAACAACCCTTTTTTTAGGAAGACCATATTATCAGACACTGGTATAAAAAGAGATGCATGAAAAAAACTGCACGCTAAACACTTTTTTTAGATTAGAAAAAGTTCCTCTCTCCGGGAAGGAAAAAGTCTGAAAGAAACACTGGTGTCGCGCTTAGCCACTACCCGAAGAATTGCATGAAAGAAACTCTGCACGCAAACCACTTTTTAGATTAGATACATGAATTAGGCTGTAATTTTATTATAGAGTATCGATGATGACATTTCTTTTGAGTTGGGGTGGGGGGGGGGGGGGGGGGGGGTCGGCTTAGATGTTCTTACGCGGGGGATGGGCTTCGCCCCTACCCGAAGAATTGTATGAAAGAAACTCTTCACGCAAACCACTTTTAAGATTAGACAAAATTGGCTTTTTAATTCAATGTTTACTCGAGAATCAATGACGTCATATTACTGTGTGCACTCTCCGGCTGTAGACTAATTACTAATTTCGACTAATTCTATATGCTCCAATGTGACGTCATGTTTCGCTTCCGTTTTACCATGCATGTTTTTAATTTGCTTGTGTTTTCTCTATAGCGTTCTTGTCAGATAGATAGATAGATACTTTAGATAGATAGACAGACAGACAGCGAAACTATTATTAGTATAAACTATAAAATAGCATTTGAATCAATTCGATACAAATATGGCAGGAAACAGATTAGTACCGGAAAATGCATATTCGATCTTCGCCGTTCATAAACTTTCTAACCAGACATCGTTCGGGGATTTTGTTTATACTGATAAATAGAGCTATGTTTTTACAAGCTTCGTTAGCAACATTTTTGTGGAATACGTTTTTTATGACATTTTGTGCCGCGGCGAAGGATGCGAAGTATGCAAATCTGGACGGAATGGATCTACTTGTAAAAGTACGTGTACTGCACTGATAAGGTAAGAAATACTATTTTGTAAAAATAACTATTATTTTTATGGATTTTTCATTAGAAATGATTGCTGTAAATTATGAAAGTAAAAAAAAGTATATTTGAATGTGTTTTTTACTTTAATTTGAACAAAGTGAATGGCCATAATTACGACACATCGGCGTCGTTGAAAGCGGGGATTTCAGTTAATTTTTTACGGATATAAAATTGTATTTTTTTCCTCCGAGGCATGTACTTAAATAACAGTTTAGTTAAATGTATTTAATTCTGTAAAATATAAGTATTATTTTGCCGTAGATACTTTAAAAAAAATGTTTTATGATTTTCTGTCGGGGAAAATCGATATTCGCACCATGCACGCACGCGTAGTAAAACTAGACTTATCTTTAAAACACGAGAATCTTGAGTACACTGCGAATAACAAAGTTTTTAAATTTTAGTTTACTTTTGACTTTAAGCCATTTGTTTTAAATCGAAATTAATTGATAATGTAATTATTTCAAAGTAAAAATTTTCCGTCTGATTGGGTTCTAATCTTCGCCCACTGAACCAGCCTACGCACGACATTCGCGCGAGTCTGTTTCTTCGCAATAGTCTGTATAGTGTCGAGGGCTAATTCTAAAAAGAATCGAGTCCTTACTAATCCAATGTTTATTAAAATTAGGTACAATTGTTGGAACGCATGAGAAATAACAAATTAATATTTCTTTAAATCTATAGCCAAAAGAAAGTAGAACTTTATAACTCTGTAAATTATGAATCGAGTGACGGCTGTCGTGAAAACGGGAGCCATTTTACTCTTTTTTTTTAGGGTGACCTACTTTTATTATATAATTTTAAAATTCATCGATTTGATAAGCAGCTGAGTAGCTGACTACGCATGCGATATGGCTGGCACGTTTTGGGATAGGGATCGAGTACACCATAGAATTTTTTTTTTTCTTAGAACTAAGCGTATTTTTTTTTAAATCAAAAGATACTTACATATCAGTTGTTGATTTCAATTTCATTATAGATCTAATCACTAACTTCAGTTTTTAAAAGTGATTTTGCATCTAGATCTAGCGTATTTTCAAAATTACGTAAATCTAGATCTATTTTTTAGATCTAGATCTACTTACTATTTGACAACCGTGTCAGTAAAATGAGGTCAGCGCTTCCAGATTCTTGGGTTTTAATTATGTTTGTCATTTTGATCTATTATAAGTAGCATTAAAACAACTGCATCTATTATCAACATTGTTTTTATATGCCAGTTCTAATTATACATTCTGTTCATTACCAATTCTAATGAAATCGTATCAGGCCCTAACACCCTGTTCACCTACACTCCTACACTGACACTACACTTGAAAGACGCCACAGAGAGTCGTAACTTTAAATTAATGTTTAAAGTACTAAACAATTATAATTAGCCATGTAAATGCTGCAACTATATTAAAAATTGGCATATAGACATATTTTATTATGTTTTTTATATAGACCTTCTATATTTAACTCTGTTATTTTTTTCTTCCCCAGAGTGTTTCTAAAAGCCAGAATTTTAAAGGGGAGGGCGGTCGTTTTTTTTCTCAAGAATAATTATAGAAATAAGCTATAAACTGGTATATTTTGTAAAGTTTGACACATTTACAAATAAATGTATGCCTAAGTGACATTTCTGTGTAATTATATTGTTAATTTTGTGAATTTCGTGGATTTTTAGACCTCACTACATTTAGATGTAAAAAAAAATCTCAGTTTAGTGAGTGTGGTTAATCTACATTTTGAACGTGATGTAAATGTCTAGTGCTATTAATTTTTATATTTTTGAATTCCTCGATTGTTAAGCAACAAAATTGATATATAATATGTCAATAATTGTTATTTTGAAAATTGGCGAAAATCGACCCTAAAAGTAGATGCTTGAGGGTTGAATCTGTTTCCTGCCATATATCACAATCAATATATTATATTTATAATTATATAATTCAATTCTAGTATTAAAGTTTAAAGCCATAATAACAATGAGGCAACTTTTTTTTACATTAGGGGCCTACTCATTTACTAGCCTCGGACGATTTTCTTTACGCACCTAAAAGTAGAAAATAAGCCGTACGTAATGTGATAGGCCTACTAATTTATAAATTTACTATTCTAGATCTAGATCAATGGGCCTAATAAATTTTAATAATTCTGTAGTATATTCTAGATCTATGGCCTATTCTCAATAATTTCTAGATCTAGATCTAGTTTTATTAAATAGAAATCTAGAATCTAGAAATCTAGATTATCTCTAGTGAGTTCTCAAGAGTAATCGTACTGCTTTATTTTGGTATTGGTCCCAAATTGTAGCCAGATTTTTCTTGAAACTAGCTAAAAGAGTAAATAGCCTAAACAAAAACCGTATGGAACATACGTTCTTCTCGCTTTAATAAGTTTGGAATTTCTTTATTTTTACAAGAGTGTACTTAGATCTAGTTCACAATGTCTATTTGTTTTTTCTAAACTATATTTTCCACGGACCTAGTCTATATCTATACAAAAAGGTACAAGATCAGTCAATATCAACTATTTATTTTGTAATGACTTTTTAAAAACTATCTTAATACTTTATTGCATGAGCAGGGCATCTTTCCACCACAAATAATCACGTGACCCTGAGCGCCCCAGTCCCCCCACCCCCACATTAATTTTAAAAGTGAGCCCTACTAATAGGGATATAATGGGCTATTACAACCAAACTTTAACTGAAACAGGAGTGGCACCCTACAGTAGTGTAAGAGGTGGCTTTCAAGAGACAGCTGCAATGCCTGGAACACCTGGGCAGTCACTAAGGGGTGTTCTACATTCATGAGGTTGTTTTCAGAATAGACAAAAATGCTAAATATTAATTGTGGAGAAGTAGAATGTTTTCAACCAAAATTGAATATTTTCCATTTGTGAAATATGTACAGAATAACTTCCGGTTTTTATTAAGGCTAGAAATATTCACACAAATAATTACTATTAATATAATAGTAATTTAGCTAACACTTTTATTTTAATTTGGATTAGTAGAGTTCGGGTGTTGTGGTGATAGGGGATGGTATATTACTTAATATAAATAAATTACTAGGCTATACCCCATTGACTATTATGTATTTTATCATGGAAAACGATCGTTGTGACTTTCATTGTTTTATTTTCCCTGGCCATTCTGGTTGACTTCAATAAGGGGTTGAGGGCATTTTTCAAAAATAGTTGAATTGATAAAATAATTCAAAATGGCTTTTCAATTACTTATATTCTACAGTACAAAAATATGAAAATGTGTGTCATTGATGTTTCCAAAAGGTTTTTATTTTTAATGATGTAACTAATTTACCACTTGCCATATTTTTAAAAAGATTTTTTTTTAAATTACATACTTTTCAAAGCTATTGAACAGATGACACTACAGAACAGAGAAAAGAACACGTTCTTGATATACAGTTTTATTAAAGTTTTATCATCTTTCAACCTAAATTACATCTTGGCAAAGGTCACAATACATAATATGACCACAAAACTTGGAATTGTCCACAGCGGAATTAAAAATGTTAAAAGAGCACACTAATACCCAGTAGCAAATAGGATAGAAAACACAGCACACGCAACCATCTGGGTGGTCAAAACAGGCCAATAAGCAATCAGGAACAAAACAAGTCACTAAGCAATCATGGACAAAACAATCAGGGACAATACAAGTCAATAAGCAATCATGGACAAAACAAGTCAATAACAAATTAGGGACAAAACAAGTCAATAAGCAATCATGGACAATAGAAGTCAATAAACAATCATGGACAAAACAAGTTCAAAACAATGTTAGTCTCCAATCATTTGTTGTGTTATCATTTTATAAAAATGACATGAAGAAGATTGGATGCTACTTACATTCATCAATAAAGTCAAGTATTTTTTATTTCACGCATAATGTACACAAATATTTGTCTAGTTTACAATAGTTTGAAAAAATAAAACAGTTCAAAACAAAGTACCATAAAAAATAATCCAATTGCTGAAGAAAAACAAAACATTGCAAAATTGTGTCTTTACTATAAATATTGGTCTCTCAATCCTTAAAACAACCTTTACATAGCCACTTCACTTGAAAATGTGTTGAGTTTTGTTATTATATAGCAATATTTAATCCTGTAAAGTGCATACATTTTCAGTATCTGAATCTGTCAAGGCACAGTTAAACTACAATGTTGTCTGCACACATTTTGGAGATTTGTGAAAGAGCACTAAGAATAGTCTTGTAATCACTAACTCAATCTTTTACAATAACACTATATGTGGTTATTATTCTTACTTCTATTGATATTTAAAATATAGGGAGAAAATAAAATAGGAGAATAATAAAATAATGTGTAATTGGGGGTTGTGATTTAGAAGTTTTGCTGTCATTATGGTTTATGGTGGACTAAGTGTTGCTGTAGCCACATCACAGTAAATACAAATAAAGCAAGAGACATTTGGTTTTAAAAGTAATGTGTTCTTGGTCCATCACCGTGTCTTTTTTAATGAATATATAGATATCATGAATGCATTCTATTATATTACCAATAGTATTGACAGAGGAAAGATCTGAGCCGTTTCCTATTAACATTACATGGCATAATTAATTAGTTTTTTCAAGTACAAACTGGCAATCGAATGAAATTTAAAAAATGGAAGAGTTACCTTGTGCTGGTTCATTAGCACCATCAATTTTCAAAACACATAATTTTAGCATTTAATGAATGGATGGAGGTGAAAGTATTTAGCAACATTCAATGAATGAAAACTATCAAAATCACTTAAATACAAAAAAAAAGAATATTTATTTAAAAATCTATATGAATAAATGCTAAAAAAAAGTGAATTCTGTTACAATTCTGGAAAATATTGATACCTTCTCAATAATTACCAAAAAAAGCAAATATATTTTGTACATTACAACCCTTTTTACGTTTCCATTTCTGATGTGAGAAAAAGATTGATAATTTTTAGAATAATATACAAAAAGTCATGTTCAAATGACAAAATCTCTAATTAGTGATATGACTAGTAGTATTATATTTTTAGTTAAACGGTCGTTAACTGAGAGGATGGCAACAGTCTACAGTCTGATACAGACTGGAATCAGAGGCTGAGAAGGGAGCAGTTTGACACAGGTTCATGTGTTACTCACGTAGCCTTTGATGCCAAATTTTAGGACATAATATGTAGTCAACCTTTGTCATAATTAAATACATATGATGTTTTAAAACTTATCATAATTCCATGAATTTATATAATAATATGGCATTGTTTTCCTTAGTAGAAAAATACTTGAATAACTTTTAAGTATCTTAGGTTATTATAAATTTCCTGCACTTTTTTCAATCTTATAGACTGCTCTTCTCTAATGCTACTTCCTTGAAACTAAATGTGCAGGATTTAATTTGGAACTGACTGTAACTGATACTGGAGAAAGAATCACTTTAAACATTACAATACTTTTGTTTTCTTTATGAGGCCTTCATAACAATAGTGTTCAGCTATTGTATCTATGTTTAGTGATTCAAGCTTCAATTACATTATATAGCAATAACATTCATTGCACAAAGCAGAGAGATGAAGAGCACTTGGTGGTTGGATCTATACAATTCTACTGCAATAAACATTTCCTTTATGACCTTAAACTATTTGAGTTTTGTTTTGACACAATTCCAAATGTATAAAACATAGATCTATGTGTGAGAATATCAGTAAGGAAAGGTAATTTTTCAAAGCCTCTTACATACTTCTGCTGAGTTGTCTACAATGGCACAATTGATTTATAAAGAGCAGAGACTGTGTCTCAAGACCTGTGCATCATATCTTGTCTGACCACATTTCAATGTTAGACAAAATATAGTCATCATGTTGCTCTAATGACTGCCTCATTAGCCAGATCAATCAGTCTACCAATTTTTGTTATTCCCTGTGAAAAGTAGTTGAGATAACTCTTGAAAGCACAATGGAGGTGAAAACATTCTATAGAAAAACAAATGTTCGCTGGATGATATACCATTTTTTTCCACTGAATAACTGTAACCAAACCAGGAAATGGTTCGGCTACCATAAATATATTATTATTACAAAGGTAATCAATTTAGCTAAACAGAAGGACTATGAAATATTCATCACATTTTGCATCTAAATATTATAATGGACCTATAATTGTTAGATTGAAACATGGGGAGAAAACTAAAAATATTTCTCAGTGGTGTTCACATCACAAAAACATAACATTATAATATTTCTAACATGTTTACATCAAATTGTAATGGGGTCCATGTGATCCCCCAACTCCATATTATAGGAAGAAATGGTCAGCCAGTGGGGAACAACATCAACTGCCTAGTGGAGTTGCCACTCTGAAGGCAACTGACTATTCTATACATTCCTCAAGTCAGAACTGGTAGTTAGGTGTGGGGAAGGGGTGGCTGGCTGAATGAACAAACCAAAATACACCTCACACAACTTGAATGGGTTAAGCAAGTGCAGACTTTCTACAACTAATGTGCTGAGTTATTTACCAAACAGAATCACACAGTAATAAGTATAGGGTAAGTTTCCATACAATGTTATCTACAAAGTTTCTGAGCATGCACTCTACAACTGCAGCCTAACTCACAACCTATGTCACATTTCAAGCAACACTAACTACAGGTTTCACCCTGCACTCAAATCTTCACACCCAAGGGGGAGCTCCATCCACACAAAGAAAGCTGTCATGGCAATGGGACAGCAAGGCACCACTTCAGTACAAATGGTCAGGAGTTCCAGCCCATGTCACACATCAAGGACAGAAAATAAAAGGGTTGGTTAGCACAAGCTGGCTAATGATAATGGCATTTCAATTCTCATTTTTAATTCATTTTTTTTTACTAATTTCCTCTATGTATTCCAAATAAAAACTAGGTTTAAAACTAGTGAAAGATCTAGTTGTATCTGCCAGCATTAGAAAGTATCAAGAAATTCAAAGAGTTTACAATCCAACCCTGGCACAGAGTTCTGGTCAACTTGACCTTCACACAGGAAGGCTAATCACAGATAATACAGGGGCAAGCAGTCACACAGAGATCAGGGAATCATTGGATGCCTAAAGCTGTCCGGGTCTGCTTGATGCGCTCTAGTCTAGCTGTCAAATGCTTGTTTTGGTTTTGAAGCTCCTCTATTTGGGTTAAAGCTTCTCGTAACTGAAAAATAGAACAAATCATTTTTTTAATTGGTTGAGTTTAGTGCACACATAATTTTAGTTTTATTTTTTTCTTTACTGTTGAAATCTAAGAAATTGTTGTGATCTTATTTGACAAATATATCAGACAAAATGCAGACCTCTTTCTGTAATTTTCTTTTTTCTTGCTTTAATTCATCTTCCACCCCTTCAGCTCTTTCAGCATCTGTTTTATATCTCTTGACCTGAGTCTCTAGTCTAGTCACCTGCAGGACACAGTCAACAAAGCTCAAGAAATGGACTCTTTAATACACAAACATAGGACTAACTGCTTGATTTTACTAATCTAGTGACAAGGACAATCCTAGCTTGTAACTAATCAACAGAGCTCTTCAAAGAAGTGTACTGCATTATCCAGTCCTAGTGAAGTGTTGATTTACTACTAGCATGACTGGTTGATGAAATATTTTAAGAGGGTTTCATCAAAGTGTTACCAATTCTTTGTTCTTAGACGCATGAATTTGTTTTCTAAAACTGAGTTATTTAAAAGTAAATAATGCCGGCACTATATTTCTTGGATCTTATTTGTCGGGTGCGGGTTTGCCCACACTACCGCCCAGCACGCCTCAGGGCATGCTGGGTGATGAAAGCCTTGAGTGTACGTTCATCACTCTCATTAATAGTGAGTTAGGACACACTTCGGCAACATCTCAGGTGTCAGGGAGAGAGGCGCTCTCGAGAGCCACATTACACCACTGCAGGGGCACCGCGTACGGCTCCTGGTTCGGTTTAATCATAAGATGTCGTGTGCCACTTTGTAAATATTGTAGGGTGCTCTTTAAAGCTAATGTTGGCGGTAAAGCCCAGAGCGGCAAATCAACCCTGCTGGGGCGCCAGAGGACACGCCTGATTAAAATATAATCAATGATTATTGTTGCCCATCATGTCTTTAGTGTATAGCCTTTTTTTTTTAAATGACGTAGGCGCCATAGTGCTCACAGGGGAGCTTGGGGCGCGTTGATCACACAATCGCTGGTTTAACAGCTGAATATATTAGTATTCCTTGGCCGCTATGCAGGATGCCCAATTAACGGATACCAAGTGCTAAGATAGCAAAAATCATAAGAAATTTTAATTTTTCCCAGCAGAAACCTTCTCAGGAATATTCTCATCAACTCCCCAAAGTTACATGGCACTCGGATGAACGGCGTCAAATCTGAATTTTTACCATGTACAGAGAAAAATCACACCAACCCGAGGCACAGCCATTGCAAAATTAAAAGTTTTAGCAGAAACCTCCCCTTGAGTATTTTCAACAACTTGCAAAAGTTTCATGGTGATAGTATGAAAGGTGTAGTAATGCATAAAAGACAAACCCACAAACATACTTTCATTTTTATATTTATAGATGGAAGAAAAAATTTGATAAAGCATTGATGTACTATTTTCAGTTTGTCCCAAAAAAAACAGTATAAAACTTTTATATAATATAGTAAAAGCACTGATTGCCTAAATGTGTTAGACATTTTATGAGCCACCAATGCTTTTATCTCTAAATTGAGTAAGCTTCTTTTATTTTCTTATTTTTAGTGCATCTAAAGGCTTGTTATTATATATGTGGCTTTTATTTTTTTAAAACCAGGCAAATTTTTTTAAATAACATTTAGATTTTAAAAACTATTAGTAATTAATACTTTATTGATTCATCACTAAAAATATTTCTTTCAAACACAGTTAAAAAGATTGCAATTTTAATTCTAAACAACTATTATTTGTCCCTAATAAAAATTGGCAGTAGGTTCTCAGGTTTCAAATTGAAAACCATGAACACAAGTCACCCAAATGATCAAATGTTTGCTACTAATTGTTCATATACTTTCATTATTGAATATAGTTATTGTTTTAATGACTCATTTGATATTTAACTGGCTGATGCAATGTTTAAGAGGATTTCATCATGTCTTGGATCTGAGTTGTTATGGTACAGGTTTGTCCACACTAGCGCCCCAGATGCCCCACGCCGTGCTGTTTAAAAGCCTTGAGTGTACATTTATCACCCCGAACTATAAGTCAGGGGCATAGCAGGGCACTCTCGGGAGCCACCAGTTACACTACCGCAGGGGCGCTGTTACAGCCCGTAGTTTTGTTTAATCACAGAATGTTTGTGCGGTGTCCCTATTATACGATGCTCTTTATAATGAATGTAGGCGCCATAGTGCTCATGGTGGAGCTCGTGTCTCTGCAGGTCACCAGACCGGAGGCAGATTTGCCAGATTCAATTTAGTGAATGATTATAGAAGCTAATCGTATCCATAGTGTATCACACTCTTAAAAACAAACATAAGTGCCATAGTGCTCATGGAGGAACCTGGTGTGCCAAATAGCACCCAGCTAGGGCCTCAGAGTATCTGCATGCAGCCCATCCTATCCATAGTGTATTGCACTCTTTAAAACAAAAGTAGGCGTCATAGTGCTCACAGGGGATCCTGGGGCCCAGAGGACACTCCTGATTCAATTTAGTTAATTATTATAGTAGCCTATCCTATTCGTAGTGTACCGCACTTTTTAAAATGAATGAAAACCTGTGACAGCAAATCCATGCAGGCATACTTTCATTTTAATACATATAGATTAGATAGAAAATAAGATTTTCTTTCATTGTTATAGAAAATAAGTTTTTTAAATTGAAATGCTGCATGAGAAACTGAGCTGCACAATTTGAGCACAAACCCACCCACTGACAAAGTGAGTTAAGAAAAAGCTTGTATAAAATTGAATGTTTACCATTCCCTCTAAAGTTGCTATATCTTGCTCTGCTTTTTGAAGCTTGAATTTGTAATCATGAATTTGTTTACTGGCTTCACCTTCAAGATAGACACAATCATTTAGTACATGCAACAAATAGTTCATGCAACTGCTAACACTTGTATAAAACATGACTAAATGTCAAATGAATTGATTTAAGTACAATGATAATAAAATTTTACTGCAAGATTTGATATAAACTTCATTATTTTTTACCCCTTTTTTAAAATTTTCTAAGATAGACATCTGTCTGAAACACAAACTTGCATTGAGAACTAAAAAAATCAAAGGTCACAATGTCTGTTGCTGATCTGAGCCTCCTGCTCTTTAAACCACATGATGTGATAACATGTTAATTTCTACTAGGCTCTGGATTCAAACTTCAACATTTACAGTATAATCAATGCAAACAGGAAGTTGGTATCTCTGCTCTCTACTGCATGGAGGCTTCAAGAAGAGACATGAAAACACTGACAATCTTTGCACATAAACCAAGTAACACAGGAAGAATAACATCCGTGCGAGTTGTGTTCTAATCACACTAAGGAAAACAAAGTGTTATTGCTTTTTAAAAAATCAGAAGAAAAAGAAAAGGTGCACTTATGAAAGTAGAAGTCAGCTTTTGTGGGGAAAAGCATGCAGAAGTTTTAGTCACTTAACCAAGAAACTGTTCACTAGAAGTGATACTCTAAGAAAAAACAAAAATGACATGTACATTATTCACATGTGATTCTAATATCCAAACATGTAACTCCAAAGTAATGAATAATGTACAGTATTGAACAGAACCAAAGAAAAATGTGTTGGTTTGTACACCCCATGCCTCTCGTTACCTCTTTCATAGTCGGACTGGCCTGAGACAGGAGATTGTAAATGTCAACATTTTAAAGTTATCATTTTTTAAAAATTATTTTATTCAAAATCAAGGGAATAGTTTAAGGAAACTGTATTAAACTTACGCTGAATTTCATAAAGCTGCATTTCTGGTCCATTCATTTGTGGTATACTGGATGAGGATTCACCTTTACGTGCACTATACTGATGATCTTCCAATTCAGTCTTCAATGCCTTAATCTGAAAGAAATGTTTGTAACCAGAGCACTAAGCTTTTAGCCACACCTCTGGTTTCCTGCCCATTCCTGTGTTCTCTATTTTAATAGCTAGCCAACTTGTCACAGCCATCACAGACACAAATTAATTTCAATAGCTACCCAACTTGTCACTAGCTACCCAACTTGTCACTAGCTACCCAACTTGTCACAGCCATCACAGACACAAATTAATTTCAATAGCTACCCAACTTGTCACTAGCTACCCAACTTGTCACTAGCTACCCAACTTGTCACAGCCATCACAGACACAAATTAATTTCAATAGCTACCCAACTTGTCACTAGCTACCCAACTTGTCACTAGCTACCCAACTTGTCCCTAGCTACCCAACTTGTCACAGCCATCACAGACACAAATTAATTTCAATAGCTACCCAACTTGTCACTAGCTACCCAACTTGTCACTAGCTACCCAACTTGTCCCTAGCTACCCAACTTGTCACAGCCATCACAGACACAAATTAATTTCAATAGCTACCCAACTTGTCACTAGCTACCCAACTTGTCACTAGCTACCCAACTTGTCCCTAGCTACCCAACTTGTCACAGCCATCACAGACACAAATTAATTTCAATAGCTACCCAACTTGTCACTAGCTACCCAACTTGTCACAGCCATCACAGACACAAATTAATTTCAATAGCTACCCAACTTGTCACTAGCTACACAACTTGTCACTAGCTACCCAACTTGTCACAGCCATCACAGACACAAATTCATTTCAATAGCTACCCAACTTGTCACTAGCTACCCAACTTGTCACTAGCTACCCAACTTGTCACAGCCATCACAGACACAAATTAATTTCAATAGCTACCCAACTTGTCACTAGCTACCCAACTTGTCACTAGCTACCCAACTTGTCACTAGCTACCCAACTTGTCACAGCCATCACAGACACAAATTAATTTCAATAGCTACCCAACTTGTCACTAGCTACACAACTTGTCACTAGCTACCCAACTTGTCACAGCCATCACAGACACAAATTAATTTCAATAGCTACCCAACTTGTCACTAGCTACCCAACTTGTCACTAGCTACCCAACTTGTCACAGCCATCACAGACACAAATTAATTTCAATAGCTACCCAACTTGTCACTAGCTACCCAACTTGTCACTAGCTACCCAACTTGTCACAGCCATCACAGACACAAATTAATTTCAATAGCTACCCAACTTGTCACTAGCTACCCAACTTGTCACTAGCTACCCAACTTGTCACAGCCATCACAGACACAAATTAATTTCAATAGCTACCCAACTTGTCACTAGCTACCCAACTTGTCACTAGCTACCCAACTTGTCACAGCCATCACAGAAACAAATTAATTTCAATAGCTACCCAACTTGTCACTAGCTACCCAACTTGTCACTAGCTACCCAACTTGTCACAGCCATCACAGAAACAAATTAATTTCAATAGCTACCCAACTTGTCAATAGCTACCCAACTTGTCACTAGCTACCCAACTTGTCACAGCCATCACAGAAACAAATTAATTTCAATAGCTACCCAACTTGTCACTAGCTACCCAACTTGTCACTAGCTACCCAACTTGTCACAGCCATCACAGAAACAAATTAATTTCAATAGCTACCCAACTTGTCAATAGCTACCCAACTTGTCACAGCCATCACAGAAACAAATTAATTTCAATAGCTACCCAACTTGTCACTAGCTACCCAACTTGTCACAGCCATCACAGACACAAATTAATTTCAATAGCTACCCAACTTGTCACTAGCTACCAAACTTGTCACTAGCCATCACAAGCACTTATTTCACTAGCTACCAACTTGTCACTAGCTAGTCAACAGTTTGTCACTAGCCAACTTATCACTAGCTACCAAACTTGCCTTTTACAATCTCAGGCATAATACTTTCTTACTGACCCGCTTTCACTAAAGAAATACAATGACATCCTACTGTTATCTCCATTAATAAAAATTAGTTATAATAATATTAGTTTCAGGTCAGTTGCAAGACAACTGGACTCAAAAGCTTTTTTACCGTACCATTTATCTACCTTATGAATACAATAAAAATGGAAGTTGTTTATTAGAAGACTACAAACAGGCAGGGGAAATTTCACGAGCTCAGGCAGCCCAGAAAATAAAACCTTGCTCAAGTAATTTAGCACTTGCAGATAATCTCAGCCTTAACCACAGCAGAGCAATGATGTTTGTGTGTTTCCTCCCTTCCTGTGTATGAGGCTTTCATCATTCTATGTAACCAACAACTGACATCACTCATTCACATGCTCAAAATTATTTCAGCAGCTTAGTAAAACAATAGCGGTCACTGTGATTAGATTGAAGTTTGCACATCTAAAATAGAGTTCACCTGTTTTTCTGGCAATGACACATGAAAGAGCTTTAACCTAAGCCCAGCCTTCCCAAAAACCATGGGGTAGTAAAGGCATGTTTTGAGACCCACTCTGTCTGAGGGCAGCATCCGACAACAGAATTTCTTCATTAGAGACTGGCTTTACATATTTTAGACACAAGTAAGAATAGCTCAGGTCAACTAGTTCACATGACAGTACCTCTTTTAACAGGGAAGCTTTTTCTGCAGCATAACTTTTCACCTTATCATCTGGGGAACACAAAAAAGTTTTTCTTGGCTATTTTCAAAGATAGCATAAGACAGACATATCAAGGGGATGTTAAGAAAAGTAAACAAGCCATTTCTGAGAACTGCTGACTTGTGTACATCTTGAGAGATCATCTGCCCTACTTGTTACAACATTTTAATAAAGATTCAGCACTGTTGGCAGATAAATCTAGTTAACTCTGATGTTGGCTGGGGATTTCTAGTACTAAGCTCAGTTTTCAAGTAGTCTAAAACTAAACAAAAAAATTAACATTTCATTTTTGAGGAAACAAAAATTGTTTAAAGTAGCAGCACATTCTAAAATCAAGACTTCCAGTCCAAGACTACAAGCACCAAGACATGCAGTACTAAACACTAGACATGCACTGTTCAAACCAGAGTCAAGTTAAACACTTGTTACATGTGACATGGGAGCTCCAGTCAGAAAATAATTACTGAAACCAGTAGTAATATATACCATTATTTTCTTTATTCAAAATCAGAGTAAAATATACACTGTCTTTTAAAAGTTATCTACCCTCCAATTCAAACTTTTGAATATGTCAATCAGGATAAAACAATATTATGCAACAAACAAACAAAAATTGAGCCCTAATTCTTCATGCACTAGTTTGACAGTAATTGAGAAATTTTTGATTTGGTTAAGTAGCATGCTTTTAATTTACTGATATTAACATAGAAATCATCAATATAAGACATTTAACTTGGTATAAAAAATATTGCCAAAAGCATATGCAGCTAGTGAAAGCAATTAATATATAAATGTTTATATAAACATTTAAAATATACTTCAAAATCCAGATACAAAATTAAGTGATACAGAAGTCATTTAAGATTATTAAGATTATAATATATAGCATGAACAGTTTCAAAAACTTCATTTTGAATTCCAATTAGTTGTCTTTGTAACTATCAGAGCAAATGTATACATGAATTTATGCTTCTAGAGTTAATGTATACTTGCATTAATGCTTCTAGAGTATACTTGAAAAACTGGTTTTAAGTGCTTCGAGAGATAAATTACACTCTCAGTACTGCTATAAAAAGAATGGACTAAAGTATTTAAAAACTGGTTTTAACTTGACTCTGCCTGACAGATTTATTGCAACACAGAAATCCAACCCTGATAATACTACATTTTCCAGGAAAATATATACATAAAAATAAATCCCATATATGAAAACAAAATATATGGCAATGTAAAATCTTCTAGTACAAAATCTGAGGGAATGTATCCAGTGATTGTTCCTAAACAATTGACTCGCCACAACTATTTCAATTTTTTTTCACCCATACAGCACATACCTCAAAAGTAAATATAAAATACAAAAAAATGAAATCACAGCAAAATAAACTACACACATGGTTATTACATGAGCAGCAAGCAATAATCTACTAGTATTTATCAAACTTGGTTCAAGATGAAATTTTACATTTGTTACATTTACATTTTTAAAACCATTATGAAAATTTTTTTAAAGGGTGGAGTATTTGATACGCATCTACTGACACAAGTTATTTTTGTAAAAACTAGAATCAAACTGATTGATATGAAGAACATTTGTTGAAGTGTTATCTTTAGATTAAAAATGGAAAATACAGCTTTTGATTAAGTAAAATCTAGGAAACATGATTTTATATCTTACAAATATAATAGTATAATAAGGATATGAAAGACTATGCACAAAAAGAATGAGTAAAAATCACAGCAACATGAGATAGCAAACACTACAACAAGCAGTAAGTAGAGCAAAATATCAGAAATGACATCTTATAGCTAAGGCTAAGTCATTACTTGAAAACTTTTTTTAACAAGCTGAACTTTTTAGATTTCTTATGAGATTTTGATATGCCTGCTTCACTAAGTTGTTTTTCTAAAGTTCCTTCTAAATCATCTTCAAGTGAAGCCTGAGATTCTCTTTTCTCTGATTTACTTTTAGATTTTGATTCTTTACTTTTTTTACTTTCCTTTGTACTCCCTTTGCCCTTTGAAGGCTTTTCTTTTTTATCAGCCCCATTTTTTTCTGGTGTTTCTAGCTTGACTGGTTTCATTTCAACAGATGCTACTTTTTCAGGAACAACCTCTGAAGGTCTAGTGCATTGTTGAACTGAAGTTGAAGCATCAACATGACCCTTCTGAGCATCTTCAGATACAGTGGATGCATCAAGATCAACCTCCTTTGCAGCATCATCTGTGAGTGGTGTGTCAAGTATGTCATCAATGTCATCTAGGTTATAATCATCTGGAGCTTCTGATGTCTCAGACTCTCCATGACTCAGTGATCTCACTAGATCTTGCCCTGTACTGGGGCTTTCAACCTCAGGGTATTTTTCTCTCAGCTGTTCTACAGTTATTTCCTCATCAAAGGCAGTGGCCTTAATATTATCATTTGGATCTAATGTTTCAGTTTCTTCTAGGACAACTTTTTCACATTTCTTCTCTGTTTGAACATCAGATTCAACAACAGAGTTCTCTGTTGGTAGCTCAACATCAGATTTGTCCTTTTTGTTTTCATTTTCAGCCACTGTTTCTGAATTTTCTATGGCTTGCTCAACATCAGTTTTATCCATTTTGTTTTCATTTTCAGCCACTGTTTCTGAACTTTCTATGGCTTGCTCAGATGTGTCCATTTTGTTTTCATTTTCAGCCACTGTTTCTGAACTTTCTATGGCTTGCTCAACATCAGTTTTGTCCATTTTGTTTTCATTTTCAGCCACTGTTTCTGAACTTTCTATGGCTTGCTCAACATCAGTTTTGTCCATTTTGTTTTCATTTTCAGCCACTGTTTCTGAACTTTCTATGGCTTGCTCAACATCAGTTTTGTCCATTTTGTTTTCATTTTCAGCCACTGTTTCTGAACTTTCTATGGCTTGCTCAACATCAGTTTTGTCCATTTTGCTTTCATTTTCAGCCACTGTTTCTGAACTTTCTATGGCTTGCTCAACATCAGTTTTGTCCATTTTGTTTTCATTTTCAGCCACTGTTTCTGAACTTTGTATGGCTTGCTCAGACTTGTCCATTTTATCATTTTCAGCCACTATTTCTGAACTTTCTATGGCTTGCTCAACATCAGTTTTATCCTTTTTGTTTTCATTTTCAGCCACTGTTTCTGAACTTTCTATGGCTTGCTCAGATGTGTACATTTTGTTTTCATTTTCAGCCACTGTTTCTGAACTTTCTATGGCTTGCTCAACATCAGTTTTGTCCATTTTGTTTTCATTTTCAGCCACTGTTTCTGAACTTTGTATGGCTTGCTCAGACTTGTCCATTTTATCATTTTCAGCCACTGTTTCTGAACTTTCTATGGCTTGCTCAGATGTGTCCATTTTGTTTTCATTTTCAGCCACTGTTTCTGAACTTTCTATGGCTTGCTCAGATTTGTCCATTTTGTTTTCATTTCCAGCCAATGCTTCTGAACTTTGTATGGCTTGCTCAGACTTGTCCATTTTATCATTTTCAGCCACTGTTTCTGAACTTTCTATGGCTTGCTCAGATGTGTCCATTTTGTTTTCATTTTCAGCCACTGTTTCTGAACCTTCTATGGCTTGCTCAACATCAGTTTTGTCCATTTTGTTTTCATTTTCAGCCACTGTTTCTGAACTTTCTATGGCTTGCTCAGTTTTGTCCTTTTTGTTTTCATTTTCAGCCACTGTTTCTGAACTTTCTATGGCTTGCTCAGATGTGTCCATTTTGTTTTCATTTTCAGCCACTGTTTCTGAACTTTCTATGGCTTGCTCGGATTTGTCCATTTTGTTTTCATTTCCAGCCAATGTTTCTGAACTTTCTATGGCTTGCTCAACATCAGTTTTGTCCTTTTTGTTTTCATTTTCAGCCACTGTTTCTGAACTTTCTATGGCTTGCTCAACATCAGTTTTGTCCATTTTGTTTTCATTTTCAGCCACTGTTTCTGAACTTTCTATGGCTTGCTCAGATTTGTCCATTTTGCTTTTAACATCTTTGTTGTGGTCATCATTTCCATTGAGTGAACTATGACTAGCTAGCTCCAGTGCAGACTGACAGGATTCAGTACTTTCCAGGCCCCCTTCTAAGCTAATATTTATTTTGTTCTTTACGGGATCTGAACCAAAGTCAGTAGAAACTTTTTCAAATGGGGAGGGAGTACTTATAGCATCATAAAATTCTTCAGCATCAGACTCTTCCTCTCCTGATTTGCGAGGCCTAGAGGAAAGTTCTGATGGAAGTTGTAAGAAGGAGCTTCCCACTGAGTCCACCATATCAGGACCTGTTCCTGGACAAGCCTCTGCACTACCTTTCTCATGCTCACTTGCTAACAATTCCATGCTGTTTAAACAACTAACATGCACCGCCTCATCTAACGCCCGGTCTCTGCAAGCACCTGAGGATGAAACTTTCTCTCCAACTCTGCAACCTGAGGTCAGAGCTGGATCAGTTTCATTTTCAGATGGGTGGACAGCATCAACAGGACAAGAGGAGGCAACACCAACAACACTACTGGAAATAAAATGACTGCCACTGACTGTTGTACCTAAAGTTACACCAGGTGACTTCTCCAAGAAATCTTTTGTTTCAGAAGATACCAAGAAAGCACCGGTAGGTAGTGGACCATTGGTAGTTGTAGACTGTTTCTCCAGGACTGGCTCACCCTTGTCATTGGCCATTATAACAAAGCCACTCTCCTGAAAAATGTAATGGGCATTTACTACACAGAAAAACAAATGATATTCATTAGACAAATAAATAGCTTTATTCACAGATTGCCCATTTTTTTGTAACATTTCAAGGAAATATTTTAGTAAGAATTAAAACAAATTTTAAAACATTCTACAGGGATGTGATTTGGCCATGGAAAATAATAGGACATTTTTTTACAGATAGGAAATCAATAAGATTTACTGCAGTTAAAGCAGTCTCACACTGTTTGGTACTCATTTATAGTTTAATATAGCTAATATTTTTTGTTTAAATATTTTAAAAAATTCTGTTACTCTAAATCAGTGGTTCCCTAACTTTTTCGAGTGTTGACCCTCTTTTATAAAAAGTAAGTGACCCGCGACCCCCAAAGAATTAAAAAGTCGATATTAGTAAGGAAATTAATACACACTAAAATAAGATTTTCTAGTAGACTTTCAATATGAATTATTTTTTATAACTGTTTTAATACGATGAGGAAATTGCATGATATTATCTAGACTCAACATTTGCCGTTGAGTTTATGATAAAGCCAACCTCATGTCTCAGCATTTTACTCATTTCTTTGTTTTGTTTTAATTGGGGAAGTTTTGAAAATCTATTCTCACGAAGATATGTAGACACAAAAGGAACTAAAACTCGAAAGGCAATCAATTACACGTTGGGGTATGAATTGCGCATATTACACCAAAATTGAGTGTGTACATGACGCGGATTCATTTTGCAAATCCAAGATTTCATCTTTCAATTCATCGGGAATGCTGGCAAACTTAAGGGATGCAGAGAGTGGGTCAATGCAGACTTCTTCTTTCAGCTCAGAGGAAAATAATGTCGCAGTTTCAAATTTTTATTTATTTCACATTCTGATTTATCTACCACACTGCAGAGTTTCTCAAACATGGCAATATTTCCAAGGTTTATTTTTCTTTGCTAATTTAGCAGCTTAGATACATATGCCCCGCGATTATCACGAAAAAAGATAATATTCGTTCATTTTCCATGAAACTTCAGGTTAAACTTATGTTAGTGTTCAAATATATCTGCTTGGTATGATACTCTCCCCAACCACTCTTTGTCGTTAAAGTATATTAAAAGGTCATGTTTTCCTTTCACTTCCAAGATCATCTTGATTTCATCTTTCAATTCAATAATTGGATCACAACATTTCCTTTTGGCAGCAGAGTACTGTTGTGTAGAAAAGCAGAACCTCGTGATCGTTATTCATGTCTTTGCACAGTTCTTTAAACAGATGACTGTTTAGGACTCCAGTTTTAATATAATTTACGACTTTTATTAGCAATGGAGTCGGAAGAGTCTTGCTGGTGATGGCATACCGGTGAATCATGCAATGGATTCCCTTTGGTTAGGGAGCTAAATCTTTTACGTTTTTCTGAAAGTCTTATTTTGACCCAAACATAGATGACGCACCTCACCATCCGTAAAAGCACCACAGCCGTTTTCCCATTTTAATCCTCCAGTTTCAAAAAACGTATTTATTTTCTCCATTATATCTTCACAAAATAGCAACTCTTCTTTGCTAACATACCTGAATGAATATATTTCACAAAGACAAGCAACTGCTAGCATGAACTCAAGTCTGTTGATTCTTTAACTTGAAAAGCAAACAGCGGTGAAAACTTGATTTCATTCAAAATTTGTTCTTTAACATCTACGGACAAGCCTGTTATAAACCGCTGAATAGTATTATTAGGAAGATAGTTGTTGCATCTTTGCCGCACTGGAATCCCCAGTTTTTCACCATCTTCATCACGCATTGTTTGGTGAGGTTTTATCCTACTGTGTGTGAGGTTTTTTTTTTAGTTTTTTTTTGCTTGGCTATTTCATATGATGCTTGTACTAATGCAGTGTTTCCTTGGTGATAACTTCCCTTTTCGATCAAATCTCTGGCGTTTGCTAATAGCTTCATGCAGACGAAAGAACTCAACATCTTTGTAGGTGTGTTCCGAATGACTCGTCTCAAAATGACATTTTAGGTTTGAAGGTTTTATAGACTCGTTACTGAGAACAACTTTGCACCGTGCTACTGTTTCTCTATTTCATCTCCAGTAATGTTAGTAAAGCCGAATTTAGTCTACCAGTTGGCGACCCCCCCAGAAAGCCCTTCGCGACTACCCTGGGGTCACGACCCCCAGTTTGGGAACCCATGCTCTAAATGAAGACCTGTCTACTGCAATTTAATGGTTTCCCTTATAGATAACTTTTTAAAAATTTTATTTTATAATTTCACAAACATGGAAAAAAAATTATTTCAGCATTAAGCTAATTTTAATTGTAATTATCTAGTTGTACTATTGTTTTTTATTTTAAATTACACCTTATGATGGGCATGGTAAATATGTAAGTCTTCAACAGTGAAGAGCCTAGATCTAGTTTTAGACCACTTGTAATTTGAAAGTTTTAGTTCATGAGATGGTATGAAATCTACTAGATCAGCTGAAATTAGAAAGGATCTGATATTTTTAAAGGGTCTGATATTTAATTTTAAAAGGGTTTTGGAATTAGATCTAATACTTGTAAAAACTTTTAAACAAAAAAAATATTTTGATAGCCAAGTTGCATTGTTATTTATGCTTTTGGAATAGCCAGCCATAGACTGTTATTAAAAATAGTGGGTATATTTTTCTTCAACAAACAAGGCGGTTGGGGTCACAGTGAATTCACATTAGTTTTGAAATCATTATAGTATACTTCATAGGAGGAACATAACTATTTGAGATTGACCATGACTTCATTTTTACTTTGAAGTTGTGAAAAAAAATGAAGGCAGAAAGAAACAGTAGATGGGGTAGATTTAAAAACAGAGGGTAAATTAAAATACTGGTAGATAAATTGGGCTTCCATTAGACCAGCAGTCATGCAAGAAAAATGGTAAGGAAATCAGGCTCGGGAGATGTACTTTTCATTTGAAAAGCAGCAACAGTTTAGATTACATTTCCATATTTTTAATAATAAAATATATATCAGCGGAAAATTCTGACTAAATAAAGTGGGACTGGTCTCCTCTAAACTTTCTCGAAATTTCTTATATAAAACTACAAGGAATGCAACTCTGGATATAGACATGATTTTTAATCAATTTTTAATTACTTAAACTTTTAAAAATAGAATAGAATCTCGTAGAAAAAAGAATCGCATACCAAGTGAACAGCAAACATTGTGTATAATATAATGTGCTGAATATTGGTACTTTAAAAAATTCATATGCTCTTTTTGAGAAATGGGAAATAGTTAAGGTACTACTTCCAGTACACAAAAATTACTCAAATTTGAAAGAAGGCAGAGAATAAGATCATTTACTTAAATGCGAAATTTCATTTATCTATCTGAAACTGTACTCAATTTATAGGCTACCGGAAATTGCTGAAAAAATGATACAGAACTACAAATCTATATATATAATTCTCTTCTTGGAGCCGCTAGAAAACACCAAGCTGTAAGCGCGCTCCCTATCACCCCACCCCTACATGGTCTGGTGAGCTTTGGTTCACGCAAAATGTTTACAATCGTAGAGCCGGGTTTAGTGACGGCTATCAGGGGCAGATAATTTAGTTTGAAATGATTTTAAACTTAGGGGAGGTAACTAAAAGGAGGCTGCTTTCACCGGGGGGGGGGGTAGGGTAGGGGAAAGGAGGGGGGGGCTATCGTCCTTAACAACCTACTGATAGTATTTTAAAGCAAATATTTTCAGTGGCAGCATTGGTACTGTCGAATTCACAAATTATGAATTACTTAAAAGTAGAGAATAAAACAACTGGATAGCGGCGTATGATGCGTCGTGGGTCGGCTCGTCTGATATAATACTCAAATATGAAATTTCATCTACCTAGCTGTAACAGTACTCAAGTTACTGTGCTCACAGACATACACACACATACGGACAAAATTGCAAAACTAAGTTTTTCCGACTTAGAGTTGTACATTGAGATTTGTGAAAATCTTGATTTCAATTTTTTGCACGATCACAATACTTCCTCTATACTTCGTATAAGAGAAATTAAAAATTTAAGATCTGCAAAATTCGAAAATCCCCCCAAAATTCAAAAGCTTGACTTAGGTTTGATTTTGAAAATGGAATTATCGGAGGAAAATTGCAACTGAAAAGGAAAAATCAGATTTCTGCACACAAAAAATCGGAAAAGTCACATCCCATATTCTAGCTCTGATAAACTGTGGTAACCAATTCACAGTACACCTACAGTCTTATGATCATCTTAATCTTACACTTCCTTAAGCTTTTACTAACTCCATTTCATTTTCCTCAAGCTAAGACTATTTATGTTTTTTATCAGTTAAAAATAAACATGTTAAATAATATATTTAACTAAAAGTGCTTGTAGAGTTGAAACAACTTGGACTCAACTGTGCTTGCTTGCTTAACCATATTTTGTAGGCCACACCACCAGAGTAACCATGTTTAGCAAGGGAAGTTTGTGTTATGGAGAAGCATGGATTAAGTGTCAGAATTGTTGGGTAAAATATAGTGTAAAATATAATCTGAACAGCACATTGTCTAGGCACATTTCTAGTTAATACATAAAATAGTATGCCCATCTGTGTCATTTGTATTCATAAAGATATTAGTTTTTATATAGACTTGTTTATCTAAGTACTTAAAAGGCAAAACAGGTATGTTGCAATAATACACTCACTATTAGGTAAACAAACCCTGTGACAGTTAAACTAAACACAATGTGAGTATGTAGGTCTTGTCACAAACAACCACTACAATCCTATCTACTAAAGTGTACTTACCTCTATTAACCGATCTTTAATTTCTAATTGTTGTTTCAGAATGCCTAATTCATGTTCCATAGCTTTAAGATCCCTCTTCATGAAATCATACTCCTGGAAACAGAAAAGTAAGTGCAATATTTAACTTTAGAATTTCCTACTTTAAAAATAAGCATGAATTCTGATTAAATATTATTTTTTTTACTAATGTATTTTATTTTCAACCTTTATTCCCATCTATACAGGTATACATCTATCTATATATATATATCTACCTTTATATATATATATATATATATATATATATATATATATATATATATATATATATATATATATATATATATATATATATATAAAGGTAGATATATATATATATATATATATATATATATATATATATATATATATATATATATATATATATATATATACACACACACACACACACTCTAGAACACCCATAATTCTTTGTATAACTGAGTTTTGGTGTCATTCATAACTGAGTTTAGGTGTCATTCATAACTGAGTTTAGGTGTCGTTCATAATAGATGTCATGCCTGTTTTAAACTTTTTCTTCCCCCCTACCATTCCCCACTGTCACACACATCACAAAAATCCAGACCCCCACATCTGAAAAAAATGTCACATATCAGCCACCATCTTTTAATCTTTTAAAAACACAGATTTCTGTTGAGCATGGTGCTGACCACACTATCCCTTCAGAAGCAGATGAACTCTACTTCACCTGCCCAGTGTATCGCCAGGTCCAATAGGCAACTTTATCATACTCATCACGTTTTATTTATTTTATACACTGACGTACTGTTTACAAACTATTATTTTTAACCAATAAAAGTTTAGACCCCGCTCCTAATAACAATGTTTACTACTATCTTTCGGTTTTATAGTCGGTCACTAAATTGAATCAGGTGTGTCCGCAGGTGCCCGGGAAGGGCTTGTTTTGGCGCCCTGGGCTATCCTGTGAGCGCTATGGTGCATACTTTCATTTTAACAGTGCGATCCAGGGGGTCGGAGTGGTTGAGTCGGTAAAGCTTATGGTTGCTAAACTGAAAAGTCTAGAGTTTGAACCCTCAAGCAGATGAGCCTTGTTAGCTGGGGAAAGCCACTCTTCTAAGAGAGACAACTCCAAAATCAAACAACTGCTGCCTTGCAGTTTGTTCTTGGTTGGACAAAGGCTATGGAAGTAAATCCAAAAAGAACAGGCTGAAATCAGAGTCAATGGCCTCAATGGCACATAACCAGTTGACACGTATACTTAATTGTGCTGGAGAGGATCCATTCCAATACTAAAATTAAGAACGCAGAAGAAGAAAGAAGAATCCAGGGCGTCCTCTGGCGCCCCAAAAGAGTGCTATTTGGCGCCTCGGACCTCCCCGTGAGTGCTATGGCGCACACGTTCGTTTATGTGAGTGCAATAGACTATGATAAGTTGGGGTATTATAATCGTTTACTAAGTTGCACCAGGCGGTTCCGCCAGTGACCCGTGAGGGTGTGATTTGGAACCCCATGTTAGACTGTGACCACTATGCGTTTATGTTTGCATTTAAGTTTGTGTTCATGTAATGTGTTATTATGTATTATTGTTTAAGATTAGGTTTGCTTTTGCGTTTTTTGCATTTGCATTATATTTGTTTTTGCATTTTCTTTTGTGTTTAGGTTTGTGTTTGAATGATGTGTGTTGCATTTGTGCTTGTGTTTTAGTTGTTTTTTTTTTTTTTGCATTTGCTTTTACATAGTGTTTCTGGTGCACCGTGATTTCCAACTTTACAATTTCTATGTGGTAAAATTAAAACAAAAAAATCAACACTGACAAGTGCTTTAAACCCATACCACTTACAGGCTCACTAATGCACTGTCATCTTGACAAGCAAGTCATATACATTTTGGTGAAAATATTTTGTATTATTTAGTTTACTCTCCAAAGCCACTCTTTGCCATTGAGTAAAATTACACAAAATATTTTAAATTAAATTAAATCCTAACTTAACCTATTCTATTGCTATGAAACAAAGATTGATATACAATATATAAGGCCTAAAATAGTTGAGTAAAGAACTCAATTATTGTGTTTTATACTTTTTGTTTTTAACTAATTAATTTTGGTTTGGCCTAGATTTCCCTAGATTCTAGATCTACTTGTTCTCCTACAGAGCTAAAAATAGCTTAAATCTAATTTATGAGTAGATCTAAATTCATTGTATTCTAAAATTAGATGATCTGTGAAGCGTATAATAATGATCTGTGAAATTGATAATAGTGTTGGAACCTAATAAAAATAACAGATATAGTTAAATTTATGGCTGAGAGAAAATTTAGCTTTATAATGCATTAAACTTTAAATGGTCTAATTTTCCCAGAACTGCTTGTTGTGAAAATAAGTAAATAAAGTATTTACTCTCTCCTTGTATAATTAAAGGTTTGTTTCTACATATGAATATATTAATAATTATAAATGTCATTTACTAAATGTGTGTGTCTAAACATTCTGTTGAACTTAAGGTGCAACAAATCTTACCCTGCTTTTTTCTTTGTATTCTCTCTGCAGCTCAGTGTAACCCTCATCTTGCTCCTCTAGCTGATCTTTTAAAAGCTCCACCTGATACACCAGGGATTGCTTCTCATTATCCAGCTGGGCGCTGGTCATCATGGCTGCTTTGTATTTCTCTTCCAGTTCTCTAATTTCTGCCTGAAAACACAGCATTTCATGTTACATCATCTAACTAGACAAAAACTTGACGTCAAGACTTGATCTTACTGAAAATAATGTACATTTTCTTAAGAAATTTGCCAGACTAATGCTGGAAAATATCCTGCTCTAAAGGGAAGACATAAGGAGAAGCAAACAAAAGTAACATTCCAGAGCAGAAAACTGGCAGTCCATAAACCCTCATCTGGAAGAACATCACAAGCAGATGCTAATAGTGAACACAAGAGCAAATTTTAGGAGTCACAAGGTTGCAAGGCGCACTTAATGTAATGGAATACATTCACAATAAAACTACTGGCTTAATAGCAAAGATAAGACAAAGAGAATGTTATTTCCTTGCCCTAAGGACTGTCATTTTGAGTTTTAAAAGAGCTCTCTGCCACAGCACCTGCTTCAACCATCTTGTATCACAACTTAAAAATATGGGACACTGAATTTTTTTTTATATTTTGTTTTTATAACCACTGCTAGAATATAACAATCATATAGTTTCAACAGTCTAACAAATTTATTGACTTTATTAGTTTAGGAAAAAAACATTTCTCTGTATCAATTTCAGTCAATTTTAAAAATATGCATTTACAAATTTACATTCCAAAATAAATTCACTTCAAATTAAAAAAAAAAACAATTAGAAAATTGATACCAAAATGTAATATGTAGAATTTAACATCAAAATGTATTATGATAACAACACACTCAAATTGTTTGTAAATAAATAAGATGTATAAATCAAAGTACAATTCACTTTAACTAAAACTTGAAGCTGTGATAATAAGGGAAATAAACAGCAAATATTGAAATTTCAACTAAGGCAACTCTGCAGTCGAAATAAAAGCTAAAAATATTTGACCCTGGCTTATTGACAGGACCATGAACATAGAAAATTATATTCTATATTTTTTACACTGATGATTTTTTGTTTTAAATTCTACTTAACTCTAAATGCAACTTAAAAATCTAGTAGTTCAACAAAAAGATTATTATATTAAAGCACAGGAGAAACACTACTTGAACATGCATTGACAAATCCATCTGTGTGGCTGCTGGCTCATGCACATGATTAGAAAAATCATGGGTTTGCTAGTTTCACACATACCACTTACCAGTTTAGCACTTCTTTTCTGTTGTCATGTCAAAACAAAAAGACACATAAATAAATCATAAAATTAAAGATAAATTGAAACATCAAAACATAAAGCTGACAATAACTCCATGATTTATTTTTAAGAGCTACTTGTTTAATTGGTCACTATAAATAAAAACAAAACATCTCTACTTTGACCATGTAATATAAACAAGTCAGTACCAGGAGAGAAACTAGTACAAAAACAATGCATTTAAAAGAGTTGAGACAAGAAAGATAATTAATTTCACTAAAACACAATTGATCCTAATGATAGTTTAAATTAAATGTAAAATAAAATTGTAACTATAAAAATAAAATAAAAATTAGAAGAAACACAAAGTCTAATAGAATTAAAATGTAGTTTAAAATAAGAACTATAAAGATGTTAATGCTAGTTTTATTCTTTCTGATACATTTTTTTTTATTAATTCAGACAACTATGAATGATAATTCTTCTTATCTGCTTTTCTTTTTGGATTTGCTTCCATAGCTTTTGTCCAAACAAAAACAAACTACAAGGCAGCAGTTGTTTGATTTTGAAGTTGTCACTCCTAGAAGAGTGGCTGTCCCCAGCTAACTAGCCTCATTGCCCGAGGGTTCGAACTTGAGACTTATTAGTTTAGCAACCATGAGCTTTACCGACTCAACCACACCCACCCCCTGCCTCTATTCTGAATGTTAGAATTTAAAATAAGTGTAAATCTAGGATACATTATTTCGCTCCTTGATCAATGTTATTGTTAAGTGATGATATACCGTAAACCTTTTATGCTGCAACTATATTTAATTTGTTGTTCCAACAAATTTGGGATTGGTTTAAAAAATAGTTTTCAAGTTGTACTTTTTCTATTACTTGCTACTTATAACTTTTTGTTAATGTCTGCTTATTGATTTCCTATTTTTAAAGATATTTATAATTAACTCTGTAAAATTTAATTTGCATCTGCAGTGAAACTACTACCCATGTAGCGAGGTAAAAGCTATAGAAATTGTAATAAGAAGATAATGTTACAGCCTTAATTATTAATTACAATTATAGGTATATTCTCTAATGAATACTCCAACAACTGTAGTTTAAATAAACACCTTAAAGATGATGATTTAATAATGAACAGAAATACAAAAAAAAAAACTTCCATAAACAGCATAAAGACATGCTCTTCTTATTTCATGCCATGTAGGCTGTACAGATTGTAGCTTATTTACTTTACCTTAAAATCCACATCTTTAACATCAGAATCATTTGACTCTGTACTCCCCCGTCTGGAGCCTGACCTAGAACCTGACAACTGCCTCATCTGAGAACGTAAAACAGATCACTTTTAAAAGCCTTCCTACACCAGAATTCTTATCATCTGCTATTATTTTCAATATTAATGATATTATTACCTTTGAAGATACATGTTCATTTGTTAGCTCATATACTCTATCTTGCTTGCCTTCAGACTGGAAAAAGAATTTTAAATGATTCATTTAGTAAAAATGTAAAATTACGTTTTAGCTTAGAACCATAATTTTGTTCAAACAACATTAATTATTAAAAAATAATCTCTGTTGTAAATACATTAATGTGGTGGATACATGAATGCACAGATATAATCAACCAAGAACCAATGTGTTTAAATAGAAAATTCTTGGTTGAAATATGTTTAATTTCTGTTCTTACTTCTTTCTCTTGTTTTTCAATTTCTTTCATCCTTATTTCTCGAGCTTCTGCTCTAGCTGCCCGTTTTGCCGCAAGACGTGCTTCTGCCTACAATAGATTTTTTTTTTTATTTAAGAGAAATCAATCAAAAGTTTAAAATCAATCATGTTATTAGGGTATATATGTTTTAAACTAGTTATGTTGTATAGTTTCACATGGATAACTCAGTAGCTTAACAAAAAAAAATACTTTTAAAAACATGTATCCCCTTGCTTATTTTCTTCTAATATCCCTATGACAAATTATGATGTGCCTAAAAATAACTGATTAAGATGTCCTAGGATGGTGTATATGTAGAACTGAAAATTTTTTAATTCAATAACTAATAATATGAGAGCCTAATAAAAACTATAAAAACAATTTTTAAAAGAAAGAACCTAATTCAGCAAATTTGAGCATAGAATATTTTTATACACTACATGTAGCCTTTATTCATTTTACTAACAGAAATAGAATACTAGTTTGCAACAGCTTTCAATAAATGATTGCTTACTTCTTTTGAAATCATATTTAAAGCCTGATCTTCAGCTGAATACTGCTGCCGCATATTGCTTCTTCTACGCCCAGCAGACTGTGAACTCATCTTAATTAGAGTTGATTAAATTCAAGGATTAACAGCTAAACAAGGTTTGAATAGTCTGTCACTATTATTTTTCAAAGCTGGAAAAGCTCTTTAGCATATCAGTAGTATTTCTATATTGGAATCTGTAAATCTAAACCTGTAAAAAAAAAGTAAAAAAGGATAATTTACAGGGCCTATAGAGTTGATACTGAATGCCATTATTGCAATCATGATTGCATTCACCAATATCTACTCTACAATTTAAATGCTGTTGTTAGTATTCTACAGAAAATACTATTAAGTGTTTTTTTAACTCAGACACTAATAATTTATTAGGCCCTAACAACAAACGAACACACCTATTTGTCTTTTGTACTGGTAGCACTAAAACTCCAGTATTTAAATACTGATTATAGTAAAGAATCCTCTTTAGAACTATAGATCCATTGAGCAGATGAAGTAGAGTTAGTGTTTCTTGACCTCAGCATATCAAGGGAAGGTGTGGTCAGCACTATAACAGCCACCTTTACTTTTCCTAACATGAGTTAGGTACCCATCAGAGCTGGGTGGACTTAGGAATGTAATGTTCTAGTTTTACAGACTTGGACCCAGATTCAAACTCGGTACTTGCTAGTGAGAAGCCTCGCACTCTATGGCTTAGACCACACCATACCACAGTTGCTGATTATACATGTACTAAATAATATTACTAGCCTAAATAATGGGATAGATCTATTTATTATTTATTCAGCCTAAGGCCTACATTTAGTGTAAATTTAATTCTTTTACGCTTCTCTGAGCATGATCATCTCAAACTCCAGTGATACCTTTACCTATATCTAATCTTAGAATCTAGAACCCTTCTTGATCTATCTACTAGATTAAGGCTTAATAAAAATAATTTCAATAAAATATAGGCCCTATAGATTCTAGATAAAACTAGGCTCTAATAGCTAGTCTTAGAATTTACTGCTAAGTAGAGTGACATGTAGAATTAGTTATTTGGTGAATAACTAATATAAATAAAATATTAATAAAGTAGGTAGGCCTAATTAATTAAGTAACAAGGAAACATTTTTGTATTTTTCAAAACATAATACCTCCTCAAAATGTGAAATAATTATTAAAATGTAAGGAGTCACCTGTTTTTCACATTACTAGTCGTGGGCGATTTTACATACATAGGCCTACCTACTACCTATCCTATATCAGCAATAGATTACCTAAGTAATAGATCTAAGTAATGAGTAAGTAAGTAGATCTACTAAAAGTTAAAGTAAAAGTTTTAAAAAGTAGTGTAGCTGGACCTAACTTAATAGAAGTTAATAGACTAGAATAGTACTATCTAGAGATCTACATCTACTAGCAGTACTCTCGCGTACTGTTGTAGATCTAGAGAATCTAGATCTAGATTCTAGTAGGCCTACACAGTAACTACACACAAGTCAAGTTTTTAGTTTTAGTTTTACTCAGTTTAGTAAAGAAAGGGCCCAGCCCAGAAGTATCATAAAAGTAAGATTTAGAATTAATAAATATTAAATAAATACAGATAGATCTAGATCAATACTTTCAAAAGAGGTTTATAAATCTAAGGATAATATATATTATAAGCATACTCATTGTTAACTAAGGCTATCAATGTGTTTTCAGCGTTTTAAACATTAAATTAAATTAGCTAATTAGAAGCCGACTACATTGTGCATTAGTCAAGGATATGGTTTCAGGAAGAGGATGGGACGGCATCCATGTTTTCAAAGTAGATAACACCCGGATGTTGATGAATGCGCATTGGTCTCTGATTCTTTAGGCTAGGCAATCAACAAATAAATGAACATTATCTAAATCGAAGGAAAGGCCAATTCTGTTATTTTGTAAACATCTGAATGTATAATTAAAAAGTGTTTTTCCCCTTTCTACAATCTACTATAAATAAATAATATTTTTGTTTGTTGCTTTAAGCATACTATTTTGGTGTTCATTATATATCATGGGTTGAGCGGACGGTAGATGGGGAGGGGTATGACATATGGGGTCATCCATAAATGACGTCACGCTTTTTTTGACGATTTTTACCTCCCCCCCCTCCTCTCCGTCACACGTCGTCACAAAAGCCAGACCCCCCCCTAAAATGACGTCACACCTCAACCTACAACCCCCCTCAAAATTGCAGTTGAATTTTTTAAAAACATCGATATTTTTCCAAAATCTTGTCTAAACTATTACAATTTATTAAAACAGTTATCTAAAACGCGAAATAACGTCTAAAATTCGTTTTCTAACATTGCTTTTTTATAATGCAAAAATGTGACGTCGCAACATCTGACCCCCCCCCCCCCTCCCCCTCATCACACATCGTCACAAAATTACGGACCCCCCCTCCCCCCTACGAGTGTGACGTCATTTATGGATGACCCCTAAGTAGTGTAGGCCTAATAGGGCCTGTGGCAATTTTAATTATTTATATTTTTTAATAATATTTACTTTACTATTTTTCCATATATACACATATATATATATATATATATATATATATATATATATATATATATATATATATATATATATATATATATATATATATATATATATCGAAAAAATGATACAATTGACAACTATGTTAAAAATTTCAGAAATTCTATATTATGTGAACCGCACCGGATGAAACCATTTAGGGGGTGACACCAAGACACACAACTTGCAAGACATATAGAATAAAAATATTTTTTAACAGAGAAGAAAAAAGGATGTGACGCCATAAGGTGCCGCACCGGGTGACATCTGACGTCACGCTTTTTTACCTCTCCACTCTGTCACACGTCATCGCAAAAAGCCAGACCCCCCCCCCCCCCTAAAATGAAATCACACCTCAGCCTACAAGCCCCCTCCCAAAATCGAAATAACGGTTGGTTAAAACTCATTTTCTAATATTGCTTTTTATAATGCAAAAAAAATGACGTCACGCCATCTGAACACCCACCCCCTCATCACACACCGTCACAAAATTACGGACCCCCCTCTCCCCTACGAGTGTGACGTCATTTATGGACGACCCCTGGGGCCTATTTTAAGTTCGTGAAGCTTTGGGAAATGTAACGTTCAACGAAAAACAAAAAACGGAACAACAACATAAAATCTCACAAAAAACGTTTTAATAACAAGCTTCTATGTAACAATGCACTAAAAAGTAGAAAATAAATGATTTTCTTTAAATTTATAACAATACACTACTATTTAAATAACTATAAAGAAATGCGTGGATATCTTTATTAATATTTAGGAAGAGACCCACGCTTTTCTTTATAGTTTAAATTAAGTCAAATTTAATGTCAGATTGCATTGTCTTTATGTCTTGACCCACATGCCAACTTTGAACCGAATCTGTCAGAAGTGCCCAAAATTTCGCTCGGGCGTTTCGATCTAGACTGACGACAGACTGACGACAGATAAACACAGTAAGTTAAATAAAAGCTTGTAATAAATCAACCCAAACGTGTTGTATAACAGCTCTTCACCCGTCATGTAACAACCACGCAACGAAGATGGACAAAATCCACGGGCCTCCGATTTTATTCCCTTCATTAATTTTAGGAACGAAAAATTTTAACTGTCAAATGCCTAGCTATTTTAGTAACTAGAAATCAGTGCTCTCCCTTTTGCTCTAACACCATGAGTGACATCCCAAGGACTGATCGGTCTGTGGTGGTAGCGTTATTAGGTGATTGACAGTGAAAAGGCATTTATGGGGTTGGCTAGTGGCATAGGTGCTTCTGCCGTGGGCAGAGTTTCTTCCAGCCAGGCATCTCTTCTAACTGACAGATTTGTTTCAACGTTGGAACGTGGGTCAAGACATGAAGACAATGCAACATGACATTAAATTTGACTTAATTGGTTGCCTGATTAATTTTTTATGAATTTTTTTGCTATAGTGGACAGCCTAAAATGGTTTTTGAAGTGCAGCGTTTAGTTACTGCAACATTTAGTTTTCTTTATCCCAAATCTCTACTTAACTTCTCCGATATTGGTTGGGAATTAACGACTTCCCGTAACTGGAAGCAGTACTTACTGTATTTTCCGGTTTTTCCTTCTCAAAATCCGATGACTTGAGTGCCGTTTTAGCTAGGTGGATGGAACTTCATATTTAAATTAAATTGCATCGTATAATCAGATCTATTTCAACTTTTGAGTATTTTTTTTTTGACTTAAAATGGTACCTTACCTAATTACATTGTGAAAACAATGACTCTTGAGTACCGTTAAAGAAAGGTAATCGACATTTCATACAAAAGTATACGATCCTATGAGGTCATCCATAAATGACGTTACGCTTTTTAACGATTTTTTTGTTCAATACATCGATTTCTTTCTAAAATATTGACTGAGCTCGGTCAACATTGAGTATTTAATCAATGTCTATTACAATGGATTAAAACAGCTTTCTAAGACGCGAAATAACGGCTGAAAGTCAATTTCCAACAATCCTTTTATAAACTGCAAAAGTATGAAGTCACAACACCCCCCCCCCCCCAACTCATCACACATCGTCACAAAATTAAGAACCTCTCTCCCCCATGAGCCTGAGTATGACCCCCTTCCCCGAGGAGATGCCTGGAAGAAACTCTGAGTATGACGTCTCTTTCAACTTCTGAGCGATTCTCGGTAGACGGAAAAATGTACATTACTCTTGTTCTAATTTCTTTAAAAAAAGTGATTTCCCAACCCTTACGCGAAAAATTAGGGGAGCTCACAACCGCGTTATTTATTTATTTTTTTATGTGTTGTTCTATTTTTACAAGCTTTAGTTTTTTTTGTTTTGTTTTTGTGGGTTTGTAACTCAATTTAGACCAAATTTAATGCAGGGATTTCGTTCAAACTTTCCAGACACCTTCCACTGCGATGACAATACAAGTCTATCTATATTTTAATTTGATTTGATGTTTAATTAGTCATTATAAATTAATTAAACGGGGTCAAAACTAAGGGGAGATAAAAAAAATTAAATAACTATATATATATAGATTACTATATTAAATTTTAAAAAAGGGAAGATAACTAGCAAGACGCAATCACCATTACAGTTACAGTCTGGTGACAGTGGCGTGCAGACCTATGTAGATGCCCGGGGCAAAATCAAGCGGAAGATGCCCCTATATATATATATATATATATATATATATATATATATATATATATATATATATATATATATATATATATATATATATATATATATATATATATATATATAATTTATTTAAAAAAATGTACTTATCTTAATTGAGATGAAAACGTTGACTACAGCCAGCTAAATCCAAATGGAATGAATGGTTGGAACTTGGGAGAAGGGGGGGGGAGACAATTGCGGGACGGGTCGTGGTGGGGAGGGGGGGGCTGTGATGCACTACAAAAGAGTCTCATCCGGTATTGTATTACCACCCGGGACCGCAGGGACAAAAACGCTGTCCGTGTCTGCAATTAGGGCGTCAGATACGCCTTTATTAATGGGATGTTTCTCTCTTGGCCTGTTTAGGAATTCCTATAGTGTAACTAATACAGGTGAGAGTGTGCATTGAACTAGAGATGTTTCAGATTTTTCTCTCTAAACCACTTGGTCAAAACGTCAACTCTTTAAAGAGATGGGTGATGCTAGCTAGATACTCTCAAACTATCTTAACCTTGAATATAACAGAAGTGTACCTTGGTTGGCTAAGGGGTCATCCATTTACGACGTCCACACATTTTTGGGATTTTGGACCCACCCCCCCCTCCTCTTCCCTGTCCACAAACGTCCACTTTTGACGGACCCCCCCCCCCCCCATCCCGTGGACGTCCACACTGACTATAAGTTTTTGCATAATCTTCTTCCACTATTACTATTAAAGCTACTGCATTTAGTGTGTATATACTCTGAGTGTATATAGTGTTACAAATACTGGTACAAATGTGTTTTATTGTCCTTCGTGTCCCACACCTGAACAGGGACAGCTTGCTAACCCCCCCCCCCCTCCACCCCTCTCCCGTCTCACAACTGAACTGGGATGACCCCGCCTACCTAGAGAAGTGGTCGCCTGGGGAAACTTGTAATTGGATATCTTATTGTATTCCAGGTTAAGCCAGGGAATAGACCCAAGCTGGGTGGTTAAAGGGCCAGAGAGATAGGATAGTTGAATTTTAGCTTCGCTAGGAAATATTTTTCTTTCACACTACCAAAAATAATGTTAGATTTAATGTGTGGACGTCCACATTGGGCCAACCCCCCCTCCCCCTGTCCACACGCGTCCACAAAAGTCAATTTTTTTCGGACCCCCCCCCCCCCCCCCCGTGTGGACGTCATAAATGGATGACCCCTAAAGCTGCCAGCTTAAAAAAACATTTCTACATCAGACTGTTTAAAAATCCACTATGCTATGTCAGACCCTCCCTAGGCTTGGACGCGTTTTCACAAATTTAATACCCAAGTACGTCTGTCTAGTTCAGGTGGGGGATAATCCACTAACGGCTTCCATAGCCTAAAAACCCACACCGCATCCCCACATTTCATTACATCATTATGGGCTCAATAACTCTATAGATAGCTCTACTATTAACTGAAATAAAACTGGCTCTGCATGTGCTCCCAATTACTTTAAAGAAAGCTCTACTCAGAGTTAAAAACTTTAACTTTAACACTACTTAAAGCATGCTCCTCCTATTTGTAAAAATCAATATGGGCGCAATTATTCTGAATGATATCATTACAATGTATCGAAAACAATATGTTGATTCGTATTCTTAAGATTGTCGCTACAGTGTATCAAAAACATTATATGGGCATTCTTATTCTTAAGTATGCTTACATAATGCATGAAAAAAAATATATACTAATGGCTGCCAGTGGCTTAGCTACCGTAAAGCTAGAGTAAGCAAGGCATAGGGGCCCAAGGCAAATAGGGGCCATTTTCCTTCTTTTAAAAAGTTAAAACTTTTACATTGGAATTTTGATATTTATTTTATATAAATAATTTTTAAAAAATTAATGAAATCAAGTTTTTTTTCTACTGTAGAAATAATTTAATTTAAAAAAGGTCCCAAGTCCTTTCTTAGTGTACAGGCAGTGGCATTCAGTGTGGGGGAGGGCGGGCGACTAACATTAACATTGTTAATTTTTGCATAGGGGACCGAAAATCCTAGCTACGCCACTGAATGCTGCCCATACAATTTAACAAAAAAAAGTTATTACACTGCAAATGGCCATATATTTCACCAAAGATGCCCCAAAAATGTATAATAATAATATGGGCATAATTACCCTTTGGATGCCCTTAAAATGGATAATAATGAAGAAGTACATTAAAAAATAGCTTTAGAGATGCCCCCAATGTTAACAACGATGATTGGTGTAATTACTGTTGCATGTCCTTCGAGTGTAATACATGAATATAAGCTTAATTACTTTCAAGATGCCCCTACAATATATAAAATGAAGATGGGCATACTTACTGTATGGATGCCTTTAAAATGTATTATAAAATGAAGTGGGCATATTAGTAAATGCTCATAAAATATATTATAATGAATATACGAATAATTACTTTAAAGATGCCCCTATAGTGTATAAAAATAAATATGATTTAATTACTCGACGGATGTCCTTGAAAATGAGTATAACGAATACGCGCATATTACTTTAAAGATGCCCTTACAGTGCATGGGAATAACTTGGTCACAAGTACTCTAAACGATGCCCCTACACTATACTAAATAAATATGACACACATTTATTAATGGAATATCATTGACTTCCGTAAGACTACCCTTCACTGATGCCCGCTGTTTCTATATAAGTTTTGCCATACGGACAGTGTAATGTTAAAACGGCTGACAGACGATTGAGTGTTACAATTTTTTTGAGTGAGATCGCAAAACATGGAAAGTTACGATGACACCATGACACGACATATCACAACAATTTTTAAATTACTAAAAAAAAAAAAAAAAAAAAAAAAAAAAATTTAATTAATTAATTAAAATTTTTTTTTTTACCTCCGCTGGATGCCCCCCAGTGGTGGATGCCCGGGGCCTGGGCCCCGTCCGCCCCCCCCCCTCTGCACGCCACTGTCTGGTGAGCTGTGGTTCAAAAGAATGTTTACAGGTCGATCTAGCGAAAGCTAAGCCTACATATTAGAGGCAGATTATAAAGTTTTTAAACGATATGAAACTAAGGGGAGGTAACAAAATTAAGAACTTGCTGTCGTTTGTAAATTAAATACGGGGTACCGGCAATGAATGCTTTTAGTGGGCGGTGGTGGGAACCGCCGGTTTAAAAAAACAACTCCAGATCTATATATAGAAATCACGTGATAGCGTTCTAAGGGATGTATTATTTTAAAAAAAAATGTATTGTCAAATACTACAAATAGTTAAGATCTAGATCTTACGTAAATGTAGTTCTACATCTAGTAGTATAGTAATAGATATATATCTAGGATCTAGAGCTAGTTAGTCTAGATCTATATACTTATATAGGCGCCTCCTAGGATCTAGGTCTAGTCTAGTACTAGTCATATTTGTAATCTATCGTTTTCACTCATTTTTAGGTACGTAAAAAATCGCCCGCGACTAGCAATGTGAAAAACAGGTGACTCCTTAAATTTTAATAATTATTTCACATTTTGAGGAGGATTTATGTTTTGAAAAATACAAAAATATTTCCTTGTTTCATTTATATACTAATATATACCTGTTTTTATACCTGTTTATTTTTTTATTGTAAACTTATACTAAGTTATAGCCACTCTAACTTACAGATGGCCGCTTTTATATAGCAAATCCTGCTCGCAAACACTGCTGTTTAAAGATAATTTCTTGCTATATATATTGATATATTTAGCCATTGATTTACTATTTAGGTTTATTATTCATTTATCTATAATATTTGACACATATATATCACAATATACTTCTATTAAAGCCTTGACAATGAGGTAACTTTTTTGTATATTACTAGCGCGGGCGATTTTACATACCTAAAACGATAGATTACCAATTAAATTATTATATATTATTGTTATATAGATCTAGATATATAATGCTAAACAAAATAATGAGGAATTGGTTTATCATTGTTACTATTATTAGTAACCTTTTGTATCCAAAATGGATAATTGTAGAAGGTCTTCATTTCACTAAAAAAACAAACCCAATTGGTTATATTGTGTTTGATGATTCACAAGGACTTGAAAGACAATTTGATGGTATTGGTGGACTTAGTGGTGGAGGGGTAATATTTTATATTTATCATTACTCATTACTATTAATAAGATAATAATTAAGCCTACATTAGGCCTATCATTTTGTAATTAATCATTTGTTCTTTGTAACTTGAAGTGAATACTCATTAGGCCTACTAATAATCTAATATAGTATAGAGTCTAGATTTTTAGTCTAGAATAATAATACTATATTAATATTTATATAATATATAGTACCTATCTAATATAGATCCAATAATTGATTATAAGCATAAAAAAAATCTGATAAATTAATTATACTGAACAGATGATTGTAGTGAGGTTGTTTCAAGCACATTATATTTTTTGTAGTGACTAACTATTTGAACATTGACCTCAGCCAAGTTTTTTGAAATTTTTCAGGCTACCTCCAAGCTTCTGGTCAACTATCCACAACAACAGTTGAATGAAATACTTGATTATTTATTTAAAGTGAGTCTGCTACTGTTAATATTGCTAACAATTTAAATTATTATAGTTTAAATAAAACTAGCCTTTAGTTAGCCCTAATTGTTAATATCCATTGGTAAAACACTTTTCTTCATTGTTTTAATCATCAAATGTAGTGGCCTGATGTGTAGGGTGCTCTTTAAAATGAATATAGGTGCCATCTAGGGGAGGTGGGGGTGCTCCAGGTCACCAGAGCGCTGGTGTGCTGTAGGTTGCACTTGATGTAGTTTGACAATTGAATTAGGTAGTACCATTGACCTTATGTGCAGGGCGCCCAATCAACAAACTTTATGCACTTGGGTGTTGTCTTGGAAACTTGGGTGCTCATCCATATTCTTCTGCTGGGGTGCTGCACCTCCTACATTCTTTTTATATTGCAGAAACTTTTCCCAAGAGTATTCTCAACAACTTCCCAAAGTTTTATGGTGATCGAATAGGAGGTGTAGTAATGCATAAAATACAAAAAAGCAAAACTCAAAGACAGCCACACATATAAATGTACATATATATATATATATATATATATATATATATATATATATATATATATATATATATATATATATATATATATATATATATATATATATGTGTGTGTGTGTGTGTGTGTGTGTAGGCATATATATAGGCATATATCTTACAGCCAAAGCCCAAAGCATTGCAGAGGTGCTGTAGCCAATATGCAAACTAGGCTATGGTGTGATTGCATTTTAATTATTTTGACAGCAGTTACATAGGGAGAAATGCATTCTCTGTTAGAATAGCATTCTACATTGATGTAGACATGGACAAAAGGCTGACCTGGATAACAGGCAGACATTACAAAAACACCTAGAGGCAAACAAACCATAAGGTGGAGAAAGAAAACAGTCGACCCCTTGTTAGTTTCCCAATATAGCAAAATATGGATTACTCTATTCGATAGCCCCCCTCTATAGCAGTGAGACAGCCTTTAAACAATGAAAGGCAGCCATATCCACATGCATCCAGGAGGAATATCCAGTAGACAATGCACCAGTGGATGCTCCCCTTATATAATGAAAATAGGGGTCCAGGTGACTTGAGTAGACCAACCACCCTTCTTGACCAGATTATATGATAAATACCAACCAAATTATAACTACATTCCAGGTTTTCTAACATTGATGCTTACTAGCCATTTGTATACAAGTTTTATACTGTATTTTTATAATTAAATTAGATTATTAAAATTAGCATTGCTAAAAATTATGAAATATGAATTCCCCAGTAAAATTTGTTAAAACCTGTTGCACAAACGATAAGGCCTGTATTTAATGAATAACAAAAAATATTGATGGAAACATTTGCTTTTTAAGGGTTGAGGTAAATATAAAATTAAGACTACAGATTTAATTTTTTTTTGCTTGGAGGACTTGGGGAGGGGGGGTGTGAACACAAACAGCAATGTTTTGTATTACCATATCATTTTTCTGAAATTAAAAATGCAAGGATTAAGGGATGTGTTGCGGTTTAGGAAATTTAAAATGGTTTAAATTACCATTGTAACAATAAATTATACTATTGTAACAAAGACTAAAGATTGAGGACAAAAGAAAAATCAATTCTACTCAAAATGTTCTTATTTAGACTTTGGCTGGTTGCCCCAGCTAATTTCTAAACACAGAATAAGATTGGACATAGGCCTGTCTATGTACTGTTATATTGGCCACCAAACACAGAATAACATTGGACATAGGCCTGTCTATGCACTGTTATATTGGCCACCAAACACAGAATAACATTGGACATAGGCCTGTCTATGTACTGTTATATTGGCCACCAAACACAGAATAACATTGGACATAGGCCTGTCTATGTACTGTTATATTGGCCACCAAACACAGAATAACATTGGACATAGGCCTGTCTATGTACTGTTATATTGGCCACCAAACACAGAATAACATTGGACATAGGCCTGTCTATGCACTGTTATATTGGCCACCAAACACAGAATAACATTGGACATAGGCCTGTCTATGCACTGTTATATTTTCCACCAAACTCAGAATAAGATTGGACATAGGCCTGTCTATGCACTGTTATATTGGTCACCAAACTCAGAATAAGATTGGACATAGGCCTGTCTATGCACTGTTATATTGGTCACCAAACTCAGAATAAGATTGGACATAGGCCTGTAAGTGCTGCTATATTGGTCACCAAACACAGAATAAGATTGGACATAGGCCTGTCTATGCACTGTTATATTGGCCCCCAAACTCAGAATAAGATTGGACATAGGCCTGTAAGTGCTGTTATATTGGTCACCAAACTCAGAATAAGATTGGACATAGGCCTGTCTATGTACTGTTATATTGGCCACCAAACTCAGAATAAGATTGGACATAGGCCTGTAAGTGCTGTTATATTGGTCACCAAACTCAGAATAAGATTGGACATAGGCCTGTCTATGTACTGTTATATTGGCCACCAAACTCAGAATAAGATTGGACATAGGCCTGTAAGTGCTGCTATATTGGTCACCAAACACAGGATAAGATTGGACATAGGCCTGTAAGTGCTGCTATATTGGTCACCAAACACAGAATAAGATTGGACATAGGCCTGTAAGTGCTGTTATATTGGTCACTTTGCCAACTGGAGACTGGCTGGCTTTGATCATAACACTTACACATGTGTGTGTATATTGATAAAGATAGGGTTATTGATGATGTAGCCTATATTATTGTGTATACTTTGTGTATGACTAAAATAATTGTATTACAGCCTTATTTTGGAGCATCATTGCAAATTTTGAAAGTTGAAATTGGTGGTGATATACAAAGTACTGGTATGTTTTTTAATTTGATTTATTTTTATTTATTTTAATGTGGATCTTGAAAGAAAAAGTATTTATTTAATATAACGTTAATATAAAGATTGCTTTAGTTTCTGTAACAATGATTTATTTCTTGGATGAGTAGTTAGCCCAGGGCACAACTTTGAATGTGTAGGACCAGGACACAAACAGACCTGTTTAGCTTATTTAAACCTACCACAGGCCTACCAACTTTGAATGTGTAGGACCAGGACACAAACAGACCTGTTTAGCTTATTTAAACCTACCACAGGCCTACCAACTTTGAATGTGTAGGACCAGGACACAAACAGACCTGTTTAGCTTATTTAAACCTACCACAGGCCTCCCAACTTTGAATGTGTAGGACCAGGACACAAACAGACCTGTTTAGCTTATTTAAACCTACCACAGGCCTCCCAACTTTGAATGTGTAGGACCAGGGCACAAACAGACCTGTTTAGCTTATTTAAACCTACCACAGGCCTACCAACTTTGAATGTGTAGGACCAGGACACAAACAGACCTGTTTAGCTTATTTAAACCTACCACAGGCCTACCAACTTTGAATGTGTAGGACCAGGACACAAACAGACCTGTTTAGCTTATTTAAACCTACCACAGGCCTACCAACTTTGAATGTGTAGGACCAGGACACAAACAGACCTGTTTAGCTTATTTAAACCTACCACAGGCCTACCAACTTTGAATGTGTAGGACCAGGGCACAAACAGACCTGTTTAGCTTATTTAAACCTACCACAGGCCTACCAACTTTGAATGTGTAGGACCAGGACACAAACAGACCTGTTTAGCTTATTTAAACCTACCACAGGCTTACCAACTTTGAATGTGTAGGACCAGGGCACAAACAGACCTGTTTAGCTTATTTAAACCTACCACAGGCCTACCAACTTTGAATGTGTAGGACCAGGACACAAACAGACCTGTTTAGCTTATTTAAACCTACCACAGGCCTCCCAACTTTGAATGTGTAGGACCAGGGCACAAACAGACCTGTTTAGCTTATTTAAACCTACCACAGGCCTACCAACTTTGAATGTGTAGGACCAGGACACAAACAGACCTGTTTAGCTTATTTAAACCTACCACAGGCCTACCAACTTTGAATGTGTAGGACCAGGACACAAACAGACCTGTTTAGCTTATTTAAACCTACCACAGGCCTACCAACTTTGAATGTGTAGGACCAGGACACAAACAGACCTGTTTAGCTTATTTAAACCTACCACAGGCCTACCAACTTTGAATGTGTAGGACCAGGGCACAAACAGACCTGTTTAGCTTATTTAAACCTACCACAGGCCTACCAACTTTGAATGTGTAGGACCAGGACACAAACAGACCTGTTTAGCTTATTTAAACCTACCACAGGCCTACCAACTTTGAATGTGTAGGACCAGGACACAAACAGACCTGTTTAGCTTATTTAAACCTACCACAGGCTTACCAACTTTGAATGTGTAGGACCAGGGCACAAACAGACCTGTTTAGCTTATTTAAACCTACCACAGGCCTACCAACTTTGAATGTGTAGGACCAGGACACAAACAGACCTGTTTAGCTTATTTAAACCTACCACAGGCCTCCCAACTTTGAATGTGTAGGACCAGGGCACAAACAGACCTGTTTAGCTTATTTAAACCTACCACACGCCTCACTACAGGTCAGCTCTTTGGGCACACAAGCCATCCCAGAGATACAAGCCATGCTGGGAAACTTTGAGATGAGTTCCAGCTGTCAGTTTTAAGCCCACTCTATGGTGGTGTTTGGTAGGGTCACATGCACAGCTTATGCCAGTTTAGGCATACAGTGAGTAGACTCAGGGGAACTAAGGGATCAAGTGGTTGTCTGGCTACAAGACATGCAGGCTAAAGTTGATGCATTGGCAGCCATGTCATATTTCCTCCAAACTTATTGTAAAATCACAAGACAACTTTGATGAGAACCAAACATAATAAAAAAGGCCCCAGAAATAACACAAAGGAGACATGTGCCTGATGTGGAGGAATTTGTTTACGTTGAAGCCACCTACTAGTCTATATTGATGCCCTCTCTTTTACCACCCTGAGAGCAACTAGAAGCCACCTACTAGTCTATCTTGATGCCCTCTCTTTTACCACCCTGAGAGCAACTAGAAGCCACCTACTAGTCTATCTTGATGCCCTCTCTTTTACCTCCCTGAGAGCAACCAGAAGCCACCTACTAGTCTATATTGATGCACTCTATTTTACCACCCTGAGAGTACTAAAGTGCCTGGCGTCTAACACATACCTGACCCAGTACTATTTCCTTCTTCTGATCTGAGCTGCTATTGGCTTTGTCCTTTTTCAAAGGTCGCTGTAATGTTGGCTACCATCTCAATCCCATATTTCTGATCCATATACTAGACAGCCCTTGTCTGATCCATATACTAGACAGCCCTTGTCTGATCCATATACTAGACAGCCCTTGTCTGATCCATATACTAGACAGCCCTTGTCTGATCCATATACTAGACAGCCCTTGTCTGATCCATATACTAGACAGCCCTTGTCTGATCCATATACTAGACAGCCCTTGTCTGATCCATATACTAGACAGCCCTTGTCTGATCCATATACTAGACAGCCCTTGTCTGATCCATATACTAGACAGCCCTTGTCTGATCCATATACTAGACAGCCCTTGTCTGATCCATATACTAGACAGCCCTTGTCTGATCCATATACTAGACAGCCCTTGTCTGATCCATATACTAGACAGCCCTTGTCTGATCCATATACTAGACAGCCCTTGTCTGATCCATATACTAGACAGCCCTTGTCTGATCCATATACTAGACAGCCCTTGTCTGATCCATATACTAGACAGCCCTTGTCTGATCCATATACTAGACAGCCCTTGTCTGATCCATATACTAGACAGCCCTTGTCTGATCCATATACTAGACAGCCCTTGTCTGATCCATATACTAGACAGCCCTTGTCTGATCCATATACTAGACAGCCCTTGTCTGATCCATATACTAGACAGCCCTTGTCTGATCCATATACTAGACAGCCCTTGTCTGATCCATATACTAGACAGCCCTTGTCTGATCCATATACTAGACAGCCCTTGTCTGATCCATATACTAGACAGCCCTTGTCTGATCCATATACTAGACAGCCCTTGTCTGATCCATATACTAGACAGCCCTTGTCTGATCCATATACTAGACAGCCCTTGTCTGATCCATATACTAGACAGCCCTTGTCTGATCCATATACTAGACAGCCCTTGTCTGATCCATATACTAGACAGCCCTTGTCTGATCCATATACTAGACAGCCCTTGTCTGATCCATATACTAGACAGCCCTTGTCTGATCCATATACTAGACAGCCCTTGTCTGATCCATATACTAGACAGCCCTTGTCTGATCCATATACTAGACAGCCCTTGTCTGATCCATATACTAGACAGCCCTTGTCTGATCCATATACTAGACAGCCCTTGTCTGATCCATATACTAGACAGCCCTTGTCTGATCCATATACTAGACAGCCCTTGTCTGATCCATATACTAGACAGCCCTTGTCTGATCCATATACTAGACAGCCCTTGTCTGATCCATATACTAGACAGCCCTTGTCTGATCCATATACTAGACAGCCCTTGTTATAAAACCTAATTGTAAAGGCAGGGATGTCCTGACAGCCTTCAAAACATGGCCAGTGATTCTGTGCTCACAGGGTCAAACAGTGAGTAAAACAACATAATGATCAGGATCACAACAATATATAGGACACACTTTCTTTTTATAATGGATCAAAATAATGTGGAGCACAGACAAAGGCAACCAATACAAACTTAGACCAGCTTTCTACACAAATATTTGCCAAGTGTAGCCATAAGGCAATGAAAACTGAGGTTTCACTGTAAAATTAACTCTTTCAGACCGGAGAGTCAAAAGGTGGTTCAAGTTAGTCTGTTGCTCTGAATTCAGCCTACACATGGATAATGCTGTCAACTTTAGGCCCTCTCCTATTAATGAAACTCAAAAGAGTAAATGTTTTGTTTATCTTCCAGATGGAACAGAAGCATCCCATATGCACAACAGTTGGGAAGAAAATTATGAGAGAGGCTATGAGTGGTGGCTGATGAAAGAGGCTAAAAAGGTTCATTTTATTTTTATATTTTAAAATAATGTTTTTTGTGCTCAATTATAACAGGTTTCAAATTTGAAGTATATTTTAATGGACTGCCACCATTTGTTATTTCTTCAGAGAAATCCAGACATCAAGCTGTACGGTTTACCATGGGGCTTCCCTGGATGGCTTGGACAAGGAACTCAGTCACCATACACCAATGTTACAAAAACAGCTGACTACATTGTCAGGTGGATTACAGGGGCCAAAACTCAACATAATTTGACCATAGACTACGTTGGGGTAATTATATGTGAATAATGAAATATGTCACAAGAAAATTTTTTTTTTGAAATTCTGAAAATGTTTTTCTATTTCTTAGATCTGGAATGAAAGAAACTATAATATAGATTACATTAAGGTAGGACAGATTGTTCATAAAATAAAATTGTAATATAGAGTTCTTAAAGTAGAACAAAGTAATTAATTTTGTCTTTTAACACAATATTTTTATATTAATGCAGCAACATTTTACACTACTATTTATCATACTTATTATTATCCTTACAATTTTAAAGATGTTATCATTCAACTGTGAAGTAGAATTACAAAAATTTCTACTCAGTTTTATTTTATTGTATAGACCCTAAGGGCCATGTTAGACAGTAGAGGCCTTGAGAATGTGTCAATAGTAGCGTCAGATGGAGGCTGGGACATAGCTAATGATATAGAGACAGATGCTGTATTAGCCAGCGCAGTAGATGCTATAGGGTAATCTTTGTTTGATAATTTTCTTATAAATTATGTTCATGTAATCTTTGCTTGATATCTGTTCTTGTATGCCCATCTGCCACTATCCTGGCACCTACACCTGTTCTTGTATGCCCCAGCTGCCACTATCCTGGCACCTACACCTGTTCTTGTATGCCCCAGCTGCCACTATCCTGGCACCTACACCTGTTCTTATATGCCCCAGCTGCCACTATCCTGGCACCTACACCTGTTCTTGTATGCCCCAGCTGCCACTATCCTGGCACCTACACCTGTTCTTGTATGCCCCAGCTGCCACTATCCTGGCACCTACACCTGTTCTTGTATGCCTCAGCTGCCACTATCCTGGCACCTACAACTGTTCTTGTATGCCCCAGCTGCCACTATCCTGGTACCTACACCTGTTCTTGTATGCCCCAACTGCCACTATCCTGGCACCTACACCTGTTCTTGTATGCCCCAGCTGCCACTATCCTGGTACCTACACCTGTTCTTGTATGCCCCAACTGCCACTATCCTGGCACCTACACCTGTTCTTGTATGCCCCAGCTGCCACTATCCTGGCACCTACACCTGTTCTTGTATGCCCCAGCTGCCACTATCCTGGTACCTACACCTGTTCTTGTATGCCCCAGCTGCCACTATCCTGGCACCTACACCTGTTCTTGTATGCCCCAACTGCCACTATCCTGGCACCTACACCTGTTCTTGTATGCCCCATCTGCCACTATCCTGGCACCTACACCTGTTCTTGTATGCCCCAGCTGCCACTATCCTGGCACCTACACCTGTTCTTGTATGCCCCAGCTGCCACTATCCTGGCACCTACACCTGTTCTTGTATGCCCCAGCTGCCACTATCCTGGCACCTACACCTGTTCTTGTATGCCCCAGCTGCCACTATCCTGGCACCTACACCTGTTCTTGTATGCCCCAGCTGCCACTACCCTGGCACCTACACCTGTTGTTGTATGCCCCAGCTGCCACTATCCTGGCACCTACACCTGTTCTTGTATGCCCCAGCTGCCACTATCCTGGCACCTACACCTGTTCTTGTATGCCCCAGCTGCCACTGCCCTGGCACCTACACCTGTTGTTGTATGCCCCAGCTGCCACTATCCTGGCACCTACACCTGTTCTTGTATGCCCCAGCTGCCACTATCCTGGCACCTACACCTGTTCTTGTATGCCCCAGCTGCCACTATCCTGGCACCTACACCTGTTCTTGTATGCCCCAGCTGCCACCATCCTGGCACCTACACCTGTTCTTGTATGCCCCAGCTGCCACTATCCTGGCACCTACACCACTCAAGAATCCATCAACACTGGCAAACAGCTTTGGGCATCTGAAGACTACAGTACATTTAATGATGAAGTGGGCGGTGGATGCTGGGCCAGGGTAAGAGAATTATCTCATCATTGAGTCAATTCAGAAAAATTAGAGCATTTGAATAAGTTTTCTTTTACAACTGTTTGAGTCATGCATAGTATTTCATGAGGTATTCTTTTAATTTTTTCCCCAGATTTTGAACCAAAATTATGTAAATGGATATATGACAGCGTAAGCAGTATAAATGACTTAAACCATTATGGCATTGGCTACATCTTTATCTGTTACCATTAAGTCATGGATTTAGTTTCTACTTTGAGCACTTATATCTTGGCACAACTGGCTTAAGATATTTGCAATCCAAGATTTATTTTGGCTTTTTTTGTAATTGGTGGTAAAATAATTTCTTTACATACATTTTTATTTTTATTTTTTGTTTACTGGTAAAGCTGATATAATAATAATCTTCATTGATTTTTGAAATATTTAATTTCAGAACTATATCATGGAATTTGATAGCCAGCTACTACAATGGCCTTCCCTTCTATAGAGATGGTCTCATGACTGCAGTAGAGCCCTGGTCTGGGAATTATGTTGTAGAGACTCCTATATGGCTCACTGGTAGGCCCTCAATACATCCTATATGGCTCACTGGTAGGCCCTCAATACATCCTACATGGCTCACTTAGTAGGCCCTCAATACATCCTATATGGCTCACTGGTAGGCCCTCAATACATCCTATATGGCTCACTGGTAGGCCCTCAATACATCCTATATGGCTCACTGGTAGGCCCTCAATACATCCTATATGGCTCACTGGTAGGCCCTCAATACATCCTATATGGCTCACTGGTAGGCCCTCAATACATCCTATATGGCTCACTGGTAGGCCCTCAATACATCCTATATGGCTCACTGGTAGGCCCTCAATACATCCTATATGGCTCACTGGTAGGCCCTCAATACATCCTATATGGCTCACTGGTAGGCCCTCAATACATCCTATATGGCTCACTGGTAGGCCCTCAATACATCCTATATGGCTCACTGGTAGGCCCTCAATACATCCTATATGGCTCACTGGTAGATCCTAAATACATCCTCTGTGGCTCACTGGTAGGCCCTCAATACATCCTATATGGCTCACTGGTAGGCCCTCAATACATCCTATATGGCTCACTGGTAGGCCCTCAATACATGCTATATGGCTCACTGGTAGGCCCTCAATACATGCTATATGGCTCACTGGTAGGCCCTCAATACATGCTATATGGCTCACTGGTAGGCCCTCAATACATCCTATATGGCTCACTGGTAGGCCCTCAATACATCCTATATGGCTCACTGGTAGGCCCTCAATACATCCTATATGGCTCACTGGTAGATCCTAAATACATCCTCTGTGGCTCACTGGTAGGCCCTCAATACATCCTATATGGCTCACTGGTAGGCCCTCAATACATCCTATATGGCTCACTGGTAGGCCCTCAATACATGCTATATGGCTCACTGGTAGGCCCTCAATACATGCTATATGGCTCACTGGTAGGCCCTCAATACATGCTATATGGCTCACTGGTAGGCCCTCAATACATCCTATATGGCTCACTGGTAGGCCCTCAATACATCCTATATGGCTCACTGGTAGGCCCTCAATACATCCTATATGGCTCACTGGTAGATCCTAAATACATCCTCTGTGGCTCACTGGTAGGCCCTCAATACATCCTATATGGCTCACTGGTAGGCCCTCAATACATCCTATATGGCTCACTGGTAGGCCCTCAATACATGCTATATGGCTCACTGGTAGGCCCTCAATACATGCTATATGGCTCACTGGTAGGCCCTCAATACATGCTATATGGCTCACTGGTAGGCCCTCAATACATCCTATATGGCTCACTGGTAGGCCCTCAATACATCCTATATGGCTCACTGGTAGGCCCTCAATACATCCTATATGGCTCACTGGTAGATCCTAAATACATCCTCTGTGGCTCACTGGTAGGCCCTCAATACATCCTATATGGCTCACTGTGAAATTATTTTTTTATATAGATTTCTTATACCTGATTTTTAGTCCATTGCTTTCTTTGCAGCAAGAATAACACAACAAATATAACAATGTAACCTTTTAAATATAACTTGTGCATTAGCTTACAATAAAACTTATAAAAATACACTTCTCATTAACTTGACATTTGTTTGTCCAGCCCACACGAGCCAGTTCACATCCATTGGTTGGAAGTACTTAAAGCATGGCTTTGGAGTTGGGAAACTTCCTTATGGCGGATCTTATGTAGGGCTGGTCAGTCCAACTGGTGACCAGCTCACTATTGTCATTGAGACTATGGTAAGATTTGACTGCTGGTCAAGTTTGCTTCATTGAGACTATGGTAAGATTTGGCTGCTGGTCAAGTTTGCTTCATTGAGACTCTGGTAAGATTTGACTGCTGGTCAAGTTTGCTTCATTGAGACTATGGTAAGATTTGACTGCTGGTCAAGTTTGCTTCATTGAGACTATGGTAAGATTTGACTGCTGGTCAAGTTTGCTTCATTGAGACTATGGTAAGATTTGACTGCTGGTCAAGTATGCTTCATTGAGACTATGGTAAGATTTGACTGCTGGTCAAGTTTGCTTCATTGAGACTATGGTAAGATTTGACTGCTGGTCAAGTTTGCTTCATTGAGACTATGGTAAGATTTGACTGCTGGTCAAGTTTGCTTCATTGAGACTATGGTAAGATTTGACTGCTGGTCAAGTTTGCTTCATTGAGACTATGGTAAGATTTGACTGCTGGTCAAGTTTGCTTCATTGAGACTATGGTAAGATTTGACTGCTGGTCAAGTTTGCTTCAATGGTAGTAATGCAATTTTTATAACTTTTAGTCTGGCTAAGGACTTAACATTTTTAAAAGAAAATGTGTTAACTTGAACAATGTGGTTCCACTTGTTTACATGAGCAGACCCACAATCACTCCATCTGTATCAGACCCAGCTTGCAGCCATACAATGTCTACCCTCAAGAGGTTACCATTACCCTGGCTGGAAGCTTTGTAAGTTTCTCCATCTACCTTTAACCACATAGAACATGTAGCCCTTTAACCATATAGAACATCTAGGCCTTTAACCATAAAGAACATGTGATGTTGTAAAGCTGCTGCTAGAAGTGTTGTGTGATGTAGTAAAGCTACTGCTTGAAATGTTGTGTGATGTAGTAAAGCTACTGCTAGAAGTGTTGTGTGATGTAGTTAAGCTACTGCTTGAAATGAAAGAAGTGTTGTGTGATGTAGTTAAGCTACTGCTAGAAGTGTTGTGTGATGTAGTTAAGCTACTGCATGAAAGAAGTGTTGTGTGATGTAGTTAAGCTACAGCTAGAAGTGTTGTGTGATGTAGTTAAGCTACTGCTTGTAATGAAAGAAGTGTTGTGTGATTTAGTTAAGCTACTGCTAGAAGTGTTGTGTGATGTAGTTAAGCTACTGCTTGAACTTGAAATGAAAGAAGTGTTGTGTGTTGTAGTTAAGCTACTGCTAGAAGTGTTGTGTGATGTAGTAAAGCTACTGCTTGAAATGAAAGAAGTGTTGTGTGATGTAGTTAAGCTACTGCTTGAACTTGAAATGAAAGAAGTGTTGTGTGATGTAGTTAAGCTACTGCTTGAAATGAAAGAAGTGTTGTGTGATGTAGTTAAGCTACTGCTTGAAATGAAAGAAGTGTTGTGTGATGTAGTTAAGCTACTGCTTGAAATGAAAGAAGTGTTGTGTGATGTAGTAAAGCTGCTGCTTGAAGTGTTGTGTGATGTAGTTAAGCTACTGCTTGAACTTGAAATGAAAGAAGTGTTGTGTGATGTAGTTAAGCTACTGCTTGAAATGAAAGAAGTGTTGTGTGATGTAGTTAAGCTACTGCTTGAACTTGAAATGAAAGAAGTGTTGTGTGATGTAGTTAAGCTACTGCTAGAAGTGTTGTGTGATGTAGTTAAGCTACTGCTTGAAATGAAAGAAGTGTTGTGTGATGTAGTCAACCAACTTGTTTCTTTCAAGTCTAATGTCACTGCCATGAATGTCTGGTACAGCAAGCTTGGATTTAATGGAGACGAAGACATCATGTTTCAAAAAAAGGAACCCCTTCAGGTATTTCTAACAGCTTTAGTCAACTGCAAGAGTAAATAGTCTTGCTGTTTACTCTTCTTGCCCTTAAACAATCCTGATAGTGAACATTGCAGTTAGTTAACAATTTTAGTTCACATGTTGCCACTACTTTTATTTAGGCAGCGTCATTAAATGTGAAATGACTATCTTTGTCCAACTTTAAATGTGAAATGACTGTCTTTGTCAAACATTAAATGTGAAATGACTGTCTTTGTACAGCTATCTGCCTCTTCAAGTGTTTACTCTGCTAAAAGGTCAACTCTAATCAAATTAGGTTGATAATTAAAGATGGTTTTAAAGGTCAAAGCTAATCTAATTAGGTTGATAATTAAAGATGGTTTTAAAGGTCAAAGCTAATCTAATTAGGTTGATAATTAAAGATGGTTTTATTTTAAAGGTCAAAGCTAATCTAAGTAGAAAAAAAAAACTTAGATTGTTTCAAGGGTATTTCAGATGAACTTTATCACCAGATAAAACAGCTAATCTCATACTTTTTTCTTATGTTAATCTCAAGATAACATTTTCAAGCTAAAATATCCCTCCAGTACTTGATGTCTCCCTTATTTATCTCCTTGATTTCTGATCTGTATTTCTTCATTAACCAAGAAAGCTTGTGTTGTGGACCTGTGAGCTCCAAAGGAAAATCTCTCATCTAGTTAGTGTTGCTGGGCTTTTTGTTGATGTACTGCAGGCTTTATTTAGAGCAGTCTCACATCTATGTTTGGCTTAACAAACATGGGCAGATCAAGTAGAGTGGGGACCAATAAGCAGGGGCAGCTCTTCTCTGGTGGCTGGGGAGGGGCATCAATACAGTTAGTCAAGTCAGAAAGTCACAGTTAGTCAAGTCAGAAAGTCACAGTTCTTATAATTTTAAAAACACATTTGTTTAGTGTCTATTTTGAAACCCTACTACTACTAGTGTAAAAATGGCTCTGTTATTTTATTGTTGTTTAATCCACTTTATTATTGTTTGATCCACAGTTCAGAAGTGGTCAAGCAATTCTTGCTTTAGGTTTAGATGAAGTGTTTACATTAACCACATTGGCTGGTGGCCAGAAAGGACTATACCCAGACCCACCAGCTTCTAAGCCGTTTCCTCTGCCATATTTTGATAACTTTGAAGGTAATCTTGAGTGCTGGGTCATTGTTTTATTTCAGATATGTCAATTTTCTTACTTGTGTGTTTAAGCTGTTGTTTAATAAGGTCAGATGATGCTTGCGATAAGTGTCAATTTTCTTACTTGTGTATTTAAGCTGTTGTTTAATAAGGTCAGATGATGCTTGCGATAAGTGTCAATTTTCTTACTTGTGTATTTAAGCTGTTGTTTAATAAGTCCAGATGATGCATGAAATAAGTGTCAATTTTCTTACTTGTGTATTTAAGCTGTTGTTTAATAAGTCCAGATGATGCATGCATTTTTTTTATTCATGCCCACTGTTTTGTGGGTTAAAAATCCCTTGGCAAGTTTAAAAATTGGGTCATTACTTGAAAAAACTGCTTTTGTACAAAGTAATGTTATCAGCTTTCCATACTAGCTTTAGAAGCTACTTAGTTTATTTTGTTATCATTCATAATTATCTCTGAGAGTTCTTGAGAGAATAAAATGTGTAAGTGTATTGTTATCAGATACGTTTTCAATCTCTGCTCTAGGTTATAGCTTGTATCAAGAACCTTTTAACTTAGCTCAACAAACAGGCTCTTATGAAGTTGTAAATAATGGTAGCAGCAATGTAATAAGACAGATGGTGCTTAACACGCCTGTAGTCTGGTGTGATGCTGACATGGGCAATAAATCACTCAGTATAATAGGTGATCAAAGTTGGTAAGAAGATTTGACAGAGATGTTACTTCCTTTTTCTAAGAAAATGCTTTTTCTTCCCCATGTGAAAAAATATTTTCACCAAAACTTTTATTTCAATTTTTATGTATTTGAAATTTATCACCTTCAGCTAAAAAAGACTTTGAAAAAATGTGTTTGTTGTCAAAAACATGGTTGAGCATCCTGTTCAAAAATGGCAGCTCATCCTGTTTCTGACAAAAATAAATACATTTCTTTTCCTGGTCCGTTCCATCCATCTCTGTTTAGCTGGGACTGCCATGTCTCTAATGGGCTTTCTTTCCAATGCTTTTCCTTGATAATAGTAGCAGTAGCACAGTCCTAACTTGGTATGGATTCTTCAATTGAATTACATGTTGTTAAAGTAAACACAGTTGTTTTTGTAATATCTATTAATTATCAGAGCTTCTTACTGTAGACCGTCATTTTTACAAGTAAAGAGACACTTGATAAGTTCTTGGTGCTGCTGTCAAATATATAAGAAGCAGGAATTCAAGTTGAACTCTAAACATTTATCAAATATTTAAGAAGCAGAACTTCAAGTTGAACTCAAACAAAACATTTATCAAATATTTAAGAAGCAGAATTTCAAGTTGAACTCAAACAAAACATTTATCAAATATTTAAGAAGCAGCACTCAATCAAAACATAATACATTTTGATTTACCCAGTTTCATGTTAGAAATAGATTCTTGCACCTAATGAAAAGAGAAACATTTCTTTCTTGAAAGATCTGAAGTTGGCAGACCCCTGTTCTAGACTCTGTACAAGACAGTTTTGAACTTGGCAGTTGCTTCAGTTGATGCCCTGCTTCAGTTGATGCCCTGCTTCAGTTGATGCCCTGCTTCAGTTGATGCCCTGCTTCAGTTGATGCCCTGCTTCAGTTGATGCCCTGCTTCAGTTGATGCCCTGCTTCAGTTGATGCCCTGCTTCAGTTGATGCCCTGCTTCAGTTGATGCCCTGCTTCAGTTGATGCCCTGCTTCAGTTGATGCCCTGCTTCAGTTGATGCCCTGCTTCAGTTGATGCCCTGCTTCAGTTGATGCTCTGCTTAAATTTTATGTTATCATTTGTGTTAACCTGCTTTCACATATTATCCTTTGTGTTAACATGCTTTTACATATTATCCTTTGTGTTAACATGCTTTCACATATTATCCTTTGTGTTAACATGCTTTCACATATTATCCTTCAAGTTAACATGCTTTTATATATAATCTTTTGAGTTAACATGCTTTTATAAATAATCCTTTGTGTTAACATGCTTTTATATATAATCTTTTGAGTTAACATGCTTTTATGTATAAAACTTTTTATCAACATGCTTTTATATATTATCATTTGTATCATCATGCTTTAAATGCTAATTCTGAATAGAATATTTGTTATTCTGGGTAGTTCTATACATACTGTCTGTGGTGTAGAGAATTTAGTTCCCTGCCTAAAGTCCAACCTTTTTTTTTATCAGTGAATTTTTTTCACACTCTAGTTATAGCTAAAAGAAAGCTAAAAAATAAATGTATATTCCAAATCTTGTAATTAGAAAGCCACTGTACTTTATGAATGATTTGACACCATGTTTATATTGATTGATATTATGCACCAATGGCTTTTAAAATAAATTTAATCTGTGGTGTATGCAGCAATAAATGACATAACACAATATCCTAATGGGATCTGATAACACAATATCCTAATGGGATCTGATAACACAATATCCTAATGGGATCTGATAACACAATATCCTAATGGGATCTGATAACACAATATCCTAATGGGATCTGATAACACAATATCCTAATGGGATCTGATAACACAATATCCTAATGGGATCTGATAACACAATATCCTAATGGGATCTTTTAACACAATATCCTAATGAGATCTGATGAATGCGCTTACTTATTTTCTACCAGGGGTGATGTCTATATTGAGCTGAGCTACAACATTCCTTCAGTGAATGCCACTAGTGGTGTGTTCATAGCAGCTCGAGTTGACCGAGGGGGGTGTGGAGCTAATTCAGCTCAAGGCTTTTTTTTCTTTGTGCTACAGGCTGGGACTTACGTTTTGGCCAATAATTTAGGTAAGATCTTTATGGAGGAAAGTTGTTCAACTTCTTAAAAACAGCTTTTGTTTTGTAACATAAATTTTATTGTAACATCTGTTTTATTGTAACACCTGTTTTATTGTTTGTTTTACTGTACCATTTCCTATTGTTTCAGCAAGAACATGTTTTACTATACCATTTCCCATTGTTTCAGCAAGAACATCTGTTTTACTGTACCATTTCGCATTGTTTCAGCAAGAACATGTTTTACTGTACCATTTCCCATTGTTTCAGCTAGAACATGTTTTACTGTACCATTTCCCATTGTTTCAGCAAGAACATGTTTTACTATACCATTTCCCATTGTTTCAGCTAGAACATGTTTAACTGTACCATTTCCCATTGTTTCAGCTAGAACATGTTTAACTGTACCATTTCCCATTGTTTCAGCAAGAACATGTTTTACTGTACCATTTCCCATTGTTTCAGCAAGAACATGTTTTACTGTACCATTTCCCATTGTTTCAGCAAGAACATGTTTTACTGTACCATTTCCCATTGTTTCAGCAAGAACATGTTTTACTGTACCATTTCCCATTGTTTCAGCAAGAACATGTTTTACTGTACCATTTCCCATTGTTTCAGCTAGAACATGTTTTACTGTACCATTTCCCATTGTTTCAGCAAGAACATGTTTTACTGTACCATTTCCCATTGTTTCAGCTAGAACATGTTTAACTGTACCATTTCCCATTGTTTCAGCTAGAACATGTTTAACTGTACCATTTTTATTGTTTCAGCTAGAACATGTTTAACTGTACCATTTTTATTTTTTCAGCAAGGACATCTGTTATACTGCAAGGACCTTTAGTTAACCAGCCTGGCTGGCACACACTGGCTCTGCTTGTTCAGGTAAACTCAACTGTTTTGTCATATTTAAGGACAGTTCTTAATGCTGTCTCTTGTCATATTTAAGGACAGTTCTTAATTCTAACTTTCTAAGCAAAAATATAGATTTACTTGTGTTTCTGGAAAAATCTTATTAAATTTATTTTACTTAAAACATTTGCACAACAGTAATAACATAACAAACAAATCTGTTTGACTAATAGTTCTTGTTTTGGTGTTTTAAAAAATGATTTGTTACCTATGATAACGGAGTAAAAAACTCAACATTTTTATCCCTAGGGTAATGCTGTTGCTGGTCTCTGTGATGGGAATGTCATTTTTGATGTGAACTTGCCCAGCAAGCCTGCTAATGGCTTTGCTGCTTTAGGTACTGACAGCTACGGACTAGCCGAGTTTGACAATCTTTACCTGACCGATGCATTAGACGGTCTCAGCAGAATCAACAAGCTCAAGACTTCTGGCTCCAGCAAGTTAACTTTTGTTGGAGAACGTCTTCTAAATGTTTGATCCATCAGAACTTTTTCTTTTTCACTATTGATGTGTAATACCACTATTGCATCATTAAAATAAAATAATTTTTTTACAGTTTTTAATGGAATTTGTTTTGTCTATTAAAAGTAACTTCATTTGTTTGCTGGTTTTCTGTTTAATTGGCTATGTTTCTATTAATCAACTTTTGCCTTGGTAACTCACGCCACCTCCCAATGTTGAAACAATTGTCAATCAGAAAGTTAAAAAAGGAACACACACAAACTTGCAATATATAACATTTATTTTACATTTTTTAAGTGGTTTCCATCAATCATTTTGACAAATGTGGGTGATAAATTGTGTATAGAGCAACAACTGTACTCTATATCCCTAAACATGCTTCATTTTTTATATAAGTTGACTAAAGTAATGCATTTGTTTTTGGAAGAAAATTGGGGAACTGAAATAGATAAATTAAAGATCAATTAAATATGTAAAAAAATAATTGGAGTAAATGCAGACTAAAAAGGCTTATGCAAGATTTACCTCACTGAAAATATTTGAAATTTTTCTCTGGATAATAGTGGTCCTAAACTGAAACTTAAAAAAAGTAAATGTAGAAACCATTTACAGATAACTTCCATTCATCCAACACAGCTTGTATTTATTTTAAAAAGGACACTTTAATGGACACTTATTTAGTATAACATGATGAATGCTAAGCTGGTGCTGGAACACTGCATAAGCCATAATTCCAGCATTAATTATTTAATGCCATTCAGAACAGTTAAGTTCAGAATATTGCGTAACCCTGACATTTGAGCTAGATGTCAACTAGTTTGTTGTGTGGCCCTGACATTTGAGCTAGATGTCAACCAGTTTGTTGATTAACCCTGACATTTGAGCTAGATGTCAACCAGTTTGTTGATTAACCCTGACATTTGAGCTAGATGTCAACCAGTTTGTTGATTAACCCTGACATTTGAGCTAGATGTCAACCAGCTTGTTGCATGGCCCTTACTTTTCCGATGCATCTTGACCAGCATGTTGCATGACACTTTTTCCCATGCATATTGACCAGCTTGTAGTATGGTTCTGATTTGACACATTGATGTTTACACACAAAAATCAAAATGTTTTTTACAATGAGTTATAATTGTATTAAACATGAAAACACATAAACTTTTAGCCACTTGTTGGAATGTTATTCATGTGCAAGTACTACAATCCAAATAAAACCAAATCTAAAATCTATCTAAGATTGTTTTCTGAAATAGCATATGATAAGGGAAAATAATGAGATGGTGTGGTTGGGTAGCAGAGCACTCAACTGCTAACACGGAAGTTCGGATCTCAGTCTTGACTTGAGTCTGAAGGATGTCCCTGAGTACCAGACTCATGTGAGGGAAAGTAAAGGTAGATGGGCACAAGGCTGAGAACACCATCCCTACACAGGTAGATTGCTGAGTCTGTAAAGGGAACTTGACCCAAAATTACTAATTTTATTAAATCTATTAACCATATAAAAATAAGTATTTATATGGCCTTTAGCAGGAAAAAAATCAGCTATAAAAACAAACAGCAGGGCAAATCTAGAATCATACAACAGGAAAAATCAGGTATAAAATAAAAACAAACCAAAAAAGTGACATTAAAAATAAACCTTGAGTTTTAAAAAAAAATTCAGTAGTTAACAGTGTAGGATGCATTTTAAAAAATAAATTTCCTGTATCTGAATTTAAAAAGTGCACTTTAAAATTCTTCTTTGCTCTGTGGGTGTTTGGCTTTAGTGATCTTCCTGTACAAAATACAAGGGTTTATGAGCAGTTGTTCTGTAACTTTCCATCTTAGCCATGCCATCTGCCTTGGATGTGATCAGGAGATTGTCAAAATCTGCCAGCCCATAACTGTCTGTACCAAGGGCAGCAAATCCATGACTAGGCTTGGCAGGGATGGTAACATTGAAGACAACTCTGCTGTCATAGGCACCCACTGCACATGTTCCCTGTACAAGTTGGACAAAGGCGTCACATTTTTTATACCCACCAAATCTGCAGAACTTTGATTCATTGATACAAAACAACTAGCTCTGATTAAATACAAAACAACTAGCTCTGATTAAATACAAAACAACTAGCTCTGATTAAATACAAAACAACTAGCTCAGATTAAATACAAAACAACTAGCTCAGATTAAATACAAAACAACTAGCTCAGATTAAATACAAAACAACTAGCTGAGATTGAGGCGAAGATGAAATGTTATGGTCTTCACTTGCATTTAGTTCACATGCATGATTTGCCATAAAAGAAAACAATGTTTTTGTGACTGAGCCAAGCAAATGATAAGCTTAAGAAGTGGCACAAAATAACAAAGTAACAAGTAAAGATAATCTATGCCATCAACTTACAGTAACAAGTAAAGATAATCTATGCCATCAACTTACAGTAACAAGTAAAGATAACCTATGCCATCCAGGCAGCACAGTCAAAGCCCCCTCTGCAAGTACCTTCACTCTACCTGTTCAAATAATGCAGTTATCAAAAAACAATTAGTTAAATACATTGTTAAAAAATGTTCATACCACTTTTTTTTATAAGAAAGTGAAACAGCAAAACTTAATACTCTTGACTCTTAGTTAGAGTAAATTTCCTGAAGATGTAATTTTACCTAAGTCGTTAGACACTACGAATCGATTATCCTGTAATACATAGAAAAATATTCCATGAGCCCAGAAGGCTTCACAGCCTCCTTGATCAACCTTGGCAGCAATAAAAACACCACTTGTGCCGTTTACAGGCAAAATCTCAAAGTCAACTTCAACAAAGAGATCAGTCCTAGGAAATAAAAGAAAACTATGACATTTACATTAGAAGTTTGCTAGTATAATAGATATAGGTTGTTCAAGTTTGTTTTAACAATATATAGCCTATAGATTACATCATCTTACAATTGTTGATTTATTAATTTATACTTTTAAAACAGTTACAGTTATATCAATCTTTAATAAGCCTATTTTGCTATGGCAACACTTAGAAGAAAAAAGTTAAAAGATCTAGTAAAAATAATGTAATAGAATATTACATTTAATATTAAGCAAGATAGGCAAACATCACCCAATTTACTTTGATAAAAGCGACACAACAAATACCCACATGCATATTAAAACCAAGCGTTTTTTTAGAGACATACTACAGTCAACAGGTTGTAGCTAGACTACAGTCAACAGGTTGTAGCTAGACTACAGTCAACAGGTTGTAGCTAGACTAGACTACAGTCAACAAGTTGTAGCTAGACTAGACTACAGTCAACAAGTTGTAGCTAGACTAGACTACAGTCAACAAGTTGTAGCTAGACTAGACTACAGTCAACAAGTTGTAGCTAGACTAGACTACAGTCAACAGGTTGTAGCTAGACTAGACTACAGTCAACAGGTTGTAGCTAGACTAGACTACAGTCAACAGGTTGTAGCTAGACTAGACTACAGTCAACAGGTTGTAGCTAGACTACAATCAACAGGTTGTAGCTAGACTACAATCAACAGGTTGTAGCTAGACTACAATCAACAGGTTGTAGCTAGACTACAGTCAACAGGTTGTAGCTAGACTACAGTCAACAGGTTGTAGCTAGACTACAGTCAACAGGTTGTAGCTAGACTACAGTCAACAGGTTGTAGCTAGACTACAGTCAACAGGTTGTAGCTAGACTACAGTCAACAGGTTGTAGCTAGACTACAGTCAACAGGTTGTAGCTAGACTACAGTCAACAGGTTGTAGCTAGACTACAATCAACAGGTTGTAGCTAGACTACAGTCAACAGATTGTATCTAAACAATGAAACTACACGAGCAAGTCTTACCAAGTGACATCACCAATAATAGCCACTGGGAAACTGAGTGTAATGGGACACCATTTGATAGGGGGTTGCAGAACTGCCTGTCTGCAGACTAAGCCATGTGATGCATTCTGGGATTTGACAACTTCTAAGGTACCAATCTGAGGGGCCAGTAAATATGGCTCTTGTGCAAGCGTGTAAACTGAGGATCAGACAACATTGACCACCAGACTTAGTGCTTTCAGGGCAAGAAAAAATGGCACAAAATAAATGGCTGGACAAAGGCATAAATATATAAACCTTGCAAGTTGGCTCAAATCAAGGTTGGTAAGACTTGTTCTGCAACCATTAGCACTAAAAAAAATACAGATCTAAGCAAACATTTCAAGCAACTTCTTCTATGACCATTAGCACTGAATATACCCAGATCTAAGCATACACTTCAATTAACAAGAAAAGTGGACCAAATAAGATTATTAAAAAAAAATAGCACACAAACAAGATAAGCAATTCCTGAATACTAATTGAATATAGTATATGTAAGCATAGAATAAAGAAAACAAAGTAAATGGTATCATACCACACCCTCTTACCAAAGTAAATGGTATCATAGCACACCCTCTTACCAACTCTGATCCCCAACAACATTCAGAGATTTATTGCCCATGTCAGCATCACACCAGACTACAGGCGTGTTTAGCACCATCTGTCTTATTACATTGCTGCTACCATTATTTACAACTTCATAAGAGCCTGTTTGTTGAGCTAAGTTAAAAGGTTCTTGATACAAGCTATAACCTACACCAAGGATTCAAGATTACAACAATCAAGGTAACAACTCATGAGCAAGGAAAATTCAAGAATTTTTTCTAATCAATTTTTAGAATGAATTTATTCAGATGTTAACACTAGTTAGATAAGCATGTTTACTGTAACAATGACACATGATGCAATACCTTCAAAGTCATCTTTGTACGGCAGGGGGAAGGGCTTTGGTGGAGGAGGGCTGGGGTAGGAGCCCCTCTGTCCCCCAGTCAACGTTGTGAGGGTAATGACCTCATCCAGACCCAAGCTCAGAGTTGCCTGGCCATTTTGTAGCTGGTGACAAGTTCAATGGGTTCATTGGGTTCAAGGTAAAACAAATGCTTCCTAAGTTAAATCTAATTCTCAAGCTAAAAATTTACCCTGAGGGGATTTCTTTTTTGAAACAAAATATCTTGTGCTCCATTGAAGCCAAGTTTGCTGTACCATACATTCAGCTCTGTGACAGTAGCCTGGGAATTCAAGGGACACAACTTGATAACTTCATGCATGGATTCATTACAAGAGCTCAATATCCAGTATAAAATTTATTTTTAGAGTTAACTAGTCAGAATTGTCCCTCCATCATATAGTATAAATTCATTTTAATTTTTAGAGAAAACAAGTTGTAATTGTCTCTCCATTATCCAGTATAACTTGCTAAATATTTAAAGTTCAGTAGTGTTAAGTGTCCATAAGCAACTGTCGTACTTACAAATGCACCTTTGAGTGTAATGAGCACATCCTGAGGTTGAACATCATATTTAGGTAGGGGAGGTCTGATGCAGATGGAATGATTGTGTGTCTATTGGGAGAAAAAACAATCTGTATCATATTTAGGTAGGGGAGGTCTGATGCAGATGGAATGATTGTGTGTCTATTGGGAGAAAAAACAATCTGTATCATATTTAGGTAGGGGAGGTCTGATGCAGATGGAATGATTGTGTGTCTATTGGGAGAAAAAACAAGCTGTATCATACTTAGGTAGGGGAGGTCTGATGCAGATGGAATGATTGTGTGTCTATTGGGAGAAAAAACAAGCTGTATCATATTTAGGTAGGGGAGGTCTGATGCAGATGGAATGATTGTGTGTCTATTGGGAGAAAAAACAAGCTGTATCATATTTAGGTAGGGGAGGTCTGATGCAGATGGAATGATTGTGTGTCTATTGGGAGAAAAAACAAGCTGTATCATATTTAGGTAGGGGGAGATCTGATGCAGATGGAATGATTGTGTGTCTATTGGGAGAAAAAACAAGCTGTATCATATTTAGGTAGGGGAGGTCTGATGCTGATTTAACTCAATGAAGCAAACTTGACCAGCAGTCAAATCTTACCATAGTCTCAATGAAGCAAACTTGACCAGCAGTCAAATCTTACCATAGTCTCAATGAAGCAAACTTGACCAGCAGTCAAATCTTACCATAGTCTCAATGAAGCAAACTTGACCAGCAGTCAAATCTTACCATAGTCTCAATGAAGCAAACTTGACCAGCAGTCAAATCTTACCATAGTCTCAATGAAGCAAACTTGACCAGCAGTCAAATCTTACCATAGTCTCAATGAAGCAAACTTGACCAGCAGTCAAATCTTACCATAGTCTCAATGAAGCAAACTTGACCAGCAGTCAAATCTTACCATAGTCTCAATGAAGTAAACTTGACCAGCAGTCAAATCTTACCATAGTCTCAATGAAGCAAACTTGACCAGCAGTCAAATCTTACCATAGTCTCAATGAAGCAAACTTGACCAGCAGTCAAATCTTACCATAGTCTCAATGAAGCAAACTTGACCAGCAGTCAAATCTTACCATAGTCTCAATGAAGCAAACTTGACCAGCAGTCAAATCTTACCATAGTCTCAATGAAGCAAACTTGACCAGCAGTCAAATCTTACCATAGTCTCAATGAAGCAAACTTGACCAGCAGTCAAATCTTACCATAGTCTCAATGAAGCAAACTTGACCAGCAGTCAAATCTTACCATAGTCTCAATGAAGTAAACTTGACCAGCAGTCAAATCTTACCATAGTCTCAATGAAGCAAACTTGACCAGCAGTCAAATCTTACCATAGTCTCAATGAAGCAAACTTGACCAGCAGTCAAATCTTACCATAGTCTCAATGAAGCAAACTTGACCAGCAGTCAAATCTTACCATAGTCTCAATGAAGCAAACTTGACCAGCAGTCAAATCTTACCATAGTCTCAATGAAGCAAACTTGACCAGCAGTCAAATCTTACCATAGTCTCAATGAAGCAAACTTGACCAGCAGTCAAATCTTACCATAGTCTCAATGAAGCAAACTTGACCAGCAGTCAAATCTTACCATAGTCTCAATGAAGCAAACTTGACCAGCAGTCAAATCTTACCATAGTCTCAATGAAGCAAACTTGACCAGCAGTCAAATCTTACCATAGTCTCAATGAAGCAAACTTGACCAGCAGTCAAATCTTACCATAGTCTCAATGAAGTAAACTTGACCAGCAGTCAAATCTTACCATAGTCTCAATGAAGCAAACTTGACCAGCAGTCAAATCTTACCATAGTCTCAATGAAGCAAACTTGACCAGCAGTCAAATCTTACCATAGTCTCAATGAAGCAAACTTGACCAGCAGTCAAATCTTACCATAGTCTCAATGACAATAGTGAGCTGGTCACCAGTTGGACTGACCAGCCCTACATAAGATCCGCCATAAGGAAGTTTCCCAACTCCAAAGCCATGCTTTAAGTACTTCCAACCAATGGATGTGAACTGGCTCGTGTGGGCTGGACAAAATTATTAACATTAAATGTGTACAAAGTATCTACATTATTTTTTACATTTTAATATTTAAAAAAAAAAATTAACTATCCATTTACAAGCCACCTCTGACTTGTAAATAAACAACTAGGTTTACCAGTTATCCATATAGGAGTCTCCACAAGTTTACAATATATCCATATAGAAGTGCCCACAAGTTTACCAGTTATCCATATAGAAGTGTCCACAAGTTTACCAGTTATCCATATAGAAGTGCCTACAAGTTTACCAGTTATCCATATAGAAGTGCCTACAAGTTTACCAGTTATCCATATAGAAGTGCCCACAATTTTACCAGTTATCCATATAGAAGTGCCCACAAGTTTACCAGTTATCCATATAGAAGTGCCTACAAGTTTACCAGTTATCCATATAGAAGTGCCCACAATTTTACCAGTTATCCATATAGAAGTGCCCACAAGTTTACCAGTTATCCATATAGAAGTGCCTACAAGTTTACCAGTTATCCATATAGAAGTGCCCACAAGTTTACCAGTTATCCATATAGAAGTGCCCACAAGTTTACCAGTTATCCATATAGGAGTGTCCACAAGTTTACCAGTTATCCATATAGAAGTGCCCACAAGTTTACCAGTTATCCATATAGAAGTGCCCACAAGTTTACCAGTATCCATATAGAAGTGCCCACAAGTTTACCAGTATCCATATAGGTGTATCCACAAGTTTACCAGTATCCATATAGGTGTATCCACAAGTTTACCAGTTATCCATATAGGTGTATCCACATTGTAGTTCCCAGACCAGGGCTGTACAGCAGTCATAAGGCCATCCCTGTAGTAGGGCAGTCCTTCATAGTAGCTGCCTATCAGGTTCCAGGAGATGGTCCTAACAAATGCAACATCAGGTAGGTTAGGATAGGTAGAAAATTAAATAATCTACAGGCATGTGTTGGCTTGTTTTAAAATACAAAGTTAGTGAAAAATAACTTACGATGTCATGAGTCCATTCACATAGTTTTGATTGATAATCTGTGTAAAAAAGTGTCGATTAACTTGTGATTATCTGTGCACCAAAAAATTACTAAAAGAGCAAAAATATTTCTAGATAATTTGAATATTTTTTTTGTATAATCAAACAGCCGTTTAACAGTAATAATTATAGTTAAGCATCCCTTACCCTGGCCCAGCATCCACCGCCCACTTCATCATTAAATGTACTGTAGTCTTCAGATGCCCACAGCTGTTTGCCAGTGTTGATGGATTCTTGAGTGGTGTAGGTGCCAGGATAGTGGCAGCTGGGGCATACAAGAACAGGTGTAGGTGCCAGGATAGTGGCAGCTGGGGCATACAAGAACAGGTGTAGGTGCCAGGATAGTGGCAGCTGGGGCATACAAGAACAGGTGTAGGTGCCAGGATAGTGGCAGATGGGCATACAAGAACAGGTGTAGGTGCCAGGATAGTGGCAGCTGGGGCATACAAGAACAGGTGTAGGTGCCAGGATAGTGGCAGCTGGGGCATACAAGAACAGGTGTAGGTGCCAGGATAGTGGCAGCTGGGGCATACAAGAACAGGTGTAGGTGCCAGGATAGTGGCAGCTGGGGCATACAAGAACAGGTGTAGGTGCCAGGATAGTGGCAGCTGGGGCATACAACAACAGGTGTAGGTGCCAGGATAGTGGCAGATGGGCATACAAGAACAGGTGTAGGTGCCAGGATAGTGGCAGATGGGGCATACAAGAACAGGTGTAGGTGCCAGGATAGTGGCAGATGGGCATACAAGAACAGATGTAGGTGCCAGGATAGTGGCAGCTGGGGCATACAAGAACAGGTGTAGGTGCCAGGATAGTGGCAGCTGGGGCATACAAGAACAGGTGTAGGTGCCAGGATAGTGGCAGCTGGGGCATACAAGAACAGGTGTAGGTGCCAGGATAGTGGCAGCTGGGGCATACAAGAACAGGTGTAGGTGCCAGGATAGTGGCAGCTGGGGCATACAAGAACAAACATAGTGGTGCAAAATAACATGAGTTGTATGCAATGTACAGACTTCTAATGTATTTCCCATCATTCTGCATAACACAACATAGTTACTTCCCTTTAGTCTAGAAACCCAATAGAAATGAGCAAGTAGAGAAGATGTATGATGACACAGATCTAATGTTTAAGGTGCTGGTTAGGTGATAAATGATAGGTGACAAATAACACAAGCATGGGTAGCATTAAAGCAGCCATATTTGATTGATCCACTCTGGTTCTTGTCCAGAAGAGAACTGATGATTCTCAACTTACACTGAAACAACTTTCTGGCTCCCCTATTTATTTTGATAAAGGCAACAGAAACCTTGACTGTAATTTAAAAAATTTACCCAATGCCATAGACAGCAGCAGCAAGGGCTGAATCTTTGATTATGTCAGAAGAAATCTCCCATTTTTCATCTGCTGCTATTATCAAGACATGTTGAAATCCTCTTTGGTCTAAAGTGTTCCTCAAAGTCTGTGCATGACATTAAATAAAGATGCCATACAGGCTAGTTAGTTAAGTTACAAGTTACAGCAGTGTTTCTTCCAGGACCAGGCATCTCTTTAGGGGAGGGGGGGTGCTGTGCCCCGCCAAAGAGAGTCTACCACTCATCTCCCCCCCCCTGAATATTTCAAGTGCCTCCCCAGAGAAAAAAGTCTGGAAGAAATACCGGTGTCTAGTAAATATATCAATATTCCTTGATGTATAGCATTGTGTGGTAATAACTTTGGTTTATGAACAGGTAAGTCATTTCCTTTAATTACATATTCCTAATTATGTGGGGAAAAAAAGTAGAAAAATCTTAATGGTAGAAAGATTTTAACTCTGCTAAAGGTAACAACAATAAAGTTCTTTAAATATATTGTATTCTAAACAAGCTTTGGTTGCTCTAGAAATCTTTTCAACAATTTGTGACTTAACATTTATTACATAGATGTTGAATGGTAGAGCTTTGGATGCTAGCCGAATGTCTTGAGTTCAGATTTAGATTCAGATTTGTGACTATACGACGTCACCTAGTCCACCCAGCTCTCATGGGTACTTGACTTAAGTTGAGGGAAGTAAAGGTCAGTGAACATAGTGTGGGGGTCAAGAAACATTAACTCTACTTCATCTGCCTAATGGATTGCTAGGTCTGAAGAGGAATCTTTATTTTTACTTTACACCATTACAGCTAAATAAAATTTATTTTTTATAGCACTCAAACACCTTTTATTACAATACTTGATTTATTTTTACTTTTTAGTATTTAGGTAATATAATTATAAAGATATAAGAGTGAGTCTACAATGACTAATTTTATATCTAATTAACTGAGAGTTATGAAATAAATGGACAAAAACTGAGTTATAGACAAATAACTGAACAGACACTTTAAAAAGCTTACAACAAGATAACATCTGAATGACATTTTTACCTTAATGTAATCTTTAGTATAACTTTTTTCATTCCAGATCTGGTATAAAAAATTTATGAAGAATTTAGCACCATTAAAATTATAGAGGTAGCATTTGAAAGATAATGAACATATCCGTCATATTTGCAATATTTTAAAATATATTTTAAAAATAATTATATAATAAATAAATATCAAAATAAATGACATACACCAATGTAGTCTATGGTCAAATTATGTTGAGTTTTGGCCCCTGTAATCCACCTGACAATGTAGTCAGCTGTTTTTGTAACATTGGTGTATGGTGACTGAGTTCCTTGTCCAAGCCATCCAGGGAAGCCCCATGGTAAACCGTACAGCTTGATGTCTGGATTTCTCTGAAGAAATAACAAATGGTGGCAGTCCATTAAAATATACTTCAAATTTTAAACCTGCTATAATTGAGCACAAAAAACATTATTTTAAAATATAAAAATAAAATGAACCTTTTTAGCCTCTTTCATCAGCCACCACTCATAGCCTCTCTCATAATTTTCTTCCCAACTGTTGTGCATATGGGATGCTTCTGTTCCATCTGGAAGATGAAATAATTATATTTGTGCTTCTTTTTTTAATAACAAAGTAAAATAGAAATAGAAATTTGATTATAACTAGCAGATGAAACTTGTAATATCAAATGCACATTTTGAAAAAACTTTTTTTTAAAGGAACAGAAATATTATTTAAGTTTAAAAATAACCTGTGCTTTGTGCATCTCCTCCAATTTCTACTTTTAATATCTGAAGAGCAGCACCAAAGTTTGGCTGAAAATATAGATAAAAAAAAAAACCATTGAGGATGGTAGTGAATTATTCAGAATGCAAATCAAATCTTTCACAACCATAATGACATGTCTACAGCCTTAAAAACAATGTTTATAAACAAGAAACACATTTCATGTATTATTAATGTAAACACTTTCAGCAATAAAATACAATTAAGACCAATATCTATGCATAACAATCAGCAAGTCTTAAAAAGTCTTAAAATATTTAACAGTTTTTTTTTTAATGTTTTATGTTAAATATAAATTATAAAGGAAGAAGAGAAATGATACATTTACCTTGAATAAATAATCCAAGATTTCATTTTGTTGTACTAAAGGGTAGTTTACTAACAACTTAGAAGTTGCCTATTAGGAATAGATTACATTAATTGTTAGTACATTTAAGTTTCATACAAAGAATCATAAAAGGCCACCCCTAAAGACTGAGCCCTAAATTCACACATTTTATCAGCATCATTGCCAAACAGAGAGATTATTTTTGAACAACATTTAGGTAGTGGGTAAAAACCAGTAGCGTAGCGAGGGGGGGGGGGGGGGGGGGGGCGGGGGGACATATGTCCATAGGGGGCGCCAAAATGGGTTTGAAAACTAAATTGAAAGCTTGAGGGGGGTGTGCAAATTGAAATCTTGAGCGGGGGGGGGGGGTGCAAATCGAAAAGTTTGTCCCCAGGCGCCGGGAAGGGTCGCTACGCCTCTGGTAAAAACTATCCTTTTCTTATTACATAGTGTGTAATAGGGCCCAACTCTAACAGATGATTCAATTGCAAAAATTGTTGTTTTTGTAGTAAATTATAAAATTTGGTGTTAACCCCCCCCCCCCCCCCCCCCACCCAGTTGTGGATTGACATATAAGTTATTACGATTCTCAACAAAACCCTTTTCCTTGGGCAAATTTTGCAACATTTTGTTAATATGACTCCCCCCCCCCTACATGGCAATAGCGTTAAACTATGCTCAAATAATACTATCGATGCCCGTCCGCTCCTAGCACTTATGCACATAAACTTGGAAAATTGAAGGCTGATGTTGAGGAAGTGTTAATAAAAATTGAAGGAACAGTTATTGTACTTGACTAGAATAAAATAAATGTAAAAAATAAGCCTACAGAAAAATTTAGAACAAAAAAATGCTAATGGTGTGGAGGAGTGGATTTTAGTGGTGAATGAAATGAAACTCTTACAACTTAAAGGTGATACAGCTTTCTATAAAGCACTGGTTTAAATTTAATGTCCTGTCACACTGTCTAGGCCCTACCATTTGTGGCATTCATTAGGGGGGGGGGGGGTGTCGAACAGGGCCCATCTTTAGTAATAGCACTACGGGTGTTGTCGCATTGTCGTTCAAGCCATTTAAAGAATTAGTCTATAAATATAAATAAACTTGAACTTTGTCAAAGTTTTTCAACCAATTATTTTACCTTAATAACATTTTATTTGTTGATTTAATTAATCTTTAATCAACATGGTGCTATTAACACTATACTTGTTTTTGTTTTCACCCAATCACCAGGAAACTTTGGGTAATCGTTGAGACTACTACTGGCAGTGGTTTTTTCCACAGACAATTTTCTCGAAAAGGTTCTTCAAAGAAACTCTGACTTTTGGGAAGATTTCTGACAGTGTATTAGATATTATCAATAAAATTATCAACCGGATTCAATTTCATAACACTAGATCTAAATGTGTTCCAAATGTAACAAGAGCAGTGTAGCCTAGTAGTATCAGATATGAGATATGTATCTCAATAATGACAACAAGCCAATCACTATCAAATTACTATAAATTGTCAATAAAAAGACTATTAGCATAATTATTTAATTACTATTATTTGGCAATATTTATTTGGGCCTAAACTAATAGTTTTAAATAGTTTTAATAGTAAAAACAAACTGCAATTAATAAACATTAAATGTCAAATGATTGTCACTAGAAACAGGAAAGACCTAGCCTAGAACAGAAGAGTTTGAGTCCTAGACTCTAGACTACCAGCTACCACTAGCCGTCCTCTAGCTAGCTCCTGACCTAGAATCTAGCTAGACTATATGGATACGAGCCGGCCCGTGGCATAACATACGCTGCTATTTAGTTGTTGTTTGTTCTACTTTTCAGTAATTCATAATTTGTGAATTTGACAGTACCAACGCTGACACTGAAAATATTTCTTTAAAACACTATAAGTAGCTCGTTAAGGACCATACCCCCCCCCTCCCTCCCCCCCCCCCCCCCCCCCCCCAACGTTTAAAATCGTTTCAAACTAAATTATCTGCCCCTAATAGCGGTCACTAAACCCGACTCCACGAAGGTAAACATAGTGTGAACCACAGCTCACTAAGACCATATAGGGGTGGGGATGGTAGGGAGCGCGTTTACAGCTTGTTTTCTAGTGTCTCCCAGAAGAGAATTAGATCTATATATAATAGAGAATAGAGAATAATATGAAGTACATTAGAACCCGAACTTGGTTGATCTATATTGGAATATTCTATAGGAGTCTATAGGCTATATTATAATATAATCGTAGGCTTAAATGAATACTATATATATTAATTATATAATTATATAATATATAGAATTATAGTTTATTATAGAATATAGATCTAGATCTAGTAGTACTAGTACCCCTCCTCCGCTTAATCCACCAATGCCGTCGAACTGACGACCAAAGCCTTGGGATTCATCAAAGTTTATTTCACTTATCAAAGAATAAGCATACAAATGTGAGGCGAAAACAGTTGTCCAAATATAAATATGAAATTGCAAAGATATTATTTTATATAGAATGCAGTGTTTCGTAATTGGATGAAGCATCTTTATTTAAAATAAAATCAGCGCCTCAACAAAGTTACAGTCATGTGAATCTGTTTTTGTTTTTTTTGTGTTGTTGTTTTTACATTGGTGGCTACTACAGCAAAAGACAGTCATGTGATCCAATTATTTTTAGAACAACGAACTTGATCTAGATCAGTGGTTCTTAACTCATATTCGATCGAACCCCAAGTTTCGGTGAGTCGGTCTCTGTCCTCGGGGGCTCGGCGGAGGTCAAAACACACACCCGACATATAGATCGGATTTTGTCAGTGAGGACAATAAAACTAGCTGCCGCGGCATATAACAGTTCAAGTATGACATTGGTTGTTTTTTTTTTAATTAAGTGCACCAGAGCCGCCGAGATAACACGTATCGACATCGTGAAATTTCTATATAATATACAGTTTCTTCCAGGCATCTCTTCGGAAGGGGGGGGGGGGGCTTCGAAAACATTCTACCGCCCGCCCCCCCCCCCCCCCCGAACGAAATGAAATTTATATAATTTATATAGAAAATATATACTTTTAACAATGTCCCCCCCCCCCCACGAAGAAAGTCTACCGCCCCCCCCCCCTCAAAATTTCAAGTGCCCCCCCCCCCCCCGGAGAAAAAAGTCTTGAAGAAACACTGATAATATATCGTGGAACCCTTGACGTCACGACTATTATTAATGGTTTTGTTCTTCCAACACGGTGTTGCTGATGCACGGTTCATTTTGAGAATCATCTAATATATTATATACATACGTTTTGAATTTGGGAACAAAAATCATATTGTATTTTTCGTATTATTAAGTAGGGGTTGGACCAGTTTGGGGTCGTCCATAAATTACGTCACACTCTTAGGGGGGGAGGGGGGGTCCGTAATTTTGTGACGCTGTGTGATGAGGGGGAGAGGGGGGGGGGGGGTTCAGATGGTGAGACGCAGAAGCGGATTAAGGTTGAGTGGGGCCCCCAGTTGAATTTTTTTGGGGGCCCCATATATATATATATATATATATATATATATATATATATATATATATATATATATATATATATATATATATATATATATATATATATATATATATATATATGTATGTATATATATATATATTTATTTATTTATTATTTTTTTTTTAATTTTATTTTTTTTATTTTTTATTTTTTGTGTATGAAAGGAAATAAAAAACAATAAGTAAACAACTGCTAATGAAAATACGCTAGTATCCAAGGTAGGACAAAAAACTCAAATGATGTGGAATTTGCAAAAAAATTTATACACGTTAGCCTTTGTATTAGGTGGCTCAATCCATGCTAATTATAATATTCTAACTATTATGTCCTCTATTACGTCCACAGAATTTGCATTCACATTTTTTTATTAGAGTGAGTTGGATTTTTTTTCAAATTACCTCCCCTGGCAAAATTATAAAATATTTTAATTAATTAGTTTTTTTTTTTACCCTACTGCTATTAAAATGTATCCAATTTTTCTAGTAATCTCAGCGAAAGTATTATTTGACATTGATCCGTATAATATTTTTTTGCAATGTGCGTTTATTTAATATTTTATTTACGTTATCCAAAAGAATAAAAACAGTGACGACTATAAAAAAAATTTTTTAGTCGTTATATGAATAAACCTTATCCAGTAGCGTACGCAGGGGGGGGGGGGGGAGCAGGGGGAGCGGCCGCTCCCCCTCTGGCCATTTTCATCAAAGTGGCGCCTTTTTGGAAACTTTTTAAACTCTAAGTTTTAAACAATGATATTTGTTAAAAAAATATTTTTGGTCGGCACATCTATGTAAATCACAAGATTTCTTTTCATGCAGCAATTAAGCATTATTGTACTAGTCTAGTACTGTCTACGTTTACAACACGTATTAACAGCTGCATCAGTTTACCATTCTAAAAATAACCATTACGATGCTTTGCAATGTTTAAAAAACCTCTACGGGTAGTACTACTTGGCAAGAGGGGTGTTAAGTTTAAGGCAACTGTATAATGTATTTGCTTGCGAATAATTGAATTAGAAAATGTTATACATAAAACTTCACACATAATTACTTTATATATACAGTTTGAATCGTGTGATTAATGTAAAAAAAATTACAATACAGAAACAAATACAACTGATGTGGCACCTCTATTTAAATTTACTTATTATGAGCAAACTGCGTAGTGGTGGGGAAATTTTGACAAGCTCAACAACGTCATCACAATGAAGTAGTAGTATTCTTACAGTTTGGGAGACAGTGATTACGATTACAAATTATATAAAACAGTCACAGCCCCCCTCCCCCATGGACCCTCTGTAAAAAAAAATATTGTCATAATACCACTGTTACTTATTTAAATCTATTTTTGTAATATATATTTGTGTATATATATATTTGTGTAATATATATGTATGTTAAGAACAGTCATCTAAAAACTGACGCTATGTTCACTCTGAGTTGGTTATCTCCCCCCCCCCCCCCCCACACACCTCACCACTACAATTGTGTAGAGCGACATTAATGTCACACCTAGGTATACACTGGGTTGGATAATTGACCTAAAGTGACCGGACAGTGGTGAATGAAGTTGAACCCCCCCCCCCCAACCCACCCCATACTGATCTGTTAAGTACATATAGAAAAACGCGTATTGATGTACCAAAGTACCATGCCGCCAGAAAATTAGCTTGTTAAACGTAAATATCTTTGAATATTGTTTTTGCAATTACCAGTAAAAAGGTGTGTGATCAATACAGTGATCTAACCCATACCTATCACTATGTTAAAAATGATCTTTAAAGAACACAAAGAAGAAGTATTTAATTAGAAATATATGATCTGAACTAAAAAGACGAATATTTTGTTAAATGTAAGATGTTATTCCGAGTGTTTTTCTATTATATCGAAAAGCGTGGTTTTATACGAACTCTGATTTTAAAAACTTTCATTATGCTGTAATACTTTAGCATTTATGATAACGATATATTAAATTCTGATTATAGACAAAAACATTTTGTAAACACGAATAGTGTTAAACAATTTCATTATATTCTTAATTAAATATTTATTTGTTTTGACATTTGTAATTAAATGTGTAGTTATATACATATTTATATTAAGAGAGTGATTATTTCCCCTATTTCACTTGTCTTAAATAATTTCCCAGGAATCATTATGTAAGAATTTTTTAGCGCAATTTCCATTCTGGAGAATTGCGTTTATTAACCCGTCATTTCTGGATGTATGAATGTATGAATGAATGGATGGATGTGTGTCCGCAGCTTTAAGTCGTATCTCCTCCTCAACGAAGCAATATCGAGGTCTAGTTCCAAAGCAATTATGTTAAGTAAGTTCCGAGGATGATTGTGGGCCAAAAAATTTCCCTGAATTCATTCCTGGATTTCCCGGAAAAGCCAAAAAACCTCGAAAAAAATGCAGTTTTTGGCCCATATCTCGGCAACCAGACCACTTAGCGACTTGAAACATGTACCAATCGATTTCTGCTATAATTTAGAACAATATTGCCGAAGAAAGTTTTCAAAAATATCCTTTCGTTCGGTCACAATTTTTTTTTTTTGAATTAATTAAAATTTGGACCGAATTAGTAGGCATTTTTATCCAACCACACCACACGCGTCATCACGTTCAATAGCTGCGCCATCACGTTCAATGGCTGCGTCATCACGTTCAGTAGCTAGGCGCGCAATGGTTTTTAGTCATGTAACTCTATTGTAAATAAAACATGTAAAATACTGAAAAAATAAATAAATAAAAAACGTTTTAATAACTAATTAACTAACCAATGGTTTTACTAACCCTGCTCTTGATTTACGCTACGACAGAGCTATTTTTAGATAACATAAGGAAATTGCGCTAAAATTGTCACTAGACTTTTTAAATTACCTTGTTTTTACAAGAATTACAAAACAGATTGTGTTACGTTCATTGTTTTTGGTTGTAGTGTATATATATATATATATATATATATATATATATATATATATATATATATATATATATATATATATATATATATATATATATATATATATATTTTTTTTTTTTTTTTTTTTTTTTTTTTTTTTTTTTTTTTTCGTTTACATTGATAAAATTTTTGTTTTGTCGGCCTACATTTCAATTTATTTTACATCATAGCGAAGTAATGACATACATCTATATATATATATATATATATATATATATATATATATATATATATATATATATATATATATATATATATATATATATATATATATATAATAAACGTATATAGAACGTGTTAAAAATTCGGCGCCCTTTTTTGCTCTTTTCGCTCCCCCTACAACTAAAACCTGGATACGCCTCTGACCTTACGGAAGGAAAAATAAACGCACTTCCAGCAATGTTATATTATAGACTAGCTGCATACCTGTGCTCCGTCACGGTAAATCTTTTTTAAATGTATCAACTTGGGAACATAACAAAACTAAACACAACACCACAACACAAACACAAAAGAAAACACAAACACAAAAGAAAACACAACATTAACACAACACAAACACAAAAGAAAACGAAAACGCAAACGCGACAAAAAACAAACGAAAAAACAAACGCAAATAAAAACACAGTTCAGTTCTTTAAATAAAATTAAAAAATTACATTAGCGTTTCATGACTAAAACCATTTCGCACCTAATGAACGTCATTACGCGTATATAATGTTACGGAATAGTTGATAAGAAATTATCATTAATAAACAGTACGTTCAGTGAATAAAATAAATAAAAGATAGCCTTTCATCAATCCATGCTAATTATAATATTCAAACAATAATGTCCTCTTACACGTCTACAGAATTTGCATTCACATTTTGCTAATTATATTATTCCAACAATAATTCCCTCTTGGAGATTTTGCATTCACTATTTTTAGCGCAATTTCCATACTGGACAATTGCGATTATTAACTCGTCATTTCTGGTGATGGATGGATGGATGTGTGTCCGCAGCTTTAAGTCGTATCTCCTCCTCAACGAAGCAATATCGAGGACTAGTTCCAAAAGCAAATATGTTAAGCAAGTTCCGAGGATGATTGTGGGCCTAAAAAATTCCCGAAATTCCTTCCTGGATTTCCCGGAAAAGCCAAAAAAACCTCGGAAAAAAATGCAGTTTTTGACCCATATCTCGGCAACCAGACCACCTAGCGACTTGAAACATTTACCAATCGATTCCTGACATAATTTAGAACAATATTGCCGAAAAAAGTTTTCAAAAATATCCTTTCGTTCGGTCACAAAAAATTAATTAAGAATTTTTAAACTGAGCATCGTGTAGGCCTAGGATGATATTTTTAATTTAAACTGAGCATCGTGTAGGCCTACTCGTTAAAATAAAACTAAGTTTATTTTTTACTTATTAATTTTTTGAATTTTTAAAACTACTTGTGTTGCATTATTTATTTGCTGAATATATGATTTATCTCGATTTAAAATTGTTATGGATAACATAAGGAAATTACGCTTAAATTGTCACTAGACTTTTTATTAACTTGTTTTTATTAGCGCGAGTTGAATTTATTTTTAGATTACTTCCCTTGTCAAAATTACAAAACAGCTTAATTAATTAGTTTTTTCGACCCTACTGTTATTAACATGTATCAATTTTTTTCTAGAAAATGTTATTTGACATTGATTCGTTTAATATGTTTTAGAAATTTGAGTGTATTTAGTATTTTCTTTACGCTATGTGAAAGAGAAAAACAGTGGCAACTATAAATTAGTCGTTATATAAACAAACCCTTCTCTATTACTTATAATAAGACACTGCAATGCAAGTAAAAAGCCCAACATGTGATGTGTTTACCTTTATGGTTACAAAATTTATAGCGATGAAGTAAGGAAGGGCTTACAGACTACCACAAGCGTTATATTATAGATTTTAGATGCCTGGATAGGAGGTGATGACAGGTGGGGCTTATACGTAAGTGTGTGCAAGTCAGAGGCGCAGCGACCCTTCCCGGCGCCCGGGGACATACTTTCAATTTGGCGCCCCCCTCGGGAGCAAATTTTCGATTTGCACCCCCCCCCCACTCGAACTTTTCATTTGCACTCCCCCCCTCAAACTTTCGATTTGCACCCCCCCCCCTCGAACTTTTCATTTGCACCCCCCCCCTCAAACTTTCAATTTGGCGCCCCCCCTAAGGTCGGCGCCCGGGGACATATGTCCCCCCCCGGCCCCCCCCCCCCCCCGTGATGCTAACATTAAAACTTTAGTTTTTATAGTGAAAACCAACAATTATGTGGTAAATTTTGGGGGCCCTAAAAATCGGGGGCCTTAGCTGCAGCCCTTTCAGCACCCCCCTCCTTAATCCGCCGTTGTTGAGACGTCACATTTTTTGCATTAACAAAAAGTTATGTTAGAAAACACATTTTAGCCGTTATTTCGCGTTTTAGAAAACTGTTTTAATAAATTGTAATAGGAATTGATTAAAATACTCTATGCTGAGTGAGTTCAGACAAGATTTTGGAAAGATATCGATGTTTTAAGAAAAATTCAACTGCAATTTTGAGGGGGGTTGTAGGCTGAGGTGTGACGTCATTTTAGGGGGGGGGGGGGTCTGGCTTTTTGTGACGATGTGTGACGGATGGGAGGGGGAGGTAAAAATCGTCAAAAAAGCGTGACGTTATTTATGGATGACCCCTTTGGTGAATGCGCGTGTGAAGCTGATGGCAATGGGGTTTGGTACCTCAAAAAGTTAAGAATCGCTGTACTTGATCTGGTCTAGGTTCTAGCCAGATTTATATTTAAAAAAAAAATACCATCTATAAAAAAATCATAACAAAACAAACTCGTGCGAAAACAACATAGATCTAGATCTCGGTCTAAACCAGTAATAAGCATTTATACACCTGAACCTGAAATTGTTGTTTTTAAAATGATGCTTCTATGTTTTTTTTAAATATATTTTTCTATTTTATTGAGCCAGTAACAATTAAATCTATCTTAAGCTATAGTCTAGTGAATAGTGATAATAAACAATTAGTTATTTAAAATAAATCTAGCCCATATATATGTATATGTATATATATATATATATATATATATATATATATATATATATATATATAATTTTATATATTGTACTATATAATAGTATTCAATGCTTTAATAGGCTAATAAATAGTCGGAGTCTACTATACACTATATAATTATAATACTATATATGCATATACAATTTCATTTTTAAAAAAAATATATTATGCAAAGGATAACACCACAATTACATAAATAGTCAGTAATATTTAAAATTAACATATATCTAGACTTATTTTGTAGGTTTGATAGGCCTACATATTATTTATTTTAAATAAATTCATTATATGCAAAAATGCGAATGTAAATCTAGAAACAACATGGCGGCGCCCATGGAATTTGACAGAGTGTAGCAAGTTGAAGAAGAAAATTCAATTGTTAATTACCTGGGTAGCCTTACTCAATGTTCAGTTTATAAACTATATGCCAATTCCATTATTCGTATTATCGGGTAATTAATTATTTTAAATTTCCTATTTGATCAATTTAATTTACGTTTTTGTCAAGTTGATAGTAGAAGTTTACCACGGTAATCTGGTAATCTCTATTGACTTGAGTATTGTTGTGTGTGTAAAATCGGCCGCGGCTAGTAATGTGAAAAAAAAAACGTTGCTTCATTGTTATGGCTTTATTTTAATACAAGTATATTGTGGTATAATTGTGTCAAATATAATAGATAACTAAATAATAAAGCAATGTCTAAATATATCAATATGTGAATATATAATATATAGCCAACTGGCCAGAAATTGACTTTACTTTAAACAGCAGCAGTGTTTACACAGCAAGATTTGCTTTATAAACAGCAGCCATCTGTAAATTAGAGTGGTTTCCCCTGAATCTCTAACTATAAGTATAAAGTATACCATCAAAACTTAACAAGATGGCTGCAAAAGTAAATGAGCTTGGTCGCATCTGATGAAAACATCACTAGTCTGACTAGTATTTATTTATAACTGAAAAGTTAGTCTATAGGCCTAGGCCTAATTAATATGATTATTTAAAAACAGATACATGAATGAATCTTTGAAGCATATTTGTAACTTTCAAACATAAATCCTACTAAAAATGTGAAATAAGGGCTAAAGTTTAATGAGTCACCTTTTTTCACATTACTAGCCTCGGTCGATTTTATTTAGCCTACCTAAGTTTACCAAGTTTCATTTACACAATGTCTCAATATGACGGAATATGATGAACAAATCATCATTAGGCCTAATCATAAATTTAATTTGATAATAATTATCAATGAATATTTATTATTTTATATTCTATTTTGATTTCTATAAAATATGCAAATGCAGAGAATTTAAAACATTTTTTTTGTCAGCTCGAGGCTACATTTCTATTTATTTTCATGAAGTCTAACTAAATAAATTATAACCTAAATTTTTAGCCCATACTTTTGTAAGACAAGCTTGATTGGCTGTCTGTGACTGTGGTGATGTGATCCATTTTTCTGAAAACATCACTGTAAGATCTAGATTCTAGATCTAGTAGATCTAATTTGTACTCAAATCTTTGCCGATAAATTCTTTTAATAGAATTAGGTCTACTCATTTCAAACGCATGTGCCACTAGTTATCATAGTTATGCCTTGTTTATTTTCATTTTCACTAATTTTGAGTGATAAAATGAAAACAAGTAAATTATTTTATGCTTTTTAAAAATATTTTTAGTTAGACATACAGAAAATACTAAAATACAACAAAACCTAAGCAGTCAGATTTTTATTGCCTTATTGATTTCAATAACATCATACATTATTTTTTACATTTTTAGTGGGCCTTTCGACTTTTTATGAGACTATTCTCATTTGTGTCAAGTCTTTATTTTACTATTTTAATTTTTTAGACCAGGAGATTTAGATCTAATCTAGAATCTTTATTACTAGATAAATGGCCCATTGAGAGAGAAAAACTGGAATGCTGATTAAAATTATATCAGTTTTCATCATATAGTCGATCAAGTTAAGACCCTGCCAATCATCTCCAGTTGCTTGAACCCATTTGTTCACCATAAGACTAATAACAAAATAGCATCTAGGATTGTCTATTTGATGGTCAGCATTTGATTTTGTTATTTGATAGTTGTCTAAGGGAGGCTATCCCATACAGAAGTAACCCAAATTTTGTAATATTAGGATTTTTATTTTTGTCTGCCTTTTTTTAATGATGATTTTCTGTTTTAGTAAGATCTTCATTTTTTAAACTAATGTAACTTTCTTGTTTCAGGTGGGATAAAATGTGAGTTTAAAAGTAGAGTTTGTTACTTAATAGACTTTGTAGTAAAACTTTACTTTCTTCTTAAAAAAGATTGCTCCCATATGGAATTAGCTTATAAGTATTATAAACAACAGTTTATTCTCTGAAGTACAACTAGGATAGCATTTAAAATTTACTGCTCCCTTGAAATGGAGGGCACTTTTGCATCTGCCAGACCTGTGGTCTTAGAAACTTTAGCTCATGCTTGCAGCCAAGATGCATCTGTTTTAAAACCTGCAGAACACCAGCTTCAATTATGGGAAACAGAACCTGGATTTTATTCAATATTAACTGTAAGTTTATAGTTGTGTTAGTTTAATCAGGAACTAATTGTGGAATTAAAAGTTTTCAAATGCAATAATTAAAACTATTTAGCCTAACCTAACAAAAGTACTTTTCTAAGAAAAAAAATGTCATAAAAAATGTCCTACTTTATTTATCTGCACTCTTGCTGTTGAAGTTACTCTCTAATGGGAACCTGACATAGTTCAGGGAAAGTTAAGGTTACTGGCATTTAATGCTGACCCCATAATCCCTTTATCTGCCATTTGGACCATGAGTGTGATAGACTACCTTATTGGCAACATAGTTACCTTTAATACTAGGAAATAGGTTACTTATAAACTATCTTAGCTAGTTGAGGTGATGCATAGAAAAAATAGTCTTTACAACAATAATTGTATAATTATATCATTAGAACTAAAACCACTACACTTATTAATTTACATAGCTGTATAAAGAAGAACAACCATGAAATCTTAATATTAAGTTAAGAACACAAATGCCACTGTTGGCACTAATAGTGATATAATAAATACATTTCCCTATACCCAACTGAATGGTGATAACAAAGTAAAGACAGATATTGAAACATGCACATTGCCCTATGTATACACCTGGGAAATTACACCTGATACAACTAATTGCCCCTAAAAACAAAATCTTTCTATTGTGGTTTAGGGAGAGAAGAAAAGATTTTTAAAATTAAGATTTAAATATTAATCAATGGTTAATCATAACTATAATAATAAGAATTAATGCAACCTTATATGTCAGACATGTTTATAATGCTTGTTGAAGGATATATTTTGCAATCATATGATTGATGCCAATGTGAGATGGTTAGCAGCATTGTATTGCAAAAATGGCATTGACAGATACTGGAGAAAATCTGCACCCAAGTGAGTTTCTTATTTTAGCATAATTTTTTTAAACGAACTGCTTTAGGCCTTACTAGAAAATTCTGTCAATTAATAATGTGAATTCAAGGCCAGTTAAACACTTGCTGCTAATTTTGGTTCGACTTTTCAGTGCAATATCTGAAGAAGAGAAAGAGGCCATTAAAAAACGTCTGGTGTCTGATTTTACTGAACCTGTTCCTCAAGTAAGCTTAAAATTTAATATCCTCATATGTTGCAAATATCATTTGAAAGCTCTCACATCAACTTGATTATAACACTTTTTACTTTTAATAAGCTTCTCTCAGATGTTTAAGTATCTATATTTTGTAATTATTTAAAATCATCAGATTGCCACACAGATAGCAGTTTTAATTGCTAAAATTTCCCGGCTTGATTGTCCACATAATTGGAACTCATTGCTTCCCACGCTTCACACTGCCATCCGATGTGAGGAGCAGCTAGTGCAGGAGAGGGCCCTCTTGGTCCTACATCATGTCACCAAAACACTGGCATCTAAAAGGCTGCCACCTGACAGGAAGTTGTTTGAAGAGGTAGACATTACAATAATTCCTCTTAAGATTTTTAATGTGGGCTTATCTATATTCTTTTCATTGATCATGATTTTTTTAAGTTCTCAATAAATTTACCTTGAGAATAGACTATTGAATCCACATTTTTTAAAATGAATGTTGTTATAATTTGTCCTATAAAGCAAGTAACGTCCTCAGCTATTGAGCCAAACTTAAAGATTCAAGTGCTCGGAGTTGTGTTTTACTATCACACAAAAACCATTTGTTTTTTTTACTTTTGTCATTAACTTTTTGCTCGCAATAGTATTGTAACTGCCATTACACCACTTGAAATTTCAGCTGACGCAGGATGTCTTTGTGTACATGGTTAGTCTGTGGAACTCAAATCTGAACACATTTTTTCTGGTGGCTGCACAGCATGATGAGGCCATGGTGCCTTCTATTGACAGGTGTAAACTTATTTTAAAAGGTGATCAGCACACAGCTCTTTGCATTTTTCTTAAATTAAAAAACATTTTTAATCACTTGGATTATTTTTCATGTTTGGACCACTGAAATGTCTGTCACTGATTTTTTCAGTCTTGAGAAAGCAAGTTTGCTATGGTTTTAAGCAAGTGCACAAAAGTGAAGAGGCGATGAACTTCATCTCAAACCTTTTTCCCCAGTTAGACACATTCCTTGATTGCCGTAAGTTCTGGTTTTTTTCTTTGTTAAAAGTTTCTTTCAACCAAAGCTATTGGCTATTTTATTTTCATGAATCTAAAACTTACTTATTTGTTGTTAAGGTCGGAGTCTGTGGGGGCACCATGTAATGCTTGAAAAATGTGAACATTTAATTTCATCAGTTACCAAAGTGGTAAGTATGCTATCATTTTTTTTAAAATGTAAAAGTCAAGTTTGTTTTTATAGAGGTTCATTTGTGATTATAAGATAATAAACAAAAGAATTACTTTTCATCAGTTTCAAACACTTTGTTAACCAGTACTTGAAGCTAATTTTTCTCAGACAAAATAAGGTCAACACTTATAAAGAGATGACCCTTGTGGGTTTTTTCATTTGTTTTTTTTTACAGTAATATTTCCTTAAAATCTATAATTTTCTCATGAAAACTCCTTAAATGTGTTGTCATGAGCAAGGCTATGCATTGGGCAATTAAATCTCTGCTAATAAGATGTTTTATCAATTATCTGCTGGTCATATGTCCCACACAGAACTAAAAACAAGTTCTAATGCATGTTGACAGTTATTAGTAGTATCCTGAAAAATATTTGTTTTGAACTAGTACAAAACTCATTGTGAATAAATGTTTACTAAATATGGACATTAATTTTTACATTTTCTCAAGTCTGTTAATAACAATATGTATAGTAACTGTTGCTGAGGTTTTTGTTATACACCTGTTGAAAGAAAATTTGTATTAAATGACTCAGAACCCAAACGTCTTGTTCATATCCAAGGCTTGAGTCTATAGGATGCTGACAATTTCCTTGTACGTCATAGTCACTGAAACAGATGAACTATGTTTCATCTGTTTCTGACACAAACAGGAAGATTTGTATAAAAAATGTTTGTTTACAAAAATTCTCCTCTTGTTTTCTTACAGCTTCTGGATCTGCTTGAAATGCATCCAACTTCTTACGTTCATTTTATAAAAACTACATTAACATTTGTAGTTCAGTACAACTTTACTGCCAAAGGTATTTGTTTTACAGGATAATGATTAGGTCTTATTTTAAACTGCAATGTCTATTGTGTAGATCAGCCAATTCAACCCCATACAAGTTAAAATCTTGATATTTTCCCTCTCATTTCAGGTCTTTTGTTTGAACGGTTTACTGTGAATTGTTTCAATCTGATGAAGCAGATTTTATTTAGTGATGACTATAAACCAAGGAAAAACAATGATGGTACATTTATGACATTTATTTGTGAAGCTCATTTGAACCTTTGAACTGTGCAGTGTGTCAGTCAGTAATCAAAAGGTGGGGGCAGCTTTGTCAAGTGACAGGACACAAGGTTATACTCTCAGAAGACCTGAGTTGAAATTCCAGGGGATATTTGGTATACACATTTTGTATCTAAAGCATCACTTAGTCAGCCCAGCTATGATGGGCACTTAGTGCATTTTGGGAAAGTAAAGGCAACTGACCATTATACTGTTCAGCCAATAGCGGCATTGTTCAACTAAATCACAAAATATTTCCCAGCGTAAATCTTCTGGCTTGAGGTTTATCTTTAATGTATGTAAACATTCTGGCTGAGGTTTGTACTCTTTAATGTGGTAGCACTGCCCTTATGACTTGCAGGCACATAATTTCCTAACACTGCATTTACACTTATTGCACATCTTATTTACATACCTGTGAAAGTATGTGTGAGGGAATGTCCTTTATGCATTACTATACCTTTCATCCCTTCACTGTGAAACTGGGGAGTTGTTGAGAATGCTCCTGCAAAGGTTTCTGGGAGGGGGGGGATTAAATTTCTGCCCCAAGAGCTAAAAAAAAGGCCACGTAGGGCCCCAGAATAAAGATAAGGAATACTATTGAATTTGAAAGATTCTGAGAAAATAACCAATCTATTTTGTGAAAAATATTAACTTGCTTGTTTCCTCTTTGTCCATAAAAATTTTATTACAAAAACTGAGATGTGCCTACCATTCAAAAAATAATGATTAGTAATACCTTAAGTATAAAATTTGAAAAGTTACTTTTCTAAAAAAAAATAGCATAATACTTTTCTATCTAACCTAATAAAAATGAATGTATGTCTATTTGTCTGTGTGTTTGTCTTTTATGCATTACTCAGCCTTTGGGGAGATGTTGAGAATAATCCTTTGGAAGTTTCTGCAAAAAAAATTAAATTTTGAAGGAGTGGTGCCCCAGTAGGGTGCAGAAATTTCCAGAAAAGTGCAAATTAATTAAAATAATATGAATGTTGAATTATTTCCTTGTCAAATTTTACTCCTAGAAGAAACATGCCCGGTGACACTAGAAGCCAATAGGATCATTACAGAGTTCTTTACTTGTGACACACTCTCAGAGATTTGTCGTCGTTTGGTGTCAGACTATTTTTTGCTAACAACAGATGATTTGACAACTTGGGATGCAGATCCTGAAGAGTTTTGTAAGTCTTGTTATCTTGAGTCATGTCACCTTGTCGTGTCACCTTGAGTCTCTTTCTGTCATCTTGAGGTTATTTGTTTGAACCCATGGACATTACTTTCTATAACACTGATTTTGTTTTTCCATAGGCCAAGAAGAAGGAGGGGATTCCTACAAATATTCATTAAAGGTTATAATATTTTTCACCCAAGTGCTTATAAGCATTAAAATCTTGTATTAAATTATCTTAAAAGCATTGCCTGCAGGATAATTGAATGAGAAAATAAATGCCTTACATTCACAGCCTTGTACAGAAACTCTGTTCTTGACAATCTTTAAAGCATTCCGTTTGTCTCTGACCCCCATCTTGCTAGAGATGGTGCAGGCTGTCCAGGGACCTTGTGATCCAGACAACCTTGCTGCAGTGCTCAGGAAAGATGCTGGTAGGATAAATTCAAGTCTTGCTCCTTATTTTATGAACATGCATTTTTACATCATTTGTTTATAAAATAACTAAAAAGAGACTTGAAATGAAGTGTTTTAAATGAAGAAGCTGTTTAGACCTTGTCCTGAACAATACATTAACCATACTTTACATTACAGCTTACAATGCTGTGGGCTTAGCATCTTTTGATCTCTTTGATGAGATTGATTTTGACTCTTGGCTCACTACACACTTGCTCCAGGAACTCCAGATTAAACAGAAAAGGTAAATATCTCGAGACCTCATTGTGTTGCGTGTAGGTGCAGCACTTGCACCTTAGCAAAAAGAAATAATGGTAAATCTGATTGTTATTCTAGAAAAATGTTAGTCAACACATAAGAAATCTTTTAACATGATTTCATAAAAGTATACTACAATAAGCAGTTTTGAAAATTTCTCTCTTACAAAAATGGTATATTTTTCTGGATTATTATTTTATTAACTTCCACCAAAATCATCAATCTTATTGCCATATTGTTGAAGCAGTTACCTAACAGCTCACTAATATAAACATTTTGTCTAATCAAACAAACATAGACATTTTGACACATAACACAGATAGAGACATTTTGACACATAACACAGACATTTTGACACATAACACAGATAGAGACATTTTGACACATAACACAGAGACATTTTGACACATAACACAGATAGAGACATTTTGACACATAACACAGACATTTTGACACATAACACAGATAGAGACATTTTGACACATAACACAGACATTTTGACACATAACACAGATAGAGACATTTTGACACATAACACAGACATTTTGACACATAACACAGATAGAGACATTTTGACACATAACACAGAGACATTTTGACACATAACACAGATAGAGACATTTTGACACATAACACAGACATTTTGACACATAACACAGATAGAGACATTTTGACACATAACACAGACATTTTGACACATAACACAGATAGAGACATTTTGACACATAACACAGACATTTTGACACATAACACAGATAGAGACATTTTGACACATAACACAGACATTTTGACACATAACACAGATAGAGACATTTTGACACATAACACAGAGACATTTTGACACATAACACAGACATTTTGACACATAACACAGATAGAGACATTTTGACACATAACACAGATAGAGACATTTTGACACATAACACAGACATTTTGACACATAACACAGATAGAGACATTCTGACACATAACACAGACATTTTGACACATAACACAGATAGAGACATTTTGACACATAACACAGACATTTTGACACATAACACAGATAGAGACATTTTGACACATAACACAGACATTTTGACACATAACACAGATAGAGACATTTTGACACATAACACAGAGACATTTTGACACATAACACAGATAGAGACATTCTGACACATAACACAGATAGAGACATTCTGACACATAACACAGATAGAGACATTTTGACACATAACACAGATAGAGACATTTTGACACATAACACAGATAGAGACATTTTGACACATAACACAGATAGAGACATTTTAACACATAACACAGATAGAGACATTTTGACACATAACACAGATAGAGACATTTTGACACATCCCACTAATATAAAAACTCCAAGCTTTTGATGTTACCAAAGTATTTACTTGTGTACAAAGCTACCGTGTGATCCGCAAAAGAGTGGTTTGGCTGATAGGACAGTGGGTTGGAGTGAAGATGTCTGTCAGCTTGAGGCCAGCCCTTTATGAGGCAGTCATAGGGCTGCTGGATCCCAATGAGGATCTGGCAGTTCGCCTGGAGGCTGCTCAGACACTGAAAACTGATATCCTTTTTCTGTATTTCAACCTTGTTTTTTTTTTTTTAATTTGACTGACAAAACATATAGTTTTAAGTAAATTGTACACAAACTGTTTCCCTTAACTCACTTACCTGTTGATGACTTTGAGTTCACAACAGAGCAACTTTTGCCAGTAAGTAATTTAATGACAAATATTTGCACCACTCACTTTTATTTGGCCCAACCAGTAGAGTTATTTCTATGTGTAAGATAAGGAAGTTCTCTTAGCAAGGCAGTCTGTACATTACATTTCTGTGTACCATAAGATTAGAAAGTTTGAGTGTAAAAAATTGTTTTGTGGCATTTCTAAATGTTTCTTTAAATTTTATGTTTCAGTATATTGAGTCCCTGTTTTCTCTTCTGTTTCGTCTTCTCAAAGAAGTAAGAGAGTGTGATACAAAGGTGACATTTTTATTTTCTTCTTAAATTTTAAGTTTTGAATCAAAGCATGATAATTTGAATAAAATTCGATTTGATGAATATCAAACCAATGCCAGAAATGTGAGCATTCCAACTGCACACCGTCTTAACTTCAACTGCTGTTCAACAGATGCATGTGCTCCATGTGTTATCTTTTGTGATTGAGAGAGTGGGCTCCAAGATCCGACCATACACAGCTTCTCTGGTCCAGTACCTGCCACTGTTGTGGAAAGAGTCAGAAGAACACAATATGCTGAGGTGTGCCATCCTGACAAGTCTCATACACCTAGTCCAGGTCAGAGCTTTGTTACTCTAGCACCTTTATTGCTACTCTAGAGCTTACTTGAACATCATCTCTAACAGGTTTGACCTTGTCTGTTGCAGGGTTATGGCCCTGAATCCACCCAGCTATGGCAGTTTATAATCCCAGCCATTGCCATCAGCACAGACACCACACAAGAGCCGTATGTTTACCTGCTAGAGGATGGCCTGGAGCTGTGGTATGTCACCCTCATCAACGCCCCGCTGATGTCGCCAGAGCTGTTGAAACTTTTTCATCACATGCCCCCACTCTTAGGTTTGGCTTCCATTCATCTAGTTACCTCAACACTTTAACAATTTTAGGCTTGGCCTCCATCTTTTTAAATAATGTTAGCTATTTTTCAGTTTACTTGTATTTGAAATTTATTTTGTCTGTAAATAACTTTTTTCCTGGCTATTCTGTTTGTAGAGTTGGGCACTGAAAATCTGAGAATTTGTTTGAAAATTATTCAGTGTTATGTCTTACTTGGCTTAAGAGACTTTATGCAGGTAATGCTATTTCTTGATGATGTTTTTTTGGTTTTAAAATAAGTGTAGCCTTGTGCTCAATAACATATTTTACTCATTGAACTTATTGTTTGTCAGGCATTTTCTGAAATTCTTGCATCATCTTTGTTGAGCTTGATGACAGATATTCGTACAGAAGGGATGGTACTTACACTCAGGGTCAGTTTTTGTTCATTAGATATGTTTACTTGGTCATACATTTTTTTTCAGTTTTTTATACACCAGTTAACATAAAGTGACTTTATTGAAACAATTATTTTTAATATTGCACAGCTAAAGAAATGTCCCAATATGTATAGTGTTTATTTTTTAATTTGTCACAACAAATGAATTCTGTTGTGCTGATATCCTAACACAGACAATTTCTATCCCAGTTAGTGGAACTAATCCTTAAAGCTTTTCCCATGGAAGGTCCATCTGTATTCCATGCTTTGGTGCCTGGTATCATCAATTCCATTTCAACTGGTGAAGTAAGTTCTTAAATAATTTGTGGGTTAATATTAAAAACGAGCAGATCCGCTGCGTAGCATATGCCGCTATTTATTTTCTTTATTTTCTACTTTTCAGTAATTCATATTTTAATTCGACACTACAATATTTGTGACTGACAATATTTTGCTTTAAAACAGTATCATGAGTTTGTAAACGACAATTATCCTCACCCTCCCTCCCTTTACCCACCTCCCCCCTTCCCCCTCTGTGAAAAGCAGTTTACAGACCACAATGAAAAGACCAAGCAGAACTTGTTACCTCCCCTTAGTTCAAAATCATTTAAAAACTAAATTATCTTATTAGCCACTACTAATTCAACCCGGCTCTACAATTGTAAATATTTGGTGTGAACCACAGCTTACCAGACTGGTGGGGGTGGGGGTGATAGCGATATGGTCTGTTGTGCATGCAAGGAGAGTGAGGGAGAAGGCAGGTTGGCATGTGTACACGGTGGTGGTGTCCTGCATGGTCCCTCATAGAGAATTATATATAGAGATTAATTATTTCTACTGTAAAACTATTAATTTAAAAATATCATATTTTGAAGGAAAACTTAATTTTTAAAAATCTTATTTTGAAGGAAAATTGTGTAGTGATGGCCATGCATTTAAGTTTATTTGCTCGGATACTCCTTCAAAATCAACCTTTCATGTGGTCAGTGATTCAACATGTCGCATCAGAAGCTGGACGAGATGTAAGTTTTTAAATAACTTAATCAAACCAACTAATTACAAAAACCACATTTAATATATTTTCTTTTTATTTTCTCGTATATAATAAGAAGAATTGTAATCATTCAAAAAATCAAAATTGAGATTTAAATCACAAATCTGCATATGAGTTGCCATTCCCATTTGTGTTATCTAAGAATATTCGAGAATGTTTGGGGGAGATGACTACCGCTTTATTTTATTTCAGACAAAATAATTCTTTCAGTAAATTTAAATTTGGTTCCCTGAAATTTTTAAAATTTCTAGTAGCTGGTTTGATCCTTCTATTATATTCAGACAGATTCTCTATTTGCAAGCCTTCTAGTTTGATATCCTGCTATTTTATTCAGACAGATTCTCTATTTGCAAGCCTTCTAGTTTGATATCCTGCTATTTTATTCAGACAGATTCTCTATTTGCAAGCCTTCTAGTTTGATATCCTGCTATTTTATTCAGACAGATTCTCTATTTGCAAGCCTTCTAGTTTGATATCCTGCTATTTTATTCAGACAGATTCTCTATTTGCAAGCCTTCTAGTTTGATATCCTGCTATTTTATTCAGACAGATTCTCTATTTGCAAGCCTTCTAGTTTGATATCCTGCTATTTTATTCAGACAGATTCTCTTTTTGCAAGCCTTCTAGTTTGATATCCTGCTATTTTATTCAGACAGATTCTCTATTTGCAAGCCTTCTAGTTTGATATCCTGCTATTTTATTCAGACAGATTCTCTTTTTGCAAGCCTTCTGGACACTTGGACTGACAAGTTTGACATCATCACCCAGCCAGAGCGGAGGAAGTTGAATGCTCTAGCTCTAGCATCCCTTCTCACACATAATCACAGGTTGCATTCTAACTATAGTCCTAGTGTTTATCTAGTGTCAAATTAGTATCAATTATAGGTAAATCAATTCAGTTAGTAACTGTACAAGTACAACATTGTGACTAAAATTTTAATATTTATTTTCAGGATTGTTACAGAGAGATTTGGAATCATCATAAATAATTTGGTGGAGGTTCTACATGATGTTTGTAGGGTTGATGAAGAGGGAAATATGTCAGAGTAAGTCTCAATTTTCCTCTACTTGTTCATGGAGTGAATGTTAGATCATTGATTAGAAAAATATAAACCATCTCTCTGCAGTGGTCTGGTGATTGAACAGGGCGAAATCAAAGTCAGTGATGAGCAAGACACCCAGCACGACCTAAGAAAACATTTAGTAAGACTTTTCATTTGGCTTTAGTCATGTTAGCTGTACAAGTTAGCTGTTGGGTGATTGGGCAGTTGGCCTCAGCACAGATGACTCAACAGTTTATTCTATTTCAGCTTTCCAAACAAGACCCAGTCCACACAGTGTGCCTAAAATCCTATCTCATGTCCCAGCTCAAACTGTGTCAAGAAAATGTAGGACAAGCAGCTTTCGACCACCTTATGAGTCAAGTTGATCCTGAAGTTTTAAGTCAGCTTCAGCCATTTTGCCATTAGCTGTACCTGTAAAAAATACTGGTAAACTGTGGATTTTGGTCAATGAAAAATCTCATTTGTCTCATGACATCTCCTCACGACCTCCATTTTTATCCTGATTTTAAAAGTTGCTGGCAATGAAAATAATTATTTACAGCAAATTCCCTAGTCATAGGCAGGTAACCTTGGTTTCCCCCCCCCCCCCCAACAGAAATAACTAGCATTTGGAGATCCCATCCATTGTTTACTGAGCTCATAATTTCCATGCAGTTATAGTCACTTGTTTATGTCATAAGTTTGATCTATCCCTCTTCTCTAATGATGTCTAATTATTCCTATAGTCAAAATGTTTCATATTGTATTTGAATAGCTTATGTATTCAAGTTCAAGCTCTGTTGTAAGGCTAAGAAATATAAATATTTATTCCTTTATCTGAATTGAGTAAGTTTTAATGGGCCAGCTCTGATGTAGTAAATGATGAAAGAACTGAAGTGTGTGCTGTTCTCTGTAGCTCATGTTGTGTGTATGAAAACACATTGAAATGTATTTAACAAAGAGAACTTGCATAATAATAAAATATAAAGAATTAAAATTGCTTTTATTAATTTACTTTGTAAATTGTGCTTTTATGTAATAACAATTTAACAAAAGCCATTACTTTGTAAATTGTTTTATGTATTATTATTGATTAACAAAAGCCATAATCATATTAGTTTATTACAAAAACACTGGGTTTGAATAAATATATAAATATAAAATTGTCTACTTCTGTAATTTAGTATATCTGCAATCCCAATAGGTACAGCATTTTAAAATTATTTGTACTATTTGTAACATAACTCACTATGGTGTCCCTGGGATAATAAACTTCATTATTGTTTAAGATGACTTAAACAGTTAAAAACTACATTTATTTACCTTTACAGTTTCAGCAATAAAACTTTAATTGATACTAATTTCAATTTCCAAAATAAATCGGTAGCCTAAAAAATGTTTTTTGAAAAAATGTGTTTATTATTAAATGGCTATGATGCTGTATTAAATTGAAACTGTTACAGTGGTTAACTTTTAAGAAGTGTTGCTGTGAATTAATTAACCATTCACTGCTGCTCAGCACAAATGTGTTGTCTGCTTGAGATCTTTCCATTCAAACATGACAAAATGTGAAGGCATAGCTGGTTGATTCATCAATCAAGTATCAAGGTATTATTTTCAAGAAATTTTCTTCAAGAGTCAGGAATTTTTAAAATCAGGGTTGTACATTAAATTTTCTATTTGCAAGCAAAAAGTTTCAGTATCTAATACAAACGATATATTTTAATTTATTTTTGGCTCCCTAGTACTCGGCATATTATATGAATACATTGCAGATGGAAAATGTATTTTCTTACTTTCAGTGCATATAAAAGCTTATTATAAAGGTTTTCTATATTTGTTTTATTAAAAATATAAGAATCACATTAATTAAATAGCAACAGACTACAGAAATAATTTTTTTAAGAGCAAAATTAATGATTTGCGTTGTTAAAAGTTTAATTGTAATTGGGCATTATTTTGACAACTGGTTTAAACCATAACTAGTAAAACAAAGAGTAAAGTACTAAATGATCTCAGTTTGAAAAGGAATACTATGGTCATTTCTAAGCCCTATGTTGTGGTTGGCTTGTGCAAGTTTGAGGTGGTGGACTTAGTAAAGTCCAGGATGCAAGCTGACACTTTGGTCAGCTAATTTCAATAAGTTTTTAAACAATAGGAAAATATATTCAAATCTGGAGTATAGGTCAACTAGTAGGCCTACTACTAAATCTCACTGGACTTTTTGGTTTGAATATTATAAGAATATTATATTTATTTGTCCAAGATAAGATCAATGTGTAGAAGATCTTGAAAACATTTACTTTTGTAAAAAATACCAACACACCATTATTATTAATAATGCAAATGAACAATAATCAAAATCATTCCTGTGGAGCATAGGGATGCAACCACACCTCTCCACCATACTCAGTTTTGAGTGCTTCATCAAAGTTGTATCCAAAATGCAAATGAAGAAGCCTGACTATTGCTATGAGCTTTTAGTTTGCAATGTCCCTTTGTGTGTCCGTAGCAAATCTTGTAACTCAATTTTGAACAACTTCTAAAAGTTCTAATGCAGTGATTTTGTTCAGATAACTTCTTTGTGGGGCAATGCATGAATATCTATTTTTTAATCTAATTAGACATTGGATTAGTCATTCAAATCTGATTAAACTGGTTTGAAACTAAGGGGAAATAAGATTAAATAATAACAAATAACAATAACGCGATAGATTAATAACAGAAGGGGAAATAACTAGCTAGATTGTTTGCCCAAGTGTCTACTACATAAATGGGGTAGACAACTGGTCGGGTTTGAACTATATTTATTAATGAAAGGGGAGATAAGATTACTAGCAACAGCACAATCAGCTCACTGTAGAGGGTGAACTGTTGTCAAGGTTGACAAAGAAGGGGCAAACAGCTGTCTTTTAGAGGGTAGCATAGCATGTGTGGTAAGTACTGGAGCAGGTGAGAGAGTGGTCTGGTGCAAAATTTTACCGTGGGTTGTCAAGTTTATTTCCTTCTCTAATCCCACTAGCTTTTTACACTACAGAAACTGTTTATTAAAGGAAAGATAATTATTACATTTTTATGTACTTTACTGTGTGTAGCCTAGCTTAGTCTTGACATTTGAAATATTTTGTAGAAATGAATCTCACATCTAGGCTTACTTGTACTACTCGTAGTTGAAAAGTTATTTCCAATAACAACTGCAAAGCTTTAAATAGAGAACAGAAAAAAGAAAGTACAGAAACTTTTAAAAACATTTATTTAAGCAAACCAAATGTAAAAATGAAAAACAAATGTTTCAATTAGTTAAAAAAACTAAAGCCTCAACCACATTTCCTTTATATTCCCTCAAAACTCTTTCTGCCCTTGTTCTTGATATTTCCATTTCTTGTACCTAATTGGAATGTAAGTTTCACATTTTATAATAATTGCTAAAGATGTTTATAAGAACTTAAAAATATGTAAGCTATATTTTAAATATTAAAAAATCGCTTACACTTACAATATAATCAACATCATCTTTATTTATCTTGACTTTTGACAGTTCTTTCTCCTTTTCATGTTTAGCTTTGGCCTCTATATTCTGTCGATCACTAACTACACGCATAGCCTGAAATTATATGTTGCAAATTTAGCCTGTGGATTTGTAGAATTAAATAGACTAGCATTGTACCACACCAAGGAAATACAAAACTTTTGGACTTAGAATAACTCTGCTTGTCCAGAATATCTCTGCCTTCTGACCTGAAATTGAAAAGGTGAGTCCTTTCTGGTTCAAGGCACCTAGTTTCATGTATGTATTCACCAGGAACACATTAATTTTTGCCAGTTAACCTCTGTCAGATCAGTTATTCCCTGTCAGGAACATTTTATATTTGTGCTATTTTTGGAGCTCATTTATTTAAATAATTGATGGGGGGAGGGAGGGAATTTTTATACCAGTGTCCGATAATAGAATCTTCTTTAAAAAAGGGGTGTTAAGTTACTGGTAGCTAACTAAATACACACATGGCTGGCTAATGCCAATGGGGTCATCCATAAATGACGTCATGCTTTTTTTTGACAATTTTTACCTCCCCCCTCCCCTCCATCACAAAAAGCCAGACCCCCCCCTAAAATGACATCACACCTCAGCCTACAACCCCCCTCAAAATTGCAGTTGAATTTTTTTTAAACAGCTATATTTTTCCAAAAGCTTGTCTGAACTCTGTCAAAATAGAGTATTTTAATCAATTGTTATTACAATTTATTAACACAGTTTTCTAAAACGCAAAATAACATCTAAAATTCGTCTTCTAACATTGCTTTTTTTAATGCAAAAGTGTGACGTCGCACCATCTGAACCCCCCTCTCCCTCATCACACACCGTCACAAAATTACAGACCCCCCCTCCCCCTACGAGTGTGACGTCATTTATGGACGACCCCAATGCCATAATTTCTAACCATACAATTAATGACTTAGTCGAGATTACAATTCTACTAACAAACCAACACACCTATTTTATGGAAGAGTCTATTATCTGTATCTAAAATCATCCATGGAAGGTTCTAAAAAAGGGGTGTTGGGATACTGGTAGTTAACTAACAAAGTTAAATACACATCTTGCCTATGTTAATAAATAATAAAACTACCCTTATTGTATAGTATTGAGATTACAAAACAAACAACCAAACAGTTAACTGCGGGAGTCTATTTTACAAGTGAATTATTAGGCTAATAGAATTTCTCAATTTAAAATTTAAAAATAGATCTAGATTCTAGATCTCAGATCTACTATTTCATCTATCTATTAGGCCGGTTCGTCACTTAGATGGCTGGATTGACCTCTGACCCTGAAACGTCACGCGTCGTTTTCTGACGGTTTCTACGTTTATTTTAGGGGTCCTATCCACGACAAATTAAAAAACTGTTTATCTCTCCAATTCTCATCATTATTTTAACACAAAATGCTAATAAAATGGATAATATGCCTTAGAATGCCAGAAAAAATCGCGAGAATTGTGTTTGTAAATAATGAGAGGATTTCTAGTGGAGCACTCTCCGTAAAAACTGAACCGCGGCCAAAAACGACCCAATAACGGGGAAAACGGCCCTGATAACACTAAATTAATATATAATTGAGATAATTATCATGTATATTTACAGTATTATCGATTCTACTTTCCAAAATCTAATTCCAAAATGAGGTACCCACGCTGACATTTCTATCCGCTATTTTTAGTATCATGACGTCATTGCTACGCTAGTTGCCAGACTGAAACAACTAGTTTTTGTTTTTTACGGAATGAACTGTTAAGTCTAGTATTTTAATTATTATTAAATATTATTCAATTGTAGCATGTGCGGAAAAAGTAAAATTATGGACATTATTATTGTATTAGTAATTGTATTAGTATATTGATTTTTTCTTCACTGTGGGCCGACCGTTGCTGCATTCGTGACCGGTGGTTAACCTCGTCAACGCCGCGTGGCCTATTCGTTTATATAATCAGTGATGCTCGTTCAGTGGCCTTTTTCAGCGCTAGGCCTAATTACGGGCGATTTTTAGACTTAATTGATTGGCCGTTAGCCTTTTTCATTGCTGCGTATTTTAAAAAATGCTCGTTCAGCGGCCTTTTTTTTTTTGGCGCTAAATAATCTGTTTACGGGCATTTTAAGCGTTTATTTATTTATTTTTTAAGCTAGACGTAGATCTAGTTAAAAAAATATTTTTTTATACAGCTGGCTGATATGCGAACTTTTAAAAAAAATGACCGAGCTCTAAAAAAAAAATGACCAGAAGGGAAATATGTCTGTTTTTCAATTAGCTTGAAGAAGGGGGGGGGGGGGGGGGGAAGAGAGAGAGAAGTGAAGACACCGACCATCTCGTGTACGCGTGTTCATTCTATGACGTGTACTATAGGCCTGCTGAAGTCACGGTGACCCCGCGACCGTGGTGGGATTTTTCATCCACAGGATAGTAAACATAAGCAAGCAATCACGCGAGTGACGATGTTTGGAGATTTTATTTAAAAAAAAAAAATCACATACGTCATTTTTTCAAGATGAAAAAAAAATGTAATGTAAAAAAAAAAAAGACACTAATACTCATGTATGAACCTCAGCTGCCACACTGTTGACTCAATATAAATATAACGAAGTGACTACGCGTCTCGCAAAGCGTGGCCCCTAAAGAATATACTACGCGTCTCGCAGGTTTGATTCGCCATCTTGCAATTGAAAATGCTTATTTTTGACTTCTCCATCACATCCGCTGTGGTCAAGTCAACAGTGTTCCAGCTGTAGTCTGAAATTTATGGACCCGGAGTTCAGAGTTCGAAACCGGGGTTACCTTTTTTTTTTTTTTTACTTTTTTTTTTCATATTGAAAATATGACGTAGACTATGATTCTTTTTTTTTTAAATAAAATTTCCAAACATCGTCACTGTCGTGATTGCTTGCTTGCCTTACGTTTACTATCCCGTGAGTGGAAAATCCCACCACGGCCCACGGTCGGCGAGGTCACTGTGAGTTCAGCAGGCCTAAAGCATACGTCATAAACGTTCACTCGAGATCGTCTGTCTTCACTTCTCTCTTCCTCCCCCCCCCCCCTCCCCCCTCAAGCAAGTTTAATTTTTTTTTTTTAAGTTCACGTAGGATAAATAATATAGACTTAGATCTACTATCGCTATAAAGGACAGTGTGATTTAGCTAGGTTGCTGCTAGATCTAGGACTATCATCTGACCCATCTGACCTCACAAACTTTCCTGTACTGTTTTTTTTTTTTACAAGTACTAGACTCTTATGTGTTGAAATAATATAGAGATCTAAATAAACTTAAACTCGATCTAGATCTATTTCAACATTAAATTGTAACCACGAAAAAAAAATCGGGCAGTCCCGATATCTGTTTTTTTTTTTAGATCGCGTGCCACCTAGGGTAAAGTTTAAGCGTAACGCGGAGCGAACTGCGCAAAGGCGGCCTTACGCGTCACGCGGAGCGAACTGCGCAAAGGCGGCCTTACGCGTCACGCGGAGCGAATCGCGCAAATGCGGCCTAAATATAATGTGATTGAGTGTAAAATGTATTTGTACTTATAAACTATCTTAACTCTTAACTATTACTATCATATTATTTTATGCATATTTATTATTTAAAATTAGAATTTGAAATAAACATATTTATTATGGTCATTTGATTTATGCAGGTGTTCATTACTTCATAAAATGGTATGAATAACATGTAGAGTAGAAATTAATAAATAATAAAATAACTAGATCTAGTTTTAAAATCAACCAGTTGCTTTTTGTTATTTTCCGGTGAGTAAATAACCTAAGCTGACGCAATTACCATGGCGGGAATTAAAAGCTCGTGCACCCAAGTCCACGACGTCATGTTATGCCGGTCGAGGAGCAAAAACGATGTTCTGACTTTCATTTTCCATTCTCGGAAAAATTTTAAATTCTCTCTTTTCTCGTCAACCGATTAAGCTAGATATTTAAATGTGGTGTCAAATGTTCTCTTAAGGGGTAAGGAACTTAATGGTGTATTTGAAATAACAGAATATTTTATTTTTAAAAATCCATAATTCAACCTACTATCTATTATCTATGTCTATTGTATTCTATTTGTGACTATTTTGTTGGTCATTGGTATCCACAATCAATTTAAAAATTAGAAAATTTAAAATGTATAGGCCTACTCACATCTTGAATATCTTGAGCAGCTATCTCCTTTTCTTCTTCGTAATCTGTGACTTTTTCAAGATCAGCAGCCCCTGCATCATGTTTCGCGACTTTTTTACCCCTAGACTCAGATTCTGCGTCATTTTCTTCAACTTCTACCTCTTCCACCTGTGAGTCGTTTGAAGCCATCTTTTGTTTGTTGTTGTGACTGTAACTAGATGTATCTATATTCTAGATTTAGTCTATATATAATATAGATCTTGATTCTATATGGTTATAGAATCTATAACCATAATCTAAATTATTAAACCTGTTCTTGGTCTAGCAACCTGACATGTAGAGCCTACAATCGTCGACAGTTGTCTCCCGTGTTTTGCCAGGTAATAAAAACAAAAGCTGCCATATATATTGTTTTTCTATTAAATAAAAAAAATAATTTTAAAAACACAAATTCCTTATAATTAATAATAAAAGATTAAAACCATTGTTGGTAAATAAATCCATAGGTTTTAGTGCCAATATTCAAAATATTCTATAGATCTTTATATATATATATATATATATATATATATATATATATATATATATATATATATATATATCTACATAATGAAAAAAGTAAACAGTATATTAGTTTTATGGAATAATGCTAAGCCGTAGTGCTTCAACAAAAACTAGTAAAGTCAAGGATATTGGTTTAAAGTTATATGGGGTATAATCGGTGTCTGATTAGTAACCAACTTTCGTCATTTGATTAGCTGCTAGTAGTCTGATCGGAAGTTGGGGATGTAGTATATTATATGGATTTGGGTATGATTGTAAATCCATTCTCTAATCGTTTACTGAACACTTGGTAATCAAGCAACAAGAAATCGGTAGCATTTTCAAAATAATTGTATAAAATATTTATTATACTGGTCGTGCGAAATAAATTTAAAAAATAACTTTATGTTGTTAAAGACTTGTCCTTAGTTACCCATTGTTTTCTTAAAAAAAAAAAAAAAAAAAAAGAAAATTGGTTTGTAAAGTCCCGCTACTCTATTATTTTTAACCGGAAGTTCATTAGATTTAGCGCCTGCAACAGTTTCTTAACAACAAACCTCTGTTTATTTATTGTTACTGTATTTTACCTTGATTATTTTTGTTATAATTATCCTTTCGTTTCAAATAAAAAGGCCTAATCTTCAAATTAAAAAATGCGCAGAAGAAAGGTAATCTGTAAACCATATAATATATACTATAGTAATGTGAATATTTACCTTGAACCTTCTTCACCACCACCCCCTCCAACGATTTACTCACGACATTTACTCATTTACTTTAGGTAGATCTAGAATCTAGTAATTTTAGTTAGTAGTAACATAAGAGTGAGTTTTATACCTAATAAACCTGTTAGTTGCTTGGTGTTGAAGTTTAGCTTTACATACATTACATTAGGCTTTTTGATGAGAATTACAGAATGATTTTTTTATTAAAAATGTATCAATAATAGCTTGCACACTAGTAAACTAAGCCAATTTAGCATATTTTAACTTTCTGTGCAAAGTCATTATTACTGAAAAAAATTCCAAAGTCAGGTCAGCCTGTGGCACCCTCCACTGAACATGACAGAAGGAAAAAAAAACTTGACCCGTGACCTTCATTAAAACAGAATTTGCTTTTGTTTTTTTTTCATTTTTAGTAAATATGTGCTTAATCTTACCCAATAAGTGATAAAAATTTGAAAATTAATTTTAATTACTGTTGTAAAGTGAGATAAACAGCTTAATAAACACGTGTTTTCTTGAGGGGGTGTGGCACATCCCGACATCGCATTGTTTGTAACTTTATATTTGTGTTTTATGACTATATTTGTTCACAATCAGCATGCTATGCTTTTAATTTTGATAAAGGGTAAGTATACCAAGTTACAAAACCTGAAATCTAACTAATAATTCATGCTTTCAGTTTAAAAAAATAATGAAAACGATCATCAATGAAGAAAGCGTAAACATTCTATTTTTAGGTGTGACATAAAAAACAGTCATAAATCTAGCCGAATGATTGGATTCTTGCGCGTCACACATTTTCCCGCGCTTCGTGTTCACCAAAAAAGATTATAATAAAATGGCATTATTATTCTTACAGAGCATATCTCATGCCTACCATAAATTATTACCAGTTTATTGTAACGTGTGTAAAATTAATGCTTTCAAGTAAAAAATAGCAATAGTCTGGTTAAAAATACCTGCGGTATTTTATAGTTATTTGATTCGAAAGATAAGAATTATATAGAGCTACTTTCACTAAGGCGCCGCTTGCGAGACAAACATAGAAATTAGGCCAAAAGTAGATCCGACAATTCTTAAATAACAGACTTAAATAGAAACGGATAGTTCCGATTTCTTAAATTAACGATGGCTTCGTAATCATTAGTTTTATCGCTCTACCCATTAGTGAAAGCGAAACTGGTCGCCATTTTTGGTAAGCGCATGAGCCGTGAGATGGCTTCAAAACAACAAACCCGGAAGCTGTGAATTCGAACGGCCTAATTACATAGATACATAAATTTATATTGCTAGCTTAATGGACACAAGCGAGAAAAGTCTCAAAGGTATTTGAGAGGTGTATAAATTAATTTAAAATTCTTGCACGGCGTAGTTACAATTAATATGGTTATAAAATCCTGTCTGTCTGGTTTTTTTCGGACTTTACTAAAGATTGGACGTATTTGATGTTTTTAATATTTTCGGTAACTAAATAAAAATTTAAAAAAAAGCAAAAACAATTTGGTTTTCACGTGTAATGGCGACATAAACAATGGCATTCTGCTATTGGATAGGCTGACAAAATTTGTATTGTACACATTGTAAGCTAAAAATAGAAAACTAGGTCATGGGGTTTTTAATTTGCATTGTTATTTAAAAACTTGATCAGCAAAGTTTTGTAAACAAATAGTTATCGATCACTAAGTTACTGTACAGCCAATCAATATTTGTCTTACGAAAGTGAAACATCCAGTTATAACTTAGGCTTGATGAAAATAAATAGAAATGTAGCCTTAAACTCAACAAATTATTTTCTAGTTCTCTGGATTTGCAACTTTTATAGCATTTTTTCAAAAAATATAAAATTTCTAAATTAATTTTAGGCTTAAGTTTTTATTTTTTATTTTTTTTTACGGTCTAAATCTAAAAAGCACGTTTTTATTCCATGACAACAACACTATGGAAGGAATCTCGTCAACTCGCTTGTCTCCATTAAATTAAGCTTAATGCTGAGAAATCAATTTTTGTTTTTTAATAAAAGAAAATATGTAAATGGCACTAAATGGGAGATCAGATAACACCAGGAAACAAAAACAACAACAACAAAAAAAACAACAAAATGATCTTGGAAAATTGTATTTTGGAAAATCATTTCACAATGTATCACAAATAAAAGATACAATAATATTATAATTTCAGCACCAGAAATAATACAGAATTCTAAAACTTGTAGTGTGTAGCTATAATAGGCTAATCATAGGCCTAACTGTAGGCCCTATAAAGTTAATAGACTTAATGATTAGGCCTAATGCAGCTAAATAATGCAAGGTCTGAAAACAGTTCTGAGGCTATACTATTATACAGGCCTGTGGAGCGTCTGCCAGAATTATTTTGAAGGTCATAATTACAAAATTTCAATAATAGTGTTTACAGTGTAAAGATGACCTGAAACTTCAATTACATTATTTTCTATAGGGGAACACAATATATCATTTTGCATATTATTAATCAGATATGTGATGAATAAAATGGTTTAAAAGGTCATTTCCACCTGTTCAATGTTCGGATAATTAAAATATAGAATGGTTTCTTTTTATTTTAATGGCATTGCGATGTGGGTTGGGCACTCTATGATCTGCATTCCCTATACAAATAGTCTTAATTTCAGATACAATGGAATCTCAATTTTGAAAGAGTGTTGTTTTAGATGTAAAAAAGATCATGATTTGATTGGTCTTGTGAGGATTAACTTATTTATCTTCTGATTTGTTGTGTGAATCTTATTTGCAATAGAAATCCATCAGTTTTGTAGGTCATGTTGTCTCTGATGGTATCACCCCCCAATTTATCATAAAAAAGACATTTTACTATTTTGTTTATTAAATGAACTTATTATGAACATTTTCTACAATTTTTATTTTTTTATTATTGATTAGGAGTGGCATACTTAATTTTTTAAATATCCATTGTTATGTGATATTTTATCTAATTAAAAATGCTTGATTTTAATTAATTATTACTTTTTTTTTTACTAATTGTCAATTATCAAATTTTAATAAATGTTTCAGTCCTATATTCAAGTGCAGCTTGGTTTTAATCTGTGATTAATATTATTTTCAATATAATACCACATTATTTTTAGTGAATTTATAAACTTCACATGAGTTAATTCAGTTTTAACCAAGCATAGAGCTCCTTTCATTTATTGCGTTTTTCTCAGAAACCACTTTTTTGGCACCTCGTGCACAATTTTCTAAAAAGTTACAAAGCTAAGTGGCTGAAATTTGGTATATATGTTTGGTATGTACCATTCTTGAAATTGATCCACTTTTATTCAGATATTCCAAAAATTGTTGAAGATATTGATGTTAATGTAACCCCCAACCCCTAATTTTTTCCTCACATAAAAGTAAAAAATTCATAAAATATTTAGTGTCCATCTGAATTAAATAAAAGTGGAATAAAATACACACCATTAAATTACTAATATAATTGACATTTTTTCAGTTCTTAAATGTGAACTCTTTTTATAATCGTGCAGTAAATATGTTACTAAATATAGTAACAGCTGCCATTTTCAAGGTCATTTCAAGGTCCCACCATTTTTTAACTATATTTTCTTACTCATTTTCATATGCAAAGTACTGGTATAAAATATTAGCCTCCTATGTTTATAAATGAAGAAATTTCACTTTTGGGGTGATACCTAGCCCTAAATCTATATACTACTAAAAGTCAAGTTTGTTTACATGTTTGAATATTTATTTTTTTGTTTTTTTGTTTGTTTGTTTGTTTGCCTGATCAAGTATCCTGATATGTTCGGCTCTATGTGGAGAGCTGTAAAATAGTATGTAGGTAGAGAATAATTTTTTAATGCAGACAGACTGTTAATCACAAATTTATTTAAAGACGTTAATTAATTAATTGATTTATTCATAGTTAAATTAACCGTATTTTTTTAAAAATGTTAATACTTTGAATAAACTTTGTGGGGATAGTGACGTCCCTTGATGTGTTTACATTTTTGGTTCAATAAAAATGGCGGACCCCATCAAAGACTTTGTGGCCCATTCAAAAGTTTAACGCGTTACAAAGCTAATTTTCTGTCGGTCATAACTTTAACAATACGTCCGTTTGCTGTATTTATTACGTTCCAACACTTATATCAATTTTCAACTGTCTTTTTCATTTAGTTTTACGATAAATTTCTCTAGATCTAAAGATCAGCTATCGAAGGAAATTTATGAATCTAGCCTAGATCTAGATCTAGCCTAGATGTAGGTCACTAGATTCAATGTAAATTCTACATCTAGAATCTATTTCAGGCCTTAATTATTTTATATAAATCTTTGTTTGGCTTATTTAAGATAAAATTTAATTTGAAAGTTAGTACTACTAGACTTATTTTTAGATCTAGATCTAGAATCTATACGCGTAAATCAAGTTGCATAAGGAGACACATAGTATAGTATAAAAATTCACTTGTGACGTCACGAGTAAATAGCTAAAATGGTAGCGTAGTCAGCTCTCATGCAGGAGGCACGGGTTCTAGACCAATATGTCAATGAAATTTTTTTTTTCAATTTTTTTTTTTAGATGTGAATGATAACGTTGCCTATCTGAACTTGGCAAGATACAGGGCAGGTGAAGTAGAGTTCATCTGTTTCTTTGTCCTAAGCATATGAAAGGATAGTGTGGTCAGATACATGCTCGGCTGGAATTGTTTTTTAAACGATAAAAACATGTTGTCTGAGACTTGGCAGGACACTGGGCAGGTGAAGTAGAGTTGAGTAGGTCACCTGTGACGTCAGTTTATGAAGGGATAGTCCGAAATCGGTGTTTTCGGTGTTTTTAAAAGATAAAAAACATATATTTGAATGTGGGGTCTGTTTTTTGTGACGATAAGTGACACTGCAGTAGCGTACCGAGGAGGGGGGGGGGGGACGGTAGGGGAGGGGAGGCGGGGGGTGGGGAGGGGAGGCGGGGGGGGGGAAGGGGGGGTGGGGAGGTGGAGGGGGGAAGGGGGGGGGGACATATGTTGGGGCGCCAAAATGGTTTGGAAAAATAAATTGATAGGTTGAGGGGGGTTCAAATCGAAAGTTTGAGTGGGGGGGGGGTGCACATCAAAAGTTTGAGGGGGGGGTTCAAATCGAAAACTTTGTCCCCGGGCGCCGGGAAGGGTCGCTATGCCTCTGAGTGACAGACGTGATGTTTTTTGATGGATGACCCCCGAAACCCACAGTTATCCAACGGATGACGGGTATTCTAGTACTTTTTAAAATTAAAAAATAAAAAAACCATCACCAAGCAGCAATTTTCACTATAGGAAAAGCATTTATTTTGTGAATGAGCTAGATTCTACAAGAAAACACTTAAACTTGTTGTTTCCAGTAAATGCTCAAAAAGATATTAAAATCTTAAACGTCCAAAAATAGAAATAAACATTAGAGTGCAAAAAGGGGACAGAGTGGTCTAGCGGTAGAGAGCTGGACTACTTACACATAAGTCTCGAGTTCGAATCTGGGTTCAAGTCAGTAGACAATCCCTGAGTCCACCCAACTCTGATGGGTACCTAACTCACGTTAGGGAAAGTAAAGGAGGCTGACCACACTATCTCTGCAACAAGACTCAATAACACAAATCGCCGTTACCTGCTTCTATGGTTGTGCTGACATGTGTCTAGGCAGTTTCAGTTCTACAAACATTACTATTTAAATATGTAATTATTACAATACATGGCAACTTTTTAAATTACTTGATTTTAAAATAAAACTAGATTTATATCGTCTTAATGTTGGCACTTTTGGAGAAGCATTTTTGACAAAGATGAAAGGGGGTTATTAGATAAATTAAAGATTAATGTGGAGTAAAATTAACAAAATAATAATATAGCCTTTCTATAATTTGGAAATATAATCTATTAGGGCCCTGATAATTGTTTTTAAACATGCTTTAATTGTTATACAATGTAACTGACATTTTTGTAAACCTTTGAAAGAATCCCCCCCAATCACAATTCAAACTAAGAAAACTCATTGATCTGATAACTTAAGTTTGTTGATAACGAAATCTCCTAAAGATGGACTTGACTTCGTCTGTCCAAAATAAACAGGCAGTTATATGCACATTACAGTGCTCAAGATATTTACTTTACATTTCTTTCGTTTAGTAAAATATTGCTTTGTTCTGCATGCAATTTTAAGGGTAGGGGTAAGAATCCAACAAAAAAATGCAACTATATATTTTGGCCCTGCTCATTTTTTATGCTTAATCTCATTGTTTTTGTTGTTATATTATTTACTATGAATAAATACATTTAAAAGCTATGTCATTCACAACAATGCACTATTTGAATCATTATGGGTTAACAAGTAATAAATAATAAACCGCGAGTGATCTCCCCTAAACTTTCTCGAATATTCTTATATAACACTACGGGGGATGGCAACTCGGGATATGTACAATATTTTTAATCCATTTTTAATTACTTTTTATAATAGAATAGAATCTCATAGAAAAAAAGAATTGCACACCAAGTGAACGCCAAACAAAATGTGCATAATAGTGTGGGATATTATTGGTACTTTATAAATTCACATTCGTTTTTTGAGAAATCGGAAATAGCGTAAATTACTACTTCCGGTCAACTGAAATTACTAAAAATTTGATAGAACACAGAGAATCATATCTTTTACTTATATGTGAAATTTCATGTATCTATCTGAAATAGTACTCAAGTTATAGGCTCTTGAAAAATTCAAAGTAAAAAAAGTTCCACTTCTGGTTTATCAGAAATCACTGAAAAGTTTATACTGATCTACAAATTTGATATAATACTTATTTATGAAATTTCATCAACCTAGCTGTAACGGTACTCAAGTTATCATGTTTACAGACACACATACACACACACGGCCAAAGGGACAAGATTGCAAAATTATGTTTTTCCAACTCAGGGAGGTGTAAAACATCGTTTGCAAAAACTCACTGAAACTAGACCTACATTCTTTTTCTATATCACAAAATTATTTACACTACAATAGGAGTCATTATTCATCAGCAAACAGATTTTATTCAGCTTTAATTTTAGTGATTGTGTAGTGAATGAATTTGAGCCTTAAATTTTGTGTTTAGTTCTAGTTTCAAGAAGTTAAAATATTTCATTTACTAAATATTCCAAAATTTTGTTAATGTTGTTTTAGAATTTAATATATCTGCCTCCTTTAAATTAATAAACTTATTTTGTAGAAATACTTTTGATTGAAATTAATAAAATACCCAAGCCAATATATTTTTTAAGTCATCACACTTAATTCATGATATTTAATTGGTATTTTGTAAAAGCAACAACTCCAACAAAATGTGTCCATTTTAATTTACCTAATCTAATAATTCTGCTTAATTTGTCGAATATCTCCATATAAAGACAAGAAGTTTCATTTTATATTGTTTTTATTATGTGTAGCGGTTACGTGGCGACTCTGCCTCAGAGGAAAGCGAAAACTCAGTTGGAAATGAAAGTGATGAAGAGCAAGAGCAACCAACACGTATGACACGTAGATCTGCAGCTTCATCTTCCACTAGTAAGTTATGACTAGTTAAAAACTATGAAAATTACATGTAGTTTAATGTTTACTGAACTTATTATGCTCTGTTAAAAGATCCTTCCAAAGTCATGCCTAAATTCTGTTATTGTTTGTTTGTAAGTTAATTGACCTATTTCCTAGATAACCATTGATAGCTTTGAAGTTTGAACAAAACTAATGTAGATTAAACAATTCTCCTGATTGCAAATAATTAACAGCTATTGCATTGAAACAATTTAGGTACTATAACTCAAAAAGATTCACCTCCAACAAAACGAAGAAGAGTAATAAAAGAATCAAGTCAGTCAGAATCTGATTCAGAAGAAATAGCAGATGTTTTAGGTAAATCTGAAACTAGAGGCAAGTCAACTCAAAGAGGGAAAGCTGCTAAAAACAGTGGTAAAAAATCAACATCCAAAGCAAAGCTTTCATTTGTTGTAAATGATGACTGCAATGGTGATATAGACTCAGAAGATGGCAACTCTCTGATGGGTTTTACTGAGAGACGTGCTACCCCTAAAACAAACTATGATGAGACAAGTGCACATTGCCCACTACCTGGCTGTGATTCAAAAGGTGATGGTTAACTAAATTATATAGAGTTCAACTCTTTTTATTGATCACATGTCTTTAAAACATGAATGCTTGATTTACCAAGCTTTGATCAATCTCTTCTTTAAAGAATATTCTTATTTGAAAACTTTATACCTATTATTTTTAGTTATGAATAAATGTCTTATATTTTCTTCTCAAGGTCACCTTAGTGGCAGACATGAATCTCACAGGACATTAACCTCTTGCCCCTTGTTTCACAACACTACGGCAGAAGAATGCAAGGTAAATCTTCATGATGACTGCAAAATACATTAGATATCAGCCTAGAAGTACCTTTAATTTCATATTTAACCCTCGTTATGTTTATTGCAGAATCGTTATGAGAACAGGCTGAAGAATGTTGAAGACCGAAAGAAAGTTGTAGCTGAATTAAAAGATAGAAGAGGGCTAAGACACCAGGTATAGAAAGAATGATATTTAACTTATCTCTTTGATTCCCCTTCTACTGCATCCCTTCTACACATATTGTGTGCATTCAATATGGTGTTGTGTTCACTAATAATGTATAAAATTTGGTTATTTTAAATCTGTCAGATTTTTAGCTATTTAGTTATTTCTTTGCTTTGTCACTAATATCGTTCAACGTGTAGTAAAGCACATTGCGTTTTGACCTATAATTATTTTAGAAATTATTTTTTCCAAAGAAGTATAACAGTTAACATATACAGGCCTATAATTCACGTGAAACAGGTACCCATGGCTAGTTAAGTCACAAAGTCTGTACATTTGCAGATCATCATATATCAAATTTTCTTGATGATTGATAGAGATACCCCTACCTCCCCATGGTAGCTGAACTAGGTAAAGGGTTAGATGCTGTTCCTTTAACACTTAATTTGTCATTTGAATTCAATGAAATTATTTTCAGAAAAAAAAATTCTCAATGATTTTTTTTATAGTAATCCTTTTGTAAATTAAATGCATTTTCTTCCTTATTATTTGTGAATTGATCCACCACTTGTTCTAGAATAAAACATCATGCATGTTATTTCATTGCAAATTAAAACAAATACAATGAACAAAAACATAAGTGTATGGGTGATGCTAGTGATTACAACAAGTAAAAATCTGTCACCTTGTTTTTATATGCTGTTGCATGTAGGCTGGGTATTTGAGACCCAAAAATAATTAGCCAGGTTATGCATTGTTAACTTACAGATTGTTTACACTGTTCTCAGGTTTAAAAGGTTAAAGTATTCATTCACTTTTTCTGTGAGAAAGATTTATTTCCTTCATTTTTATTGAATTTGGTATATTTTTTTTCTCTTTAAGACCTTAAGTGAGTCCCAGAAGTTAAAATTTGATAAAATAACCAAAGCTCGCAGTAAAAGGCCTGAAATAACAGAAGAAATGAAAGAAAAACATAGAAAACACAAGGAAGAATTTGGCAACACAAGACAACCACTTATTAGTGGATTGACCTCAGAATATGATTATGAATTATTTAAAGAAGCACAGTCAAGGGCCTGTGAATTACTGGTAAGATTTTGTCACCTAAAGTGATGTAAAACAAGCTAATGGTTACAAATTTATAATTGTTAGAGTCATTTAGGGATTGTGATTCAATATTTTAATACAAAATATGAAAAGGTGTTAGCAAACAATGACTTAACACTGGTATAATTATTACTTAGCATTGCTTTCTTTTTATCTTTAGCAGGCCAATAATGATTTGGGGGTTGTCCATAAATGACGTCACATTCGTAGGGGTGTCCGGTACTTTTGTGACATTGTGTAATGAGCCGTTATTTCACGTTTTAGAAAACTGTTTTAATAAATTGTAATAGGAATTGATTAAAATACTCTAAGTTGACAGAGTTTAGACAGGATTTTGGAAAAATATCGTATTTTAAGAAAAATTCAACTGCAGTTTTGAAGGGAGTTGTAGGCTGAGATGTGACATCATTTTAGGAGGGTCTGGCGGTCTGGCTTTTTGTGACAATGTGTGACAGGGGTGGGTGGGGTAAAAATCATCCCTTATAACAACCTTGATTAATATAGGCATAATGGTGATTTATGTTCTTAAGGGTCTTAAGTTATGTGACTGTTTTGACCATTATATCTTACAAATGGTAGCTACAGTGAGGTTTCTGCAAAGAGTAATTTTTAAAAAATAGGTAGCATTAGTATCCTCACAAACTGGAGACAATTTCAGTTACATTAGACGTTTAGGTCCAATTTCTTCATCAGCACACAACAACGTGGTTCAAGACTAGACAAAAAAGACAACCAGTAACATAATTTTGGTCTAAGCTTGACAGTGGATACATGTTTTGTCCAAATGCCATAATAAACGAATTAAAAGATGTGCGTTTGAAGAACGCTAGGGTCAAAAAGTCTATTGTATCTGTTGTCTTTAATTTGTGAGGATACTAACACTACCCATTTTTTATTACTCATACCATTATATCTTGTATTGTATCTTTCCATTAAAATGGCATGACGATTATTTTAGTTTTAAATAAATAGCATGCTAATTGTATTATTTAGACAAATATTGTTTATCCCCACCATTTACTGGTTTTAAAATATTTATTGTCTAATTTCCCATCTAGTTGAGTTTTTTCATCTAAGTTCATTTTTTTATGTTATTTTAGTTCATTTTTTTTTGGTTCTTCCTTCTGTTTGATTTGCTTTTGTTGTGTAGAAAGGATTGGGAATGTATTCCTTCTCCTTATGCCAACAGGAGCACCAGATAACACAGCACTACGCCAAGTCAGACCTACAAGAATATAGAATTAAAAAGTTAGAGATAGGATGCTTTGAAATCAATACTTGGTATTCATCTCCATACCCTGAGGAGTATGCTAGGCTTCCCAAGATCTACCTTTGTGAATTTTGCCTCAAATACATGAGAACGGCAACAATATTGAGGAGGCATATGGTAAGAAAAATCTAATTTATTTTTCAATACTTTGCTCATTTTGCTAACAAATTTAGCTTTTTGCATATCATGTCACTGAGATATTTGGCAGACATTTTTTTAATATTTCAGGCCAAGTGTTTATGGAGACATCCACCAGGAGATGAAATTTACAGAAAAGGGAATATTTCATTTTTTGAAGTAGATGGGAAAAAGAATAAGGTATTTTTTGGACTATTTAATTTAAACAAAATAAGTTGTCCAAACCAAAATCAGCTATTCTTTACAAACATCTATTGTGTATTTTCTTATATAACTTTTACCCTGAGATCTAGGACGCAAATTTTATTCAACATTTTCATTGACTTAATGGCACCAAGAAATATTGACAGGTATTAATAATAAATACAAAAGTACCCACTAAGCATTACTAGACACATCTGACATCTTTTTGTTTTATTTTTAATGCAGTTATGTAATTAATAGCATTGCATTCAAAATAAAATTTGAAACCTACATTTCTTACAGTTTTGCTTAGTGGGTAAAAGTTATATAAGAAAATACACAATAGATGTTTGTAAAGAATAGTTGATGAGAAACTAAAGATCAGCATCAGAACTTATTAAGCACAACTCACCAAAAAAAAAGGGCCCTCAGTGGTGCTTTACTTGATCGTGCAAACTCTATCCAGTTTACAACTGGTTAGATTAAAAAAGTTTTTTTTACTGATGAGCTGTACATTGGCATAAATAGTTTATAACTTTCTTTCATAAAAATTAGATCCAAGGTAGATATGAACATTTCTTCACATTAAATTAAAAACCTGGATCTTCATTTTCAAATAGTAATGGTTTTTATGCCACCAATTTGAAGGAGAGTAAAGGTCCTATTAAAAGAATGATAGTCAAAAACATACAAATTTAGATTTTATTTCTTTTATGTATAGTTAGTAATAGTATGTTATTTCTTTTTTTTTTTTTTTTAATTTGGAGGTTGACTTCCAGTTAATTCTTTTTTAAAAACTATGAAAATTAGCCTCCAAATGCAGTTTCAATAACTTGCTATCATAAGTAATTTATATTCCTTAGGTTTATTGCCAGAATCTCTGTCTATTAGCTAAACTGTTTTGTTATCATAAGTAATTTATATTCCTTAGGTTTATTGCCAGAATCTCTGTCTATTAGCTAAACTGTTTTGTTATCATAAGTAATTTATATTCCTTAGGTTTATTGCCAGAATCTCTGTCTATTAGCTAAACTGTTTTGTTATCATAAGTAATTTATATTCCTTAGGTTTATTGCCAGAATCTCTGTCTATTAGCTAAACTGTTTTGTTATCATAAGTAATTTATATTCCTTAGGTTTATTGCCAGAATCTCTGTCTATTAGCTAAACTGTTTTTGGACCACAAGACTCTGTACTTTGATGTAGAACCATTTCTTTTTTATGCCATGACAGAAAATGACTCCAATGGTTGTCATTTAGTTGGCTACTTTTCCAAGGTAACATCTCTGTTCAATCACTCAGCCTTATCAGACAAATATATTAGATCTATTATCAAACTCATAAATAAAGAATTTAAATAAATATTTATATTTACTATTATACAATATATTGGCTGGCACACATTTTTCTATTTATTTATCCAGTCTGGTTAGCGGTCTTAGTCTAACTCTAAAGTTGTTTCACTTTAAAGTTGTGTGCATATATTCTACTACTTAATATATTATATATAAGCATATATATATATATATATATATATATATATATATATATATATATATATATATATATATATATATATATATTGCAGAGAATTCATAGCATATTGTTTCTCTTAATGTTATAATTTTAAAAGTTTATATTGTCTGCACATATTTTTTTTTGTCTGTTACTTTTTTTTTCTAAAGGTAACTGTCTAGTTTCTTTGATTTTTTTCTTTTATTCTTTGTAATTAATCTTTAATTAAAGTACTTAATTATTTATTTACAATGACCCAACCAATTTCAGGAAAAAAACTCCTTCCTGAATTATAATGTGTCCTGCATCTTGACTCTGCCTCAGTATATGAGACAAGGCTTTGGGAAAATGCTTATTGATTTTAGTAAGTATCCTTTTTTAATAGAACTTGCTGGGTAATTCATGCGTGTATTTACTATGGGTCACTTCTATGGCAAGATATCTCTAGCCCAACTTAGTTGCTGATAGCACTGTTTTTAATTGTTATTTTACATTTTAAAAACTTTGTGAAAGAGTAGTATTGAAATATTTTTTTTTTGTGTAATTGTGCAAAATCAAGTTTTGCCATCTTGTCTATGTCTGTCGGTGTAAACATGATAACTTAAGTACTGTCCTATATGTAGGTTTCTATCAACTTTGAGCTATATCCTGTAACAGGAAGTGATACTTAATCTATATTTGTGTTCTCAGAAGCCTTTAGAATTTGATAATTGTATATCATATTCTCATAAAGCAGCATATTCTAAGATCTTATTGCCTTGTGTTTTCTTGAAAAACAAGTGATTTTGTAAACAAACATGCGAGATAGATTGTGGAGCTCACTCTTGCTTTTTATCTAGTGTTTAGAGACCATTGTGCTATGATTATGCATTCCTCAAACCAATTAAAGAAACCTTTAGCCAAACAGTTAATTATCACAGCGATAATGATTTTTTCCAGATTCACTAGCAAATAGTACAGAGACTGTAGCAAAAGACCCTAAGCAATCACAAGGATGTCTTATGACTAGTGTGACACCTTCATGCATCAACATATAAAACATCAGACTTTAACACTTGTATGATTTTCTCTTACTCGCTATTATGGTTATCATTCTCGTTGCAGGTTATCTTTTAAGTAAAGTAGAAGAAAAAGTTGGTTCACCAGAGCGTCCTTTGTCAGACCTTGGTCTGCTTTCCTATAGAAGCTATTGGAAAGATGTCCTCCTTGAGTATCTGCATAAATACAAAGGCCAGGAGATTTGCATCAAAGGTTGGTTTAAATCTGTTATCTATGATCTTTTAAAATGTTCAACCTACCTTTTTGCCTCCTTTGAAGGCTGGCAAGGACATGCATAAAATGTTATATTCTACCATTATCTAGATGTGAGTCAAGAGACCGCAATTAATGCTAATGATATTGTCAGTACTTTACAAGCGCTGGGCATGTTAAAATACTGGAAGGGAAAACATCTTGTCCTTAAAAAACAGGTATTTATCTTATGGCACACTTTTTAAAATGTGATGTTAAGTTCTTCTACAATCATGCATTTAAACATAAGAAATATTATGTTATTAAATAAACAATGTATACATTTTTGCCCAAGCTAGTTTTCCACTTCTGGTAAAACATTTTGAAAGCAGTAGGGAGTCATCCATTTATGATGTTAGGGTGAGGGGGGGGTCTGAAAAAGTCAACCTGTTGGGTAATGTAATGAAAAAAGTGTGCTTACAAAATGATAACATTCATACAGTAGTGCAAGCAAATAGGACTAACCACCGCAGGTAATTAAATCATAGAATCTGTTTATAAAATGAATACCTCTTCTGTATTTAAAATTTCATGTGATTGTCATTAATGGATGACCCCCAAGATATTTTATTTGATCTAATCTGTACATTTGTGTATTTTCATGTTTACATCAACTCATACATACATTTTAAAGTGATTTTTAACTGTCATTTTGTAATGTTGAGTTTCTATCTCATTAGGATTTGATCGATGAGTTTCTGGAGAAAAAGGCAAATCGTCCTGTGGAGTTTGCCAGCAAGGTTATTGACCCAACTTGTTTAAAGTGGACACCACATAACAAAAGAGACTCTCCAACTTGAAAGGATATGTGTACATTGTAGCTTGTATTTTCTTTAGAATGTCTAGAAAATCTCTGAAGTAAGGTCAATGATGTAATAGTTGCACTTCAGGTTTATATAAACTTCATTCTGGTTTGTAAATATGGTCTCATACTTTTTATGGCTCTAATTTTGAATGTTCTATCTCACAAGAGTGTATCACATTGTGTTTGTCCCATGCACTAGCTTCCTGTCAGGATTTTTGTCAAGCTTCTACTGTACCAGTAGTTCTGGTCTCCAAGTGATATTTTCCTCACATACATACATACATCACAGAAACTTGAATGTTCTCAAACAATGGACCTGCTGATGATCATAATGAGCCCTAGCCTGGGAAAGTAAAGACCACATGGCATAATGTTGACCACACTTCATCAGCCCTATCAACCAGATATGTACACAGGGATTTTATAGTAGTATACACTTTGAAATACTTCATTTTACATTCTTTGAATTAATGTTGTTTAGTTAATTTTTTTAGGCTGAATAATGCTTATTTTACAACAAAACTTATTCAATTAAATTTGTTGAACAGTATCAATATAATGCAATTAAATAAAAATCTTTCTGTAAAACAGCCGTATATAACCTAGAAGAAATCTTCTATTGAGGGAAATAGCAAGCAGAAGATAGTATACTTTTAAGCAACATTTTACAATTCACTCTTAGCTTTTTTCCCACTAATGCTGCAACCATTTTTTAAGTTAAAATTGAAATAAATAACTTGTAATTTTCACTTTGGAACTTGTTCAGAGTGCTTGTTCCAAGACTTTCTGTCTTCATCCTAACTATGCCTGCTGCTTTTGTTTTGAAACATCCATTGCTGATGCTGCATAGTGATAAACACATGTGTCTGTCATCAGATCTAGTATAGTGATAAAACAAGATAACATTGAAATAGTTGAGTGCCCTAAAGTAAAACTTTATTAGACCTTCTAGTGTCCAGATTACCTCCAGGATTCTAGCCACCTTAAGGCTGCAGTAGTAACCATTTGTATTTTTGTGTTGGCTAACTATCAGTTGCTGTCCAGTGTACAGATCATTTTTTATTATTTTTTTTCTCATTTTTTTTATTACCTTCAATGATGACTCCAACAATTGCAATATTAATATGGTTTATTTGTACTTGTTTTTTTTACCACTGTACACAATTCTTACATCAAAACTACACATCCATTTGACTTGAACTATCTGTGTAGTCCTTAGGTACAATGTTCTTACATCAAAACTACACATCCATTTGACTTGAACTATCTATGTAGTCCTTAGATGCAATGTACTTACATCAAAACTACACATCCATTTTATTTGAACTATCTGTGTAGTCCTTAGGTGCAATGTTCTTCTCATACAGGATCTATACTAAATAAGTTGTCTTCTAAAAACATTTCACTATACAGTACTTTGGACTGTTGTAGTGTTAAAATCATACTAAATATGTGGAGAAATCATTTCTTTTTCTAATTCATTTTTATACAATTCACTTTATAAATATTTTGGTATGAAGTGCAACTATTAAAATATAACATTGAAGGATTTCAAAAATTCCCTTTTATCTTGTCGTTTGTTGTTGTTCAAAGAATTGTATGGTGAAGAAAGGCAAACTTTCTCCACATACATCAAAGCTTGCTTATAATATATAAGCTTCTAAATCCAAGTGGGTCACTGAAAGCAATAAATCTCAGCTGAACATTAAATAGAATCTGTACAGCCCTCAGTGGGCCACTCAAGATGATACAAATACAATAAGTACAGCCCTCAGTGGGCCACTCAAGATGATACAAATAGAATCTGTACAGCCCTCAGTGGGCCACTCAAGATAATACAAATAGAATCTGTACAGCCCTCAGTGGGCCACTCAAGATGATACAAATAGAATCTGTACAGCCCTCAGTGGGCCACTCAAGATGATATAAATAGAATCTGTACAGACCTCAGTGGGCCACTCAAGATGATACAAATAGAATCTGTACAGCCCTCAGTGGGCCACTCAAGATGATACAAATAGAATCTGTACAGCCCTCAGTGGGCCACTCAAGATGATACAAATAGAATCTGTACAGCCCTCAGTGGGCCACTCAAGATGATACAAATAGAATCTGTACATCCCTCAGTGGGCCACTCAAGATGATACAAATAGAATCTGTACAGCCCTCAGTGGGCCACTCAAGATGATACAAATACAATCTGTACAGCCCTCAGTGGGCCACTCAAGATGATACAAATACAATCTGTACAGCCCTCAGTGGGCCACTCAAGATGATACAAATACAATCTGTACAGCCCTCAGTGGGCCACTCAAGATGATACAAATAGAATCTGTACAGCCCTCAGTGGGCCACTCAAGATGATACAAATAGAATCTGTACAGCCCTCAGTGGGCCACTCAAGATGATACAAATAGAATCTGTACAGCCCTCAGTGGGCCACTCAAGATGATACAAATAGAATCTGTACAGCCCTCAGTGGGCCACTCAAGATGATACAAATACAATCTGTACAGCCCTCAGTGGGCCACTCAAGATGATACAAATAGAATCTGTACAGCCCTCAGTGGGCCACTCAAGATGATACAAATAGAATCTGTACAGCCCTCAGTGGGCCACTCAAGATGATACAAATACAATCTGTACAGCCCTCAGTGGGCCACTCAAGATGATACAAATAGAATCTGTACAGCCCTCAGTGGGCCACTCAAGATGATACAAATAGAATCTGTACAGCCCTCAGTGGGCCACTCAAGATGATACAAATAGAATCTGTACAGCCCTCAGTGGGCCACTCAAGATGATACAAATACAATCTGTACAGCCCTCAGTGGGCCACTCAAGATGATACAAATACAATCTGTACAGCCCTCAGTGGGCCACTCAAGATGATACAAATACAATCTGTACAGCCCTCAGTGGGCCACTCAAGATGATACAAATAGAATCTGTACAGCCCTCAGTGGGCCACTCAAGATGATACAAATAGAATCTGTACAGCCCTCAGTGGGCCACTCAAGATGATACAAATAGAATCTGTACAGCCCTCAGTGGGCCACTCAAGATGATACAAATACAATCTGTACAGCCCTCAGTGGGCCACTCAAGATGATACAAATAGAATCTGTACAGCCCTCAGTGGGCCACTCAAGATGATACAAATAGAATCTGTACAGCCCTCAGTGGGCCACTCAAGATGATACAAATACAATCTGTACAGCCCTCAGTGGGCCACTCAAGATGATACAAATACAATCTGTACAGCCCTCAGTGGGCCACTCAAGATGATACAAATAGAATCTGTACAGCCCTCAGTGGGCCACTCAAGATGATACAAATAGAATCTGTACAGCCCTCAGTGGGCCACTCAAGATGATACAAATAGAATCTGTACAGCCCTCAGTGGGCCACTCAAGATGATACAAATAGAATCTGTACAGCCCTCAGTGGGCCACTCAAGATGATACAAATAGAATCTGTACAGCCCTCAGTGGGCCACTCAAGATGATACAAATACAATCTGTACAGCCCTCAGTGGGCCACTCAAGATGATACAAATACAATCTGTACAGCCCTCAGTGGGCCACTCAAGATGATACAAATAGAATCTGTACAGCCCTCAGTGGGCCACTCAAGATGATACAAATACAATCTGTACAGCCCTCAGTGGGCCACTCAAGATGATACAAATAGAATCTGTACAGCCCTCAGTGGGCCACTCAAGATGATACAAATAGAATCTGTACAGCCCTCAGTGGGCCACTCAAGATGATACAAATAGAATCTGTACAGCCCTCAGTGGGCCACTCAAGATGATACAAATAGAATCTGTACAGCCCTCAGTGGGCCACTCAAGATGATACAAATACAATCTGTACAGCCCTCAGTGGGCCACTCAAGATGATACAAATAGAATCTGTACAGCCCTCAGTGGGCCACTCAAGATGATACAAATAGAATCTGTACAGCCCTCAGTGGGCCACTCAAGATGATACAAATACAATCTGTACAGCCCTCAGTGGGCCACTCAAGATGATACAAATAGAATCTGTACAGCCCTCAGTGGGCCACTCAAGATGATACAAATAGAATCTGTACAGCCCTCAGTGGGCCACTTAAGATGATACAAATAGAATCTGTACAGACCTCAGCTGAACATTTAATTAAGATAAAACCAATCAAATAGCATTTAATTAAGATAAAACAAATCAATTAGCATTTAATTAAGATAAAACAAATCAATTAGCATTTAATTAAGATAAAACATATTAAAATCGCATTTGTTTAGACCAGAAAGTAGAAATTTATAGACCTTTGCTATGACATTAGATTGTTACAAATTTTGTATTTTTAAAAAGTCACCTTGTTTTCTCACCACACCTGTTGATGTTGTAGTAACATCCATATTTCATCACAGACCTTTAGTGGTAGTGTACGTTGACCGTCCTCAGCAAGCAGTGTTTCTTTGTTGACCGTCAGATCTAAAGGGAGACACCAATTGAGCCTGGCGTCGCCCTGTTTCAATATATTCGTAGATTTTAGTGGCCCTCATGTATGGCGCTCTTACTTAAACACAAATGTAGGCACCATACTATTTCAGGGTAGCCCAGGACGCTTTGGGTCACTCAAACACCATTGGTGCAGTTTAACTACTGATTCAAGTAGTGCCCAGGACCCCTGTACATGACGCCCAATCAGTCCAACCGTCGTACTAAGGTAGCCGCGGTGGAGATTTGGAAGGTGTGCCGCCCCAACGATATTTACAAAACGTTTCTGAGTGCACAAGAACGCTTAAAATCATAAAGGGAAATAACTTTATTAATATTTTCTCAAATTCATCTAAGTTGTATACCTTCTATACACTTTAAGTAGGCTGTTGGAGACTAATTTGGAGGGGGGAGTATTAGCCCTGTGGTATGATATTTAAAAATGTTTTTTTATTTTACAACCCAGAGATTCTTCCAGGCATCTCTTCGGAGCCCCCCCCTCTCTCGAAGAAAGTCTACCCCCCCCCCCCGAACAAAATAGAATTTATATAGAAAACATTCTTTTACCAGTGTCCCCCCCCCCCCTAAAAATATCAAGTGCACCCCCGGAGAAAAAAGTCTGGAAGAAACACTGTTTGAAACTTGTCTGGAATGTACTTAACAAGCTCCCCAAAATTTCATGGCGATCGGATGAATGGTGTAGTAATGCAATAAAAACAAACAGAAATAATTAGACCTACCGCTATTCTAATGACTTTTTGCCTCTATTCTAGATTATATATAGATTCTAGATCTACTATATCTAGATTCTAGATCTAGATTCTCTAGATCTTAGTCACACACAAACTTCTAACCAGACCTTCCACTGTTATTTATGAAAAATTATCGAGGAAATTACCCCCGTTTTATTAGAAAGCTTCTTTTTTTAAATTATTAGATTATTTGCGTAACATAAATGGCGAAATAATATAAATCTAGTTCTAGCTAAATCGAGTGATAGGTCTAGATTTTACCTCCAGTTACAGTTACACTGTTACACGTGAGACTAATTTTTTCATATAGATATCTAGTTCTAGATCTAGATCTAGACCTAGAAGTAGATTCTAGATCGAAATATATATCTGATCTAGAAGTCTAGATCTAGATTCTAGAAATATTTTCTGCATCTAGACTGTCTAGATCTAGATCTAGCTCAGACTCTTATCTAGATTCTAGTCTAAGTGTATTGAATTGATTATTGAATGGTGATGATTCTGCCAGATGATGCATTGCATTAGATTACTTACATTTCATTACGCTCTCTTACGGCTACGTCTAACACTCTAAGCTAAGAGTGACTCTGACTCGTCACTCTAGAACTAGATTTCTAGATCTAGAAGCTAGACTGGACTTAGACTAGTTAGTATAGTCAGTCAGTCATAGGTTCTAGTTGACTCAATTAAGTAGTGGTAGTAGTCTATCTCTCTCTCTCTCTCTCTATTAATAATTAATTAATATTAATTAATAATATTAAAATGAAACTCTATTTCTATTACTAGATCTACTACTAGTAGTACTACTATTTCAGTAAATCTATCGTTTTATTTAGGACTTTTGTAGGCCTATGTAAAATAGGCTATGTTTTTGTATGAATTAGGCCTACTTTTTTTCAATTTCGTTCGGAAATTTTAAAACTATAATAAAATTGAATATCATCGGCATGGGCTCCCCTGCATTCACTGTAGTTCCGCCCCTGAATAGAACTAATACAACTGAAATAGACTTTCTATAGTAACTATTAGTATTATTATACAGTATACAGTGGCATCGCTAGGTCGAGTGTCACCCGGTGAGGCACTTCATGGTGTCATACACCCCCCCCCCCACCCAAAGGGGGATGTGTGTCAACCTACATTGGCCTATAATTTAAATACATGGCACTTACTCATACATGTAGGCCTATGTGTCTAACTAAGCTTTAATCACTGCAGACTTAATAGTAACGATGTTTATCTATAGGCTGCTAATAATACAGTTGGATGAATCATTATTTTCATTATACTAAGCATGTTTACATCATGGTGTCACCCCCACCCTCTTATATAATTGTCAGTTTGAACTTAAAAGACTATTTAACTTTAATTGATCATTAATTGAACTGGCAAAAAAAATGTCTTCTGTGCATTTTGCTATGTTTCCTCATGGTGTCACCAAGTGCGGTGCACTCCCCCTCCCCGGCCTTGCTACGCTTCTGTTACTAAAGACAGTATAGCCAATAGATAGAATAGTTATAGTAGGCCTATATGTTTTATAATGTATGTATAATAGGCATTTGAAGTCATATAATAATTATAGTTGATATTGCAGTATTTGCTGATAACGATGGATGAATCATCTACACTAGAAAACAGCACAAACACAGGTTCAGTTGCTACCCCCCCATCTTTTACAAATGATGATGAAATCAAAGCAGATGAACCTAATGAAATACTACCAAATACTTGTAAAAAAATCTCTGGCTATGCACCAATCAAACAAGAGTAAGTGATTTCTGTTGGTTAATTCACTAATCCTTCATTTTTCATACCATTATGAAGATCTCAGATGTCTCTACATGAAGACAAATAAATGAAGCCCATCATATTTAAATCTGAAAAATAATCAGCTTTTTCTATTTGTTTTAGGTACCTTGTACCTGATCATAAGCCTACGTTACATTCTGAATATTTAAGTGTGGAAGTGAAGGAGAAACTGGAAAAAAAAATACTGGTAGAAGAAGATAACTCTGACAAAGAAGAGGCAGAACCTCCTACCAAAAAGGCCAAACTAAAGGGACGCAACAAAAATCGCCCAAGAAATGAAAGAATCCAATCAAAAGATAGAATATGTCCCGCAATTAAAGAAAACAAGGAATGTAGATTTGGAGAAAAATGCATTTTTAATCACAGCAAAGAAGACTTTGTAAAAAATAAGCTTTCAGAATTAGAAGGGCCTTGTTTTCTCTTTGATACATTTGGTTATTGCCATTTTGGCATTGCCTGTCGTTTTGCCAAAAATCATTTATCTAAAGATTTAGAAAATGTTGTAAATCAAGAGTTGTATGATAAAATGAAGCATGTGAAAACTTTAAATGAACTAACTAGGGAAATACGCCAGAAGCTGTGGAAAAAGAAGTACAACTTTAGTCGCGCTAATAGTATTGTTAAAGAGATAGAGAAGTGTTTTAGAGGATGGGACAAGGGCAAATCTGACAAGGTCAATGAATGTGTAGATTGTACACGTCAGGCACCTAAAGATATACTTGTACCAGTGCAAGATGGAGGAGATAGGACCGTTTCCTCAGATGTTTGTCTGTCTTCTGGTCTAGAGAAGACTGTTTCACCAGATGTTAGTCTGTCTTCTGGTCTAGAGAAGACTGTTTCACCAGATGTTTGTCTGTCTGCTGGTCTAGAGAAGACAGCTTCACCAGATGTTAGTCTGTCTTCTGGTCTAGAGAAGACTGTTTCACCAGATGTTTGTCTGTCTGCTGGTCTAGAGAAGACTGCTTCACCAGATGTTTGTCTGTCTTCTGGTCTAGAGAAGACTGCTTCACCAGATGTTAGTCTGTCTTCTGGTCTAGAGAAGACAGCCTCACCAGATGTTTGTCTGTCTTCTGGTCTAGAGAAGACTGCTTCACCAGATGTTTGTCTGTCTTCTGATCTAGGTAATGCTGATAAAACTGCAGAAATGTGTGTAACTTTACCCAAAACAGAAAGTAAAGAGCTTCCTAAAACTCTGGGATGTGTTACAGATGAAGACATTGTTCCCCTGCGTTCTCAAGAAAAAGCTAAGGTAATGTGATGCCATGTCTTAAATTTAAAAGCATATCTTTTTAACAGAATGGTTTGATGCTACATCAAATTTTTTTTTTTTCCAGATTGATTTTAAAAACAAGCTCTATCTTGCTCCCCTGACAACTGTAAGTAGACAGATTGGGAGAAGGGTAGCCATTAGAATTGTGGTGATGGTTGCTATTGTATTCTAAATTCTGTCAATTGAGTATAATATGGAGGGGGGGCCTATAATGTGAACACTGACAGTTTGTGTACATTCAATGTGTTCAATTATATACTAATAATTTTTAGAATGCTAAATTTAAAGAATTTATCTTTTTCTTCAAGGTAGGTAACTTACCCTTTCGTAGAGTTTGCAAAGAATTTGGTGCTGATATTACATGTGGAGAAATGGCTCTGGTCACACAACTTCTTAAAGGGAAACAGTCAGAATGGTCATTAATGAAGCGGCATGCCAGTGAGGATATATTTGGTGTACAGGTTGGTGTTTATTTCTCCTGCCTAACATTTCTACCTCAGCCTAACATTTCTACCTCAGCCTAACATTTCTACCTCAGCCTAACATTTCTACCTCAGCCTAACATTTCTACCTCAGCCTAACATTTCTACCTCAGCCTAACATTTCTACCTCAGCCTAACATTTCTACCTCAGCCTAACATTTCTATCTCAGCCTAACATTTCTACCTCAGCCTAACATTTCTACCTCAGCCTAACATTTCTACCTCAGCCTAACATTTCTACCTCAGCCTAACATTTCTACCTCAGCCTAACATTTCTACCTCAGCCTAACATTTCTACCTCAGCCTAACATTTCTACCTCAGCCTAACATTTCTACCTCAGCCTAACATTTCTACCTCGGCCTAACATTTCTACCTCGGCCTAACATTTCTACCTCGGCCTAACATTTCTACCTCGGCCTAACTTTTCTACCTCGGCCTAACATTTCTACCTCGGCCTAACTTTTCTACCTCGGCCTAACATTTCTACCTCAGCCTAACATGTCATCTCTACCAATCTCAGCCAAATATACCAGGCATGCCATTCCTTTGAATTTATTTACAGATTTGTGGGTCTTACCCTGACACAATGACACGATGTGCACAGTTGCTCACTGAAACTTGTGATGTTGACTTTATTGATATCAACTGTGGATGCCCCATTGATCTAATCTATAGAAAGGTTGGTAATTAATTCTGCTCCTCTCCTGCTGGTCCCTTGTAGGTGTGTAAACAAATGTTCACATGTGATGTGGTTTAGTGCTGCTAAGTGGTCCATAGTTTAACTAAAATTCTTCTGTATGGTCTAAAGGTTTTGTAGTTGAACACAGAGCTGTATGTTGTGAAGGTTTTTGTTTGTTAAAACAGGGAGGAGGCAGTGCTTTAATGAGTAAAGCTACAAAACTAGAACAGATTTGTCGCAGCATGGTTGGTGTGATGAATGGGACTCCACTAACTGTTAAGTTGAGGACTGGTGTCTTTGATGGCAAGAATGTGGCACATCAGATTATACCACGTCTTCGTAATGCCGGCGTCTCACTGGTTACGGTAGGTAGCTGTTGAAGATGATTTAGCATAAGTTACAGTAGGTAGCTGTTGAAGATGATTTAGCATAAGTTACAGTAGGTAGCTGTTGAAGATGATTTAGCATAAGTTACAGTAGGTAGCTGTTGAAGATGATTTAGCACAAGTTACAGTAGGTAGCTGTTGAAGATGATTTAGCACAAGTTGCAGTAGGTAGCTGTTGAAGATGATTTAGCACAAGTTACAGTAGGTAGCTGTTGAAGATGATTTAGCACAAGTTGCAGTAGGTAGCTGTTGATGATAATTTATGACACGTTAGATAAATGTTTCAGGTCCATGGTAGATCTAGAGAACAGCGCTACACCAAATTGGCTGATTGGAGTTATGTAGCTGAGTGTGCATCAGCCGGTGCCCCTATGCCAGTCTTTGGTAAGATTAGATGTACACATACACAAGATAAACTCATTTACTTAAGTAAATAATTTATTCAAATTCTAATATGATTTAGTTTAATTTTTTGTGATCCTTTAGGAAATGGTGACATTTTGTCATTTGAAGATGCTAATATTCACATGCAGCAAACAGGTGTAAGTGGAGTTATGATTGCAAGGTACCATGTTTTTTTTACTTTTAAATTGTCAGTACATCGTCAAGTTGTTTATAATGTTTGTTGGTAATGTCTAGTGTTTTAAATAACCTTTTTATTATTCTCAATGATGTTGAGTTGTAAAATTAAGTAGTATTTAAAGACTACAAGAAAAAGAACTGTTTTCCACTTTCACCATCTCATAACCTCAAAGCAGAGCTGGCATTTGGGGGTGGTCGCCCCAGGCCTTGCATTGGAAGGGGCCCCACGCTTCAACGCCGTCAGTGTTGTCTGAATTAGTTTGTAAATTTAAATTATGGTTGCTGAATTAAAATAGATAAAACTAAATGGTTGAATTCCAACAATGTTGATTGTTATAACTGAGGCCACGGCTGAAGCTAGTGAGTTTTCACCCACCTGAACTGGGACAGGCTGTTATTCTATAAAAAGACATTAGTGTCACACCTCGCTGTGTGCAGGGTACGGTTGCCTAGTAGACAGTTGGTGACCTAAGGACCACTGGTCTTGATTTTTTTTTGTTGAAGTGGTCTGATATGTTCTTGTCTTGGTATAACAAAATTAACACTCTGTGGCATACAGAGTGGGTGGGAGGAGTGCAGAGAGGGCACAGGTCCTGGGAATCCACATCAGGGGGCATCCAACAGAGGAGTTGGGGGGGGGGGGGGTGGAGAAAGTTAAAAGTTTTGTTCTGTCATCTTATGGATTCACCCGTTCCCAGACATAATTATAAATTTACCGAATCCATCCAAATCGTTACATACAATTGTCTACCAAAGGTTCTTACATGATATAGTCAACTTTTATGGAGGAAGGGGCATCCTAAAGGGCAGTGATTTGGTAGTCATTGATATTCCCCTTCAGTTAAATAGTGTATCTAATACTTATTTTACGTATAGTGTAGGTAAGGGCATCTTTTAGAGAAGCAAATACATGGACACTCTTTAAACATGAAGCTCCTCTTGAAAGACTGTGGTCAGAGATCCAGTAACATAGTACCCGAACTTGGAGACACATTTCTTAGGGTGTGGCATCCCACAGACATAGATTTAAATGTACAGTTATCCTTTACCTCACCCCAACTACTGTCATCCACCCCAGTGTTCCACCCTACTGAGCGTTCATGATTACATTTGAGAATCATTTGCTTTAAATATCTATAGCCGTAACCAATGTTTATTCACAAGTCCAAAAGCTATGAATGTTTTTCCATTTGTTTAAACTTTTATTACTTTATTTATGTTGATTTTTTACTTTGTCTGAAATTCTGTGCTTACTAACAGTCTCTTTTTTAAATACACATAAAATGCATGACTAATATTAACTGATGGTCATTGACAAACAATTTAATCCACTTTTTTTGGCATGCGATTGGATTTTCTTTAGTGATTTGGGATAGATTACAGAATTGTCAAAAGTGGTTTAAAATATGTTAGTAAAAACCTAAGAACATTAGGTAAACCGTGGCAGAGGTGAACATTTGTTAAAGTGAGAAGTTTGGCATTAGCTAATAAACTGAGAAAAACTACCAAATGTGTAAATTTAATTTAATTAGTTTTTTTCTACATCTACACATTAATTTATTTATTCTAGAGGTGTGAATTAATTAATTCGTTTCTTCTAGAGGTGCTCTTGTCAAGCCCTGGATCTTCACTGAAATAAAAGAACAGAGGCACTGGGATATATCATCTGGGGAGAGGTTTGATATCTTAAAGACTTTCACAAATTATGGACTGGAGCATTGGGGCTCTGATCATCAGGGCGTTGAAAATACAAGGCGCTTCTTGCTTGAGTGGCTGTCATTTCTGTACAGGTAGGTTTAGAAAATACAAGGCGCTTCTTGCTTGAGTTTGTGTCTTGGAACTTCTTTTACTTGTGATATCAGACATGGTAGTGGTCCCACCTACTTGTGATATCAGACATGGTAGTGGTCCCACCTACTTGTCATATCAGACATGGTAGTGGTCCCACTTGTGATATCAGACATGGTAGTGGTCCCACCTACTTGTGATATCAGACATGGTAGTGGTCCCACTTGTCATATCAGACATGGTAGTGGTCCCACCTACTTGTGATATCAGACATGGTAGTGGTCCCACCTACTTGTGATATCAGACATGGTAGTGGTCCCACCTACTTGTGATATCAGACATGGTAGTGGTCCCACCTACTTGTCATATCAGACATGGTAGTGGTCCCACCTACTTGTGATATCAGACATGGTAGTGGTCCCACCTACTTGTGATATCAGACATGGTAGTGGTCCCACTTGTCATATCAGACATGGTAGTGGTCCCACCTACTTGTGATATCAGACATGGTAGTGGTCCCACTTGTCATATCAGACATGGTAGTGGTCCCACCTACTTGTGATATCAGACATGGTAGTGGTCCCACTTGTCATATCAGACATGGTAGTGGTCCCACCTACTTGTGATATCAGACATGGTAGTGGTCCCACTTGTGATATCAGACATGGTAGTGGTCCCACCTACTTGTGATATCAGACATGGTAGTGGTCCCACTTGTCATATCAGACATGGTAGTGGTCCCACTTGTCATATCAGACATGGTAGTGGTCCCACTTGTGATATCAGACATGGTAGTGGTCCCACCTACTTGTGATATCAGACATGGTAGTGGTCCCACTTGTCATATCAGACATGGTAGTGGTCCCACTTGTCATATCAGACATGGTAGTGGTCCCACCTACTTGTGATATCAGACATGGTAGTGGTCCCACTTGTGATATCAGACATGGTAGTGGTCCCACTTGTCATATCAGACATGGTAGAGGTCCCACCTACTTGTGATATCAGACATGGTAGTGGTCCCACCTACTTGTGATATCAGACATGGTAGTGGTCCCACCTACTTGTGATATCAGACATGGTAGTGGTCCCACCTACTTGTCATATCAGACATGGTAGTGGTCCCACCCACTTGTGATATCAGACATGGTAGTGGTCCCACTTGTGATATCAGACATGGTAGTGGTCCCACCTACTTGTGATATCAGACATGGTAGTGGTCCCACTTGTGATATCAGACATGGTAGTGGTCCCACCTACTTGTGATATCAGACATGGTAGTGATCCCACTTGTCATATCAGACATGGTAGTGGTCCCACCTACTTGTGATATCAGACATGGTAGTGGTCCCACTTGTGATATCAGACATGGTAGTGGTCCCACCTACTTGTGATATCAGACATGGTAGTGGTCCCACTTGTGATATCAGACATGGTAGTGGTCCCACCTACTTGTGATATCAGACATGGTAGTGGTCCCACCTACTTGTGATATCAGACATGGTAGTGGTCCCACCTACTTGTGATATCAGACATGGTAGTGGTCCCACCTACTTGTCATATCAGACATGGTAGTGGTCCCACCTACTTGTGATATCAGACATGGTAGTGGTCCCACCTACTTGTGATATCAGACATGGTAGTGGTCCCACTTGTGATATCAGACATGGTAGTGGTCCCACTCCCACCTACTTGTGATATCAGACATGGTAGTGGTCCCACTTGTCATATCAGACATGGTAGTGGTCCCACTTGTGATATCAGACATGGTAGTGGTCCCACCCACTTGTGATATCAGACATGGTAGTGGTCCCACCTACTTGTGATATCAGACATGGTAGTGGTCCCACCTACTTGTCATATCAGACATGGTAGTGGTCCCACTTGTGATATCAGACATGGTAGTGGTCCCACCTACTTGTGATATCAGACATGGTAGTGGTCCCACCTACTTGTCATATCAGACATGGTAGTGGTCCCACCTACTTGTGATATCAGACATGGTAGTGGTCCCACTCCCACCTACTTGTGATATCAGACAAAAATTCCTAGTAACAACAAAGTACTACAGTATTTAATGTGGTGATTGTCAACAATTTCAGATACATTCCTGTAGGGGTCCTGGAAGTTGTGCCACAACGCATTAACGAACGTCCACCTTATTATATTGGTCGCAATGATTTAGAAACCCTAATGGCAAGTGCTAATTGTGCAGACTGGATCAAAATTAGGTAAGCTTTAAAATTAATAATATATGCAGACTGACCACTAGTTTAAAATCCAGGGATTGTTATGGATGTTGTTTTTGCAATTCCAGCTTTGGACAAAGCATTACAACCCTATGTTGTTTATTCAAGTGTCTTGGCATTGTTTTCATGTTTTTGTTTCAGTGAGATGCTACTTGGACCAGTGCCACCTAATTTTCATTTTCTGCCCAAACACAAGGCTAATGCTTATCAGTAAGGTAGATGTCAACCACATAAAGTTGATGAAATGGAGATTTGATGTTAATTACAAAAAGTTGATGAAATGGAAATTTGATGTTAAATACAAAAAGTTAATGAAATAGATTTCATTTTAAATACAAAAAGTTGACGAAATTGGAGATTTGATGTTAAATACAAAAAGTTGGTGAAATGGTAGAATTAATGTTCAGTAAATAAAGTTGTTGAATTAGTTTGTGTTGGCTGAAATCTTTATTTTTGTATATTGTTGAGCTGCAGGCTATTGGGACTGTCCATTTCAGTATTCGGCTAAGCAGACCATTGTCCCAGCCCGCTAAGGTACCTGTCCCCATTGTCCCAGTCCTCTAAGGTATCTGTCCCCATTGTCCCAGCCCACTAAGGTACCTGTCCCCATTGTCACAGTCCTCTAAGGTACCTGTCCCAGCCCACTAAGGTACCTGTCCCCATTGTCACAGTCCTCTTAAGGTACCTGTCCCCATTGTCACAGCCCACTAAGGTACCTGTCCCCATTGTCCCAGTCCTCTAAGGTACCTGTCCCCATTGTCACAGTCCTCTAAGGTACCTGTCCCCATTGTCCCAGCCCTCTAAGGTACCTGTCCCAGCCCACTAAGGTACCTGTCCCCATTGTCCCAGTCCTCTAAGGTACCTGTCCCCATTGTCCCAGTCCTCTAAGGTACCTGTCCCCATTGTCCCAGTCCTCTAAGGTACCTGTCCCCATTGTCCCAGTCCTCTAAGGTACCTGTCCCCATTGCCCCAGCCCTCTAAGGTACCTGTCCCCATTGTCCCAGCCCTCTAAGGTACCTGTCCCCATTGCCCCAGCCCTCTAAGGTACCTGTCCCCATTGTCCCAGCCCTCTAAGGTACCTGTCCCCATTGTCCCAGCCCTCTAAGGTACCTGTCCCCATTGCCCCAGCCCTCTAAGGTACCTGTCCCCATTGTCCCAGCCCTCTAAGGTACCTGTCCCCATTGTCCCAGCCCTCTAAGGTACCTGTCCCCATTGCCCCAGCCCTCTAAGGTACCTGTCCCCATTGTCCCAGCCCACTAAGGTACCTGTCCCCATTGTCACAGCCCACTAAGGTACTTGTCGTCACTATGTAATCATCCATAAAACTTCTAATCCTTTTGTAGGTAACAGAGTACTGCATTAGGTATTACTCTTAGCCAAGCAGATACCACATCTTAAGTAAATTATGGCCCTCTGTCCAGCTGGGAGATTAAAGAGAAATCAACCAGCATTGTGCAATTGGGGGGGGGGGGGGGCGTTCTCTAGTGACCCAGTCTCCCTTATGGCGCCTACATTCGTTCTAAAGAGGTCTCTACTCAAACCGGGTGGGGTGTCATATCTGGCCCCTAAGGGCCAGTTATATATATATATATATAACAGTTGTATTACCTGTGGTAATATAACTGTTGGGCAGTCGCTAGAAGCCTACGTTCATGGATGTAATGGGCTAATAGAAACCTAGAGAAAAGGCAAGAACAGCTGGGCGCAAATAACCAAGTCCCAGTGGCGCACGGCATTCGATGATTCAATCAAGAGTGCAGTCATGTGTTCCGCCTCACTTTTACGGAGGGGAGAAAACGTACAAATAAGGCTTTCATAGAGAAGGGGCGTCTGAGCAGTAGTGTGGCCCAAACAAATGATATAATAAATATAGTGCCCGTTTTGTTTACATTTTATTAACTCACTTTGAAAATCAGTCACGTGTCTAAAAATTCACGACTGGTAACGCATCCTCTTAAAATGTTTGTCAGCCTTTCGTCAGGGACCGCAGATCTATCTATATATATAATTCTCTTCTGGGAGACGCTAGAAAACAAGCTGTAAGCGCGCCTTGCAGTCCCCTCTCTTCTTCACTAGGCATAAATCAACCTCCCCCACCCCACATGGTCTGGTGAGCTGTGGTTCACGGTAAATGTTTACAATCATAGAGCCGGGTTTAGTGACTCCTATTAGGGGCAGATAATTTAGTTTGAAACTATTTTAAACTTAGGGGAGGTAATTAAGAGGAGGCTGCTTTCACGGGGGGGGGGGGGGGTAATCGTCCTTAACGACCAACTGATGTTAAAGCAAATATTTTCAGTGGCAGCATTGGTACTGTCGAATTCACAAATTATGAATTACTGAAAAGTAGAAAATAAAACAACTAAATAGCGGCGTATGATACGCCGTGGGTCGGCTCGTATATATAATTATCTTCATGGGAACCATACAAGACACCACACAGCTTAGCCGTTTTTAACACGTTTTTATTAACTCAGCTTCGCGTTTGTGTGTTTGTTGTTAAAATTGACATCGAAAATTAGCCCACTTCTGATTGTTCTATAGTTCTGAAATTGGGCATACAGGCTACTTTCGCCTAACAATTTCAGATGCAATCATAAAAACTAGCAATTAGAGACCGTAATTAGCTTAATTTAATTACGCCCAAAGGACCATAAAATTGAGGACATGATTTCTAAAGATACCGACAAGACTGGAGGCTTATTGACACAGTTACTTCGGCCCCAATCGATGTGAGCGCGCTGGCCGTGATCGTATAGTGGTTAGTACTTCGCGTTGTGGCCGCGACAACCCAGGTTCGAATCCTGGTCGCTCAAGATTTTTTTAGTCCGTGTATTTATAAACACTTAGTCAATTCATACTTAATCAAGTCATTAGATAAAGTAGAAAATAAACTATATAAAAAACTTTTTTAAAAACCACGTTTTTCATGTGTAGCAACGGACTAAAAAGGAGAAAATAAAATACTTAAAAAAAACTTTTTAAAAAACCACGTTTTTCTTGTGGACTAAAAAGTAGAAAATAACTATTTACATACATTTGATGACAAAAAACGTGGGTCGGGCAGATGGGTCGGGAAATTTGATGGCCCGCCTCTGACGTAAGTCTCAAACATTAAACTTCACTGTCCCATTCCAACATTGACCTATCATGTCAGATCTCTGTTCAAACTCTGAGTCTAGACAGTCCCATTCGATCATCTGATTGGTCAAGTATTGTTCCTGACCATTATCTACCTCAATCACCAGCCCATCTCTCGTGCACATGCGCAGTTTGCCTAGAGCAGCTTCCGTATCTAAAATCTGTCAGTTGCTCTCACTGTTTCTGTGATACTCCAAAATCACGCAGAACGGAGAGAACTCAAGTGTGTATGTTAGCCAGCTATTTCTTGTTGCATTTATATAGAGTTGATTCAGACATAGACTATTACCCATCAAGGTTTGTTTTACAAAGCCTGTGACACACCTGCGTAAACCCATGACACTAGTGGCGTCACGAGGTCATGCACCCCCCCCCCCCCCCCCCAGTGTCAAAGTCCAACCTAAATAAAAAGTACCGAAGCAATATGTATTTAAAAGTAACTGATCACTGTGGCCTATTGATCACTGAAAACATCACTTAACACTGTGACCTATTTTATACCAAGGTCTAGTTTGGGGCCGTTATTAATTTTTTATTATAGTATTGAAAATAGTTATTAAATGTGTAACATATTGAGATAATTGTGAGGTCAAGGGAACTCACTCTTCTGTATTAGTATTATATTTATATTGTTATCTTGAGTGATGTCCCTTACATATATATAAATAGTTGTCTCTCGCCACTTCCTTCCTCTTTCTGGTACCATCATGTAGTTAGACCCAATAAACGTTTTATATACAACCACATGCTTCTATCGTCAATCTATTATATCTGACGACGAGGATAAAAATCTACTAGAAAGAGCACCTACTTACGCAAAAAAGAGGTTTGCTAGAGCTTATTAGCTAAGTATTTCTAGAATAATGGCGCTGTATGGCCAAATAAAAGAATTTGATTCGAATGATGAAATCATTCAAGATTACCTAGATAGGTTAAGCTTTTACCTTGAAGCTAACGACGTGACGATAGAAGCCAAAAAGAGAGCTATTTTGTTAACAGTCATAGGGCCTCAACAATTTAGGCTACTAAAAGACTTATGCGCACCAGCTAGTCTAACTACCAAGAGCTTTAACGAGCTGAGCAAATTGCTAACAGACCACCATGCGCCTACCCCATCAAAGTTTCTATGTCGAGCTAGATTTGACGGTAGGACTCGTCAACCAAACGAGTCAATATTAGAATATGTTGCTGCTTTACGTCATTTAAGTGAATTTTGTGAATTCGGCGATACGCTGTCTGACAGACTATGTGAAAAGTTTGTGACAGGTGTAAACAGCCCTGATGTTCAAAGAAAGTTGCTGCTCGAGTCAGATCTCACCTTGGAAAAAGCAATACAACTCGCAACTTTATCCCAGCAGTCATCCGAGGCAGTCAAATCTCTAGCACCCTCAGAGATCCATGCAGTAAACAGCAGGTTAGTCAACAAACACCAACCCCATCAGAGCATTTCAGCTTATGCTAAACAGCCTGCACGTTCAAAGCCTAGATCTAAATCTAGTAATAATTATCAAAAATGTCATCGATGCAAAGGTCCCCATGCATCTCATCGATGCAAGTTCAAGTTAGCAACTTGTTATAAGTGCAGTAAGCAAGGTCACATTGCCAAGGCCTGCTTTGCAAAGTCTTCGTCTGTTGCTAAATCTAGCCAGTCAAGACAGTACCGCAACCAAAGGCAGCACTATGTTAACTCTCACCAAGACTACCTAACCCAACCAATGAACCACTCTACCAGTGAAAATGCTCAAACTGATTCGCAGCCGGATTTCAACCTGTTCTCTGTGAAATCAATAAATCATGCTCCCATCAATGTACCAGTTAATATCAACGGTAAGAGCATCAGCTTCCAACTTGACACTGGAGCATCTCTAACAGTCATAACAAAGAAAGATTTTGACGCTGTCACAGGAGGATCAGTGCCTCTACAGCCATGTCACAAGTGTCTAACAACATACACTGGTGACAATGTTCCGGTAATAGGAGAGTGTATGGTTCATGTAAGTTATAATGGTCAAAGTGTTAAACTTCCTCTTCTTGTGGTTGAAGGAAATGGACCACCATTACTAGGTAGGAACTGGTTAAGTGATCTTAAGTTAAATTGGGAGAGTATTTGTTCATTGAAGAATGTAAGAGAATCTAGTCTTACTTCAATAGATAAAGTAATATCTGAAAATAAAAGTGTTTTTGGCAATTCTGGATTACTAAATGATAGAACAGTGAAGATAAGCATTAAAGACACAAATCCAAGATACTGCAAAGCTAGAGTTCC